ATAAGTTTTCTTGTGTGCAAGATATCAACTTCCGGATGGTACCAAAATGAAGCTTGACTCTTTCTTTAACTTTCATCTCATTACGAGTATAGGCTAGCATAAAAATTTAATAGTGTTTTTAATGATTTTAGAAATTTAATACTTTCAACATGTAACGTGGCTCTGACTTCAAATGGCCATAAGTTTTCTTGTGTGCAAGATATCAACTTCCGGTTGGTACCAAAATGAAGCTTGACTCTTTCTTTAACTTTCATCTCATTACGAGTATAGGCTAGCATAAAAATTTAATAGTGTTTTTTATGATTTTAGAAATTTAATACTTTCAACATGTAACGTGGCTCTGACTTCAAATGGCCATAAGTTTTCTTGTGTGCAAGATATCAACTTCCGGTTGGTACCAAAATGAAGCTTGACTCTTTCTTTAACTTTCATCTCATTACGAGTATAGGCTAGCATAAAAATTTAATAGTGTTTTTTATGATTTTAAAAATTTGATATTTTCAACATGTAACGTGGCTCTGACTTCAAATAACCATAAGTTTTCTTGTATCCAAGATATCAAGTTTCAGTTGGTACCAAAATAAAGCTTGACTCTTTCCTTAACTTTCATCTTATTACGAGTATAGGCTAGCATAAAAATTTAATAGTGTTTCTTATGATTTTAGAAATTTTGATATTTTCAACATGTAACCTGGCTCTGAATTCAAATGACCACAAGTTTTCTTGTATGTAAGATATCAAGTTCCGGTTGGTACCAAAATGAAGCTTGACTCTTTCCCAAACTTTCATCTAATTACGAGTATAGGCTAGCATAAAAATTTAATAGTGTTTTTTATGATTTTAAAAATTTGATATTTTCAACATGTAACCTGGCTTTGACTTCAAATGGCCATTAGTTTTCTTGTGTGCAAGATATCAAAGTCCGGTTGGTACCAAAATGAAGCTTGACTCTTTCCATAACTTTCATCTCATTACGAGTATAGGCTAGCATAAAAATTTAATAGTGTTTTTAATGATTTTAGAAATTTAATACTTTCAACATGTAACGTGGCTCTGACTTCAAATGGCCATAAGTTTTCTTGTGTGCAAGATATCAACTTCCGGTTGGTACCAAAATGAAGCTTGACTCTTTCTTTAACTTTCATCTCATTACGAGTATAGGCTAGGATAAAAATTTAATAGTGTTTTTTATGATTTTAGAAATTTAATACTTTCAACATGTAACGTGGCTCTGACTTCAAATGGCCATAAGTTTTCTTGTGTGCAAGATATCAACTTCCGGTTGGTACCAAAATGAAGCTTGACTCTTTCTTTAACTTTCATCTCATTACGAGTATAGGCTAGGATAAAATTTAATAGTGTTTTTAATGATTTTAGAAATTTAATACTTTCAACATGTAACGTGGCTCTGACTTCAAATGGCCATAAGTTTTCTTGTGTGCAAGATATCAACTTCCGGTTGGTACCAAAATGAAGCTTGACTCTTTCTTTAACTTTCATCTCATTACGAGTATAGGCTAGCATAAAAATTTAATAGTGTTTTTTATGATTTTAAAAATTTGATACTTTCAACATGTAACGTGGCTCTGACTTCAAATGGCCATTAGTTTTCTTGTGTGCAAGATATCAAGTTCCGGTTGGTACCAAAATGAAGCTTGACTCTTTCCCGAACTTTTATCTAATTACGAGTATAGGCTAGCATAATAATATAGTGTTTTTTATGATTTTAAAAATTTGATATTTTCAACATGTAACGTGGCTCTGACTTCAAATGGCCATAAGTTTTCTTGTGTGCAAGATATCAACTTCCGGTTGGTACCAAAATGAAGCTTGACTCTTTCTTTAACTTTCATCTCATTACGAGTATAGGCTAGGATAAAAATTTAATAGTGTTTTTTATGATTTTAGAAATTTAATACTTTCAACATGTAACGTGGCTCTGACTTCAAATGGCCATAAGTTTTCTTGTGTGCAAGATATCAACTTCCGGTTGGTACCAAAATGAAGCTTGACTCTTTCTTTAACTTTCATCTCATTACGAGTATAGGCTAGCATAAAAATTTAATAGTGTTTTTTATGATTTTAAAAATTTGATATTTTCAACATGTAACCTGGCTTTGACTTCAAATGGCCATAAGTTTTCTTGTGTGCAAGATATCAACTTCCGGTTGGTACCAAAATGAAGCTTGACTCTTTCTTTAACTTTCATCTCATTACGAGTATAGGCTAGGATAAAAATTTAATAGTGTTTTTTATGATTTTAGAAATTTAATACTTTCAACATGTAACGTGGCTCTGACTTCAAATGGCCATAAGTTTTCTTGTGTGCAAGATATCAACTTCCGGATGGTACCAAAATGAAGCTTGACTCTTTCTTTAACTTTCATCTCATTACGAGTATAGGCTAGCATAAAAATTTAATAGTGTTTTTTATGATTTTAAAAATTTGATACTTTCAACATGTAACGTGGCTCTGACTTCAAATGGCCATTAGTTTTCTTGTGTGCAAGATATCAAGTTCCGGTTGGTACCAAAATGAAGCTTGACTCTTTCCCGAACTTTTATCTAATTACGAGTATAGGCTAGCATAATAATATAGTGTTTTTTATGATTTTAAAAATTTGATATTTTCAACATGTAACGTGGCTCTGACTTCAAATGGCCATAAGTTTTCTTGTGTGCAAGATATCAACTTCCGGTTGGTACCAAAATGAAGCTTGACTCTTTCTTTAACTTTCATCTCATTACGAGTATAGGCTAGGATAAAAATTTAATAGTGTTTTTTATGATTTTAGAAATTTAATACTTTCAACATGTAACGTGGCTCTGACTTCAAATGGCCATAAGTTTTCTTGTGTGCAAGATATCAACTTCCGGTTGGTACCAAAATGAAGCTTGACTCTTTCTTTAACTTTCATCTCATTACGAGTATAGGCTAGCATAAAAATTTAATAGTGTTTTTTATGATTTTAAAAATTTGATATTTTCAACATGTAACCTGGCTTTGACTTCAAATGGCCATAAGTTTTCTTGTGTGCAAGATATCAACTTCCGGTTGGTACCAAAATGAAGCTTGACTCTTTCCATAACTTTCATCTCATTACGAGTATAGGCTAGCATAAAAATTTAATAGTGTTTTTAATGATTTTAGAAATTTAATACTTTCAACATGTAACGTGGCTCTGACTTCAAATGGCCATAAGTTTTCTTGTGTGCAAGATATCAACTTCCGGTTGGTACCAAAATGAAGCTTGACTCTTTCTTTAACTTTCATCTCATTACGAGTATAGGCTAGCATAAAAATTTAATAGTGTTTTTAATGATTTTAGAAATTTAATACTTTCAACATGTAACGTGGCTCTGACTTCAAATGGCCATAAGTTTTCTTGTGTGCAAGATATCAACTTCCAGTTGGTACCAAAATGAAGCTTGACTCTTTCTTTAACTTTCATCTCATTACGAGTATAGCCTAGGATAAAAATTTGAGAATGTTTTTTATGATTTTAGAAATTTATTACTTTCAACATGTAACGTGGCTCTGACTTCAAATGGCTATAAGTTTTCTTGTGTGCAAGATATCAACTTCCGGTTGGTACCAAAATGAAGCTTGACTCTTTCTTTAACTTTCATCTCATTACGAGTATAGCCTAGGATCAAGATTTGAGAATGTTTTTGATGATTATAGCTATTAGAGTGTTTCGTCACTAAATCTTGATTTTCATTAAAATGACTATGACTTTTCTTGCATTCAAGATATGATTCTCTGGTTGGACCCAAACTGAAGCTTGATTCTTTCCCTAACTTTTGTCTCATTATGAGTATAGACTGGGATAAAAATTTGAGATTTTGAAAAAAATTCCTTAAAAAAATTTAATCATTTTCGAAAATTCAAATGCAAATCTTCGGAAAAATTTAATTATTTATATAAATTTTAAAATTCTTGCCACGAATTTAATTATTTTTCAATAAATTATGTTAATTAGCTTTGTTAATTAATATAATTAATTATTATATTTGTTGTCATTATCATTTTATTTCATATAAGCTTTTCCTTTATCAAGACGAGAAAAAAAATTTCGTCCAATCAATAATCGACGAATTAATAATAAATCAACTAGGTTTGGAAACATTGTGTCTAATATGATAGATTTCCATGTGAATCAAAGCATTCGGCGTATATTTACTTTTTTCTTTTGTTTTCCGTCTTTTTCTAGTGAGAAATATATATTAAAATAAAAAAACCATCGAAAGAAATGCGAAACAAAAATTTTTCGCTTTATTATTCATAACCCATAAGTATAGTCTCTTTTTTAATTCCCTAATTTTGCTTATAACATCTACCGGTCTACTTGAATATTTAAATAGTTTTTTTCGTATTTCTGGCTTCGTATTAATCGTAGTAATCGATGCATATTCACTTTAACTTTACTCACACTTGTTAAATTAATTTTCTTTATACAAATTACAGTTTAATCCTTTAACTTCGATGACGAAGATTTAACGGCCAAAAATCTTCGTCATCCGCAGTTAAGTGGTTAATAGATTAATGAAAACTATAATTTTATTTATAGCTTTTTTTTTAATCTAAACATTTCACGCTATTCACTTACCATAATGATGATTTTTAGGTTATCATCGAGATTTAAAAACAGGAGTGAGTAGGGTAAGGTTAGGAATATTCTAAGTAGTCTAAAGCCTAGTCCACAGTCAATAATGTTTCAAGCGCAAAATTATCTTTCCAATGGAAATATTTAATATTTTCTCATATTTTCCACTCATTAAAATGCTTTTTCTCTTGAAATTCCTCCAACACCTTTAAATTCACCCCCAATAATTAAATTTTTAATAGGAAAAAAACATTTTTCCTTACGAAAAATTGAAACATCGAGAACCACCTTCCCAACCCTGAGAATTCGCCCTCTATCGGAAACTGCCACCAAATTCAAAGACCAATACCGATCATGCGCAAGAACTTGGCGCGTGCGCAAACTATTTTCTCGCCTGGAGAACGTGGAACAGTTTTCTGCTTCTGCTGCTCTTCACTCGATCGACCATGTTGTTGAGTGCCGTGACAAAAGCAGCCGCTGGGGCATTAAGGGCCGTGAAACCTGGCCTTTTACAAAATGAAGTCGCCAAAGTATCAGCATCATTATCCGTAAACAGTGAGTACAAGAAATAAAATTGTCAACTTCCCCGAGAAACTTCCACCCAAAAAGAACCTTGTACAGAAAAAAAATGTCGGACCCAGAGCCGCCGCACTTGCCGCAGCCCCACTTTTTTCCCCTCTCAGTTAAAGAATCATAAAAAAAAAGAAATAGAAAAACGTCAAAATTCTGCCTAAAGGTAGAAACGATTGATTGTCATTTATTTCGGATTCAAAGCATGTGGACAATAATCGTTAATAAAAAATTCTGTCAAGTATTAACACTCAGTGATAAGATTATATAATATTCGGGGATTGGAATAGAAACAAAAAATGGCGGCTTTCAGGTCAATTGGCACTTGTTTTTTCTTTATTTTTACATAATAATGTAAATGGGGGAAAAAAATTTATCTTGAAAAAAAGTGGGTCATTTTTTAAAAACTATTTTTGGGTTTTTTTCCATTTTGAAAAATTTTGTATTTCTTTTTTTTTTTGTCTGTTTTGTTAGACATCGTTTCTGTATTATTTTTCCGCTACTTGTATTTTGTAATAAAATTCTTTATTTCTTGAATGAAACATTCCTTGCAGTTAATTTTTTAATTTATTGTGATGTTACCAGTGTTGGGAATTTTGGGTCGAGTGACTATTTTATTTGGTTATGTAACTCGTTGTTCTGTTAGTTCAGTCGATTCCGTCATGTGTTTTTTCGTTTTATAACAATTTTTGCAATGATTTTCAAAAGCAAATTTTGTTCTTTTATTTATATTTTCCCTTTTTTTTCTCAGTTACATAAGGGTTAATTTTTCATTTTCATATTTTCTGGAAATTTTCTTATAAATAATAAAATTCTTTTTAGAGCAATTCAATTATTTTCGAAAATTTCAATTTAAATTCAATTATTTTCAATTTTGATGAAATTATTTTAATAAAAAATTCAATTTTTTCCAATTTTATGATAAAATTGTTTGCAAAAATTCAATTATTTTCATAAATAATATAATGTTTCGAAGGAATTCAATTATTTTCAATACAATTTTAATAAAGTTTCTAGGAAAAAATTCAATTATATTCAAGATAATTCTAATACAAATTTTCTAAACAATTCAATTGTTCTCAAAAGTTTTGAATAAAATTCTTTGTAAATTTCAATTATTTTCAAAAAATTTACATTATTTTTACGAAATTTAATAAAATTCTTCAAAAAAAAAAATGTAATTATTTACAAAAACTCTAATAAAATTGTTTAAAAGAATTTAATTTTCTATGAATAATTTTAATACATATAATTTAATTGGAATATTATTAATTACAATTAGATAATAATAAACACGATTATTTTAAAAACTTTAAAGAAATTCTTCATAAAATTCAATTACTTTCAAAATTTTCAGTAGAAATTATTTAAAAAAAAATTCCACTATTTTCAAGAAAATTGAAATAAATTTTTCAAATCAATTCAATTATTTTCAAGAATTTTAATAAAAATCTTGACTAGAATTAAATTATTTTCAATTCAATTTTAATTACATTTAAAACATTATTAAAAAGTTGGGAAACAAAAAAAGCAAACAGCAACTATTTTTAAACTGTGAATTAATAATTTTAATTATTAATCGTAATAATTAAAATTATTGAAATTAATAATTAAAAATATGAAAATTTTTTTTAATTAATAACGTAAATTATTAATTATTAATTTTAAGAAAAATTCACATTTATTTCTGAATTAAAATTTCTTTTTTTGAATTTACAGGTCGCAACTATGCAAAGGAAGTGAAAGGCGGTAAGGGTCGCGTCGTCGCCGTCATCGGTGCTGTCGTCGACGTACAATTCGACGATGAACTTCCCCCCATCCTCAATGCCCTCGAGGTACCAAATCGAACCCCGAGGTTAGTCCTCGAAGTCGCTCAGCACTTGGGAGAAAACACAGTGCGCACCATTGCCATGGACGGTAAAGTATTCAGAGTTCAATAAAATTAAAATTTTACAAACCTTCGTTCGATAAATTTTGACGAGATTCATTTTCGAAAATAAATCGAAAAGAAAATCGAAAATAGACTCGAAAAAGATATTTTTTTTTTCCAAAAGAAATATCTTTCTCGAATCTATTTTCAAAAAATATTTTTCTTTCGAAAAAGTAATTTTTTGTCAAAAAATATCTTTTTCGACTATTTTTGTAAAATATTTTTCTACTATTTTCAAAAAATATTTTTCTTTCGAAAAAGTAATTTTTTGTCAAAAAATATTTTGTATTTATAAATGTTTTTGATTTAAATTTCGAATTTGGAAACAGGTACCGAGGGTTTGGTGCGAGGACAGGTCGTAACCGACTCCGGTTTTCCAATTAGGATTCCAGTTGGTGCCGAGACATTGGGCCGCATCATCAACGTGATTGGTGAGCCAATTGACGAGCGCGGTCCCGTGCCAACCGACAAACTCGCCGCAATTCACGCCGACGCGCCAGAATTCGTCGAGATGTCCGTCGAACAGGAGATTCTCGTCACGGGAATCAAGGTCGTCGATCTCCTCGCTCCCTACGTCAAGGGAGGAAAAATTGGTAAAAAAAAACCGAAGCCTTTTTTTTATAAAAACGTAGTTTTTATTTTAAAAAAAACTATGTTTTTATAAAAACGCAGTTTTTATAAAAAAAACTATTTTTATAAAATAAACTACGTATTTTTTACATAGATAGTTTTTTTTTATAAAAACTAAGTTTTTATAAAAAAACTATGTTTATAAAAACTACGTTTTTATAAAAAATACGTTTATAAAAACTACGTTTTTATAAAAAATACGTTTATAAAAACTACGTTTTTATAAAAAAAATACGTTTTTATGAACATATTTTATTTTTATAAAAACTACGTTTTTATTAAAAAAAAAAAAACTTCGTTTATTTATTAGGTAATTAATTTCGTTAACGAATTTCACAGGTTTGTTCGGAGGTGCCGGAGTAGGAAAAACCGTATTAATTATGGAATTGATCAACAACGTCGCCAAGGCCCATGGTGGTTACTCGGTGTTCGCCGGCGTGGGAGAACGCACCCGCGAGGGTAACGATCTCTACCAGGAGATGATCGAGTCCGGCGTCATTTCGCTCAAGGACAAGACATCCAAGGTGTCCCTCGTGTACGGACAAATGAACGAGCCACCCGGCGCACGTGCCCGTGTCGCCCTGACCGGTCTCACCGTCGCCGAGTACTTCCGTGATCAGGAGGGACAGGATGTGTTGCTCTTCATTGACAACATTTTCAGATTCACCCAGGCCGGTTCCGAGGTGCGAATAATCTTCAAATTCACTTTCGGAAAAACTTTCTTCTTTGGATTAAATTCCTTCTTTTTCTTCTTTTTTTTCTACTTCTTCATCTTCTTCTATTTTATGGCTTCGTTTGGATTTGATTCAGAGCAAAAAATTTTAATATTTAAAATTCTTCTGAAATTAGTTAAATTTTTTAATATATACATTTAATTAATTATTAAAAATAATGAATTTATAGAAGAATTTCAGTTTAAAAAAACACTAAAAAAATTGAATTTCGAAGAAGTTACGAATAATTCGAGAAATTCAATTATTTTCAAAATTAATGAAATTCTTTGCAAAAATTCAATTATGTTAAAATGTTTATAAAAATTCTAGTCAAATTTTCAATTATCAATATAAATAATAAACTTCTTCTCCGAAAAATTCAATTCTTTTAAAAAATTATAATAAAATTCTTGGCAAAAATTCAATAATTTTCCAAAATTTCAATTATTTTCAAGAATTTTCCTCAAAAAGTTAACGTTTTTCAATATTTAATATTTTGATAAAATTTTCCAAAAGAATTTAATTTTTTTAAAAGAAAATTTTAATGAAATTCTACGCAAACATTCAATTATTTTCATGAATAATAAAAATTTCACTAGAATTCAATTTACAAATTTTTTCGCAACAATTCAATTATTTTGATAAATAACATTTTTTACAGCGATTCAATTATTTTCAAAAATAATAAAATTCTTTTTATAAATTCAATTATTTTCCTAAATATTAAAACTCATCGCAGAGTTTCAATTATTTTTAATACAATTTTAATCGAATTTTTTGAAAAATGTCATTATTCTGTAAAAAATTTTATTTAAATTCATCAAAAGAATTCAATTATTTAAAAATTGGTTGATAAAATTCTTTATGAGAATTGAATTTAAAGAAACATTCAATTATTCAATAAATTATATATGTTTGTATTTAAATAATTGAATTTTCGTAGAATTTTCTAATAAAAATTGATTTAAAAATGAATTTCAATTAAAATTTTAGATAATAATTGAATATTAAAAGTATTATTGTGTGAATTTTCAGAAATAATTGGATTTTGAAAAGCTTTTAAATTCAAATCTTGGGAAAATGTTAATTTTTCATAATTTTAATTATTAATTTTTAAAAATATTTTGAATTCAATTCTGTAGAAATTAGTTACATTTTTTTTTAATTTATATTTAATTATTTCAAAAAGTTTAACGCAATTCTTCGAAAAAATTCAATTATCTCGATAAATATCAAAATTCTTTACAAAATTCAATTATTTTCATAAATAACAATATTCACCTCAAGAATTCGATTATGTTTTTAATAATCAAATTCATCGCAGAAATTCAATTATTTTTGAAAAATTTTTTTAAAAGTATTATCAAGATTTCAATTATCTTTACAAATAGCAAAATTCTTCTCAAAAAGTTAATTATTTTCAAAAAATTTATTACAATTCTCGACAATTATCTTAATAAATATCAAAATTCTTACCAGAAATTCAATAATTCTCTAAAAAAAAAAAAATAATATTCATCACAAGAATTCAACTATTTTCAAAAATAACAACATTCTTGGCCAAAATTCAATCATTTTCAAAAAAGTCAATAATATTCTTGGCAAAATTTCAATTATTTTAAAAAAAAATTTTCAATTATATGATTTTCAATATTTAATATTTTAATAAAATTTCCCTAACGATTTCAATTATTTAAAAAAAAAAATTGATAAAATTTTACGCAAACTTTTAATTATTTTCATAAATAATAAAAATTTCACAGGAATTCAATTATTTAAATTTGAATTCTTTTTAATTCAATTTCAATTTAATTCCTCGAAAAATGACATTATTCTTTAAAAAAATTCACTAAAATTCGTCAAAAGAATTCAATTATTTCAAAAAATTTTCTTAAAATTCTTTATAATAATTCAAATTTTTTGCAACGAATTTTATTAAATTTTTTTTAAATAATTGAATTTTGGAGAAGAATTTTATTATTTATAAAGATAATTGAAATTTTTACGAAAATTTTCTTTCAAATTTTTTATCATAATTGAATTTTTGATGAGAATTACACTTTATAATAATTCAATTTTTAGAAATAATTGCATTATTGCGAGAATTTTGAGAAATAATTGAATTTTGAAAATGTTTCAAATTAGAATCTTTGGAAAATCTGAATTTTTCATAATTTTCAATTCAATTCAATTTTAATAAAATTTCCCCCAAAAAAATTAATTTTTTTCATATACATTTTCTAAACGATTTAAATATTTTCATAAACCATAAAATTCTTTTGGAAAAATTCAATTATTTTCAAATTTTAATACAATTTCAATTACATTTTACGAAAGAATTCAATTATTTGCAATATTTTATAAAATTCTTCGCAATAATTCAATTATTTTCAAAAATAATCAAAGTTTTTTCAAAATTTCAATTATTTTTAATGCAATTATAATATTTCTCGAAAAATGTAATCATTCTTGAAAAATTTATTAAAATTCGATTTTTTTTTTGTTGAAATTATTTAAAGTTTTTATTTTCTAATATATATGTACATATATGTACATATTTAATTGAAGAATTTCTTAATAATTGAAATTTCACATAAAATTGAATTGTAACAATTAGATTAGAAAATTTTTAAAAAGTACTTTTTTGGAAATAAATTAAAAATAATTGATTTAAAAATGCATTTTAGTTGGAAATTCTAGAAAATAATAATTGAATTGAAATGGTGAGAAAAATTTTGAGGAAGTTACAGTAACAATATTCTTATAATATAAAATAATTATTTTATTACGCGGTCATTTTTAATTTATTAGAAAACAAGAAGAAATAGATAACTCAGAGTCGAAGACTCGGAGTCATCGATTTCTTCTTGTTTTCTAATAATATTCTTACAAGCTGTTGAATTTCAAAAAGGTTTGAATTTGAAGCTTTTGAAGAATTTTAATTTCTATGGAAAAATCATAATTAAATATTTATTTAAAAAAAGTATTTAATAATTTTTAGAGTGAATCAGAATATTCTTTAGGGGCAGAGAAAAAATCCAATAGTTTTGTCTGGAAATCAATGAAAAATAAAATTAAATATTTGTGGGAATCCTATTTAAAAATCATTCCTGGATCAATTTACTTTTTTTCAAAGAAAATTTACTTTTCTTCAAAACGAAGAAGAAAAAGATAAAGAAGAAGAAGAAGAAGAAGAAGAATTAAAAAAGTTAAAAAGGTGTAGAAAATATTGTTAAAAAGTGAATTCGATTACAGGTATCGGCTCTGTTGGGACGTATCCCATCCGCCGTCGGTTACCAGCCGACCCTGGCCACTGACATGGGTACCATGCAGGAGAGAATCACGACCACCACGAAGGGCTCAATCACCTCTGTCCAGGCCATTTACGTGCCAGCCGACGACTTGACTGATCCCGCTCCGGCGACGACCTTCGCCCATTTGGACGCCACCACTGTGTTGTCGCGTGCCATCGCCGAATTGGGTATCTACCCCGCCGTCGATCCCCTCGACTCCACATCGCGTATCATGGACCCCAACATCATTGGAGCCGAGCACTACAACATTGCTCGCGGCGTACAGAAAATCCTCCAAGACTACAAATCACTTCAGGACATTATCGCCATCCTCGGTATGGACGAGTTGTCCGAGGAAGACAAATTGACCGTCTCACGCGCAAGGAAAATCCAAAGGTTCCTTTCTCAGCCATTCCAGGTAATTATCAATTTTTTTCTGTTCTTTCTACTTTCTTTACGAAATGCTACCATTTGGCTACTTTTTTCGATTTCAGCCACAAGAAGCTATTTGTTTTTTTTTTTGTATTTTTTTTTTTGAGAATTTCCACTACTTTAAATTTGCTAATACTGGAAATCAGAAAACTATTCTCAAAAATTAGAGTCTCAAATTCTTTAAAACGATTCAATTATTTTCAAAAAATATTCCAAATTCCATTTTCAAAATCTAGTATTTTCATCAAATTTCGCAAAAGAATTCAATTATTTAAAAAAAAAAAAAATTCATCAAAAATTCAAATATTTTCATAAATAATAAAATTTTCACAGGAATTCAATTAATTTAAAATAGCAATTTAAAAAAAAAAAAATTCGAAAAAATGAAATTAATCAATTATTTAGCAAAATTTTTATACAATTCTACATAATAATTCAATTACTTTCAATAATAATAACATTTTTCATGGAAATTCAATTTAAAAAAAAAAAATGTTTGAAAAAATTCTAAGCGAGAATTCAATTATTTTCATAAATAATAAAACTCATCGAAAAATTTCAATTATTTTTAATACTATTTTAAATTAATGAATCGAAAAATTCAATTATTTTCACAAATAAAGTTTTCCACAGGAATTCAATTATTTAAAATAAAATTTTCACGATATTTATTATATTTCGAAAAAAAATTAATTATTTAAAACGATGTTTATAAAATTCTTACAAAGAATTCAATTATTTTCAAAAATAACAAAATTTTTCACAGAAATTCAATTCTTTTTAAATATTTTAATAAAATTCTCAGCAATTATTGAATTTTTTTCATGAATAATAAAATTTAAAGGCGGGAATTCAATTATTTTTAATACAATTTTACAGGGATTAATGAAAAAAATGTAATTATTCTTAAAAATTTAATTTCAATTCATCGAAAAAATCAATTATTCAAAAAAAAAAAATGTTTCTTTTTAAATTCTTTGGAAAAATTCAATTAATTACAAAAATATTAGAATTCTTCACAGGAATTTAATTATTTAGAAATATTTTAATAAAATTCTTCTCAAGAATTCAATTATTTTGAATACAATTTTAATTAATTTTTTTTAAAATAATGAAATTACTTGAAACAATTCAATTATTTTTTAAAAATTGAATTAAAATCCTTCAAAAGAATTCAATTATTTGCAAAAATTGAAATATTTTCATAGTTTTTCTCGAAAAAATTCAATTACTTTCAAAAATAATAAAATTCTTTGAGGATTTCAATTATTTTCATAAATAATAAAAAAAAAAATCTTCGCATAAATTCAATTATTTTTAATATAATTGTAAGAAAAATTTCTCGAAAGAATTCAATTATTGTATTAAATAATAAAACTTTTCAAGAAAATTCAATTATTTTTAAATTCTTAATAAAATTCTTCTCAATTCAATTATTTTTTTGTAAATAATAAAATTACTTGAAACAATTCAATTAGTTTTAAAAATTTAATTAAAATAAAAATTAATTAATTAATTATTTTAATTCTTCAAAAGAATTAAATTATTTTCATAATTTGTCTCGAAAAAATTCAATTATTGACAAATTTTTTTTATAAATTTTTTTCGCAATAATTCAATTATTTTCATAAATTGTAAAATTCTTTGTACAAATTCAATTATTTTCAAACAATTAAATAAAATTCTTGTTAATAGTTCAATTATGAACAAAAAGTTGAATATTAAAATAAAATAATTGAATTATTGCGAAGAATGTTATTAAAATTTTTTTAAATACCAGAATTGAATTTCCATAAAAATTTTATAAAAAATTGTAATTGAAAATTATAAATCAGTGTATTCTTACAATGAATTTTATTAATATTTTTGAAAAAATTGAATTATTTGAAATTGTATGAAAAATAATCGAAATCTTGCAATGAGTTTTATTTATTTATAAAAAAATAATTGAATTCTTACGAACAATTTATTAAAATTCACGAGAATAATTGAATTAATCAAAAGAATTCAATCATTTTCAAAAATATTGAAATTCTTCGTAGAATTTCAATTATTTTTAATAAAATTTTAATCGAATTTTTAAAAAAAATTAATTATTCTTAAAAATTTTCATTAAATTTCGTCAAAAGAATTTAATTATTTAAAAATTTGTTCTTAAAATTCTTTATAATAATTCAAATTTTATTAAAATTTTTAGAAAATAATTGAATTTCGGAGAAGAAGTTTATTATTTATAATGATAATTGAGAATTTTTTTTAGAAATAATTGAATTTTGAAAAGGTTTCAAATTAAAATTTTTTAAAATCTAAATTTATCATAGTTTTAACTAACAATTCTTGGGAATTAATTTTTTTATAAAAGTTAACTTGAATTTTTTTTCGAAAAAGTTAAATTGAATTTTTTTGAAATTATCTGAATTTCTTTGTTTTCTAATTTATATTTAATTGAAGATTTTCCAAATAATCGAAATTTTTGGTAAAATTGAATTTTAAAGAAATCAGAATTTGAAAATTCTCAAAAAGAACTTTATCGAAAAATTATTAAAAATAGTTGCTTTAAAGAAGAATTTTAGTTTTAAATTCTAGAAAATAATAAATGAAGTGAAAAGAAGAAAATAATTTTGAAAAAAAATCGATTTTTGTCTCCACGACGATTAAAATAAACCTTTTTTCTTTTTTTTCCCCTTCAGGTCGCTGAAGTGTTCACAGGCCACGCCGGCAAGCTAGTACCACTTCAAGAAACAATCAAGGGATTCCAAAAGATCCTGGGAGGTGAACTCGACCACCTTCCCGAAGTTGCTTTCTACATGGTCGGACCTATCGAAGAGGTCTCACAAAAAGCAGAAACGCTCGCCAAGCAGTAAAGAAATTTTCAACAAAAAAAAAAAGAAGAAATCAACCTCGATCTTAAGTTCTATTTTCGTTTTTTTTTCTTATGAAAAAATAGCGTTGCATCAACTTTTCATTAAGCAGATTATTAAAGTCTTCATCTAATTCAATAAAAATATATATTAAAGAAAAAAGAAAGAAAGATAGAAAAAAAAGAGAAAACCGTGGACGAATCGGTTTTTTTTCCAGTAAAAAATTTTAAAAGACAAAAAAAGCAGCAAACACGACACAACGATTAATAAAAAAGCAACAGAGAAGAATTCTTTTTTTCTTGATCATTGCGTCGAATTTTTAGAAGAGCACCGAGGTGAAAAATAAGATTCTCGCCAAGAACAATGGAGATGAAAATAAGAGGGATTTCTTTTGACAATTTTTCTTTTTTAACTGAGTTATTCAATGGGGAAAAAAGAGAAAAAAGAGAAAAAAGAGAGAAAAAGAGAGAAAGAGAGAGAAAGAAAGAAAGAGAGAAAATTTAAAAATTGACAGAAGAAATCGATTTTATGCCAAACTGTTTTTTGTCTCAACAGTTTCAAAGTTCTGGCTCAAATATCGCGTAATTCAATGAACGATGTTATTTTTGGGCAATACTGCGAGGCGATGTTATGTATTAGAAAAAAAGTAATAAAAATTTGCTAAAAAAAAAAAAATTGTGTTTATTTATCTCTTTTCTACTTCTCGTCTAATAAAATCTACTATTTACTACTTTTTTTACGATTTTATCGGCGTATTTTTATTTACTTTAATTTCCATTTAAACGAATTTATATAAAACGAAATTTTTTCATAATAGTAAAAATTTTATTTGACAGAATTTCTATTACGTCGAATTTTAATTTATCAAATTTTCATTTGATAGAATTTTTATTGAACAGAATTGTCATTTAGACGAATTTTTAATAGACAAAAAAAATATTACGCAGAGAATTCTTTTTTAGTCGAATTTCGACTTCTCCGAAATATTATTTAAATAATTGAATTCTCCTAGTTGAATTTCGATAAGAATTAATTTTAAAAACTAATTTTAGTTAAAATTTTGGGAAATAATTTATTATTAGAAGCAGATCTCGGTTCATCGACTTCAAGGCAAAGAAAATAAAATGAAAAAAGTTCATTCTATTCATCAGCGTTGTCACAAAAGTTTCTTATATTGTATTTTTCTAATCTTTCACTGATTTCGAAATTAAAATACCTATTAAAATATAATTTCTAGAATAAATAATAAACTTGAATAATTTTGTTAAATAAATATTTAAATACTTATTTATTTCGTCACAGAAATTAAATTTTTTCTTAACTTCAATTTTTTTAAAAAAAACTTTAATTTATTTATTTTACTTTTTTTTGAAGAAAATTGCATTTTAATAAATTATGATCAAAAAAAATTCTAAGAATTAGTTAAAATCAAATTTAATGTAATTTTTCAGAAATAATTGAATTTCTTAAAAGAATATTTCAACGATGCAAGTCGAATCAATTTTTTGAATAATTTTAATAAAAAATTTTGAAAATAATTGTTTTCTACAAAAAATTGTTAATAATTCTAAAAAAATTTGATTTTTTGCAAAATTTTAATTTACTTTTCTTGAAAAAAATTGAATTTTAAGAAATTTTGATCAAAAAAATTTTAAAAATTAGTTAAAAACTAATTAAATGTAATTTTTCAAAGATAAATGAATTTCTCAAAAAAATTATTTTATTAAATAAAATTTCAGTTTCCTTTTTTTGAAGAAACATAATTGAATTTTCGTTAAATAAAAATTGAATTTAATTAAAAAAACAATTGGAATTTATAAAATTGAAAAAAAAGAATTCTAATAATTACGATTTTAAAAAATATTTTAATATATTTCTTTAAAGATAATTTTCATTTGAAGATTTTTTTAAAATTAAAATTATTAAGAATTCAGTTATTTTTAAAATTTTCTATAAAAAATTTTCAAAATTTTTATTTTTTTAAAACTTTTAATATAATAGGTACTTTGAAAAAATCAATTATTATTTTCAATAGAATTTGACAAAATTTTAATTATTTTAAAATTTTTTAATTATATATTATTAAAAAATTTAATTATCTTACAAAAATTATTCAAAAACATATTTTTTGTAAATATGTTGACTATATTTATTTTTCCTTTTGTAAATTTTTAATCCCTGTAAAAGTATACTAATAATTAAAATATTTATTTGAAAATTATATTATTTTTCTAAAATATTATTAAAGTTTTTAATTTATTTAAAAATTCCAAAAAATAATATTTTCTGAAAAAATTGTAGTTGTAATTTTTAGAAATAGATGAAATTTTCAAAGAATTTACATTGAAATAATATTAAAAATTTTAATTCCTGTGGAAAAATATTTAACAATTATTTAAATATTTACTTTGGAAAATTATTTAGTTTTTTTTTGAAAATGTTTAATTAAATATTAAAATGTTTTCAGAAATAATTGAATTTCTTAAAAGAATATTTTTAATTTTATTTTTTTATTTTTTTTTAATATATATTTTTTTTCTAATGTTTAATTGTTTGAAGATAATTGCATTCGCGAAGATAATTTAAAAAAATCGAAACAATCGTAAATTTTCTCAAATTTAATTTTTGTGTATTAAACTTTAATAAAAAAATTAATTTGTTATTAATTTTGATGTTAAATTTAATTTGTTTTTAAATATATATGAAAAATTACCTAAAAGGGCCTACTGTTCGGTCAGTAAATAAATAAATAAAAAAACTATAACGGCAGCCTTGCGGACAAAAAATATGAGAGATTCAGGTTAAAATTTTCTCACAGCTCACAGCATATTTCCTAATGTATAGGAAAATTTTTTTTTCATGGAAATTCAACCCTAAGGGTTCCACGGTCATTTTAAAGGGAACAAGAGAGCTGCCGACGCCACATCGATTCTAGATCTCACTAATATATATAGATATACACATACCTACTTAAAAGTTCAATGAACGAAAACCAATCACTTCTAAACATGTTTAGAATAAAAATTTTCAAGAATGGAACAAAATTCAAAAATTCCAACAATTTTCGATTCTGAATTATTGTGAGTAAAATTAAAAATTATACAATAGTTTACTTCATGCAGGGTACATGTCAAATATTTTAGAAAAATACACTTTCTTTGTGACGTATTTCAAAAATAATACTACTACTTAATAACAAAAGATACTAAAATAATTATTTTATTAAATAATTAAAATAATATATTATTATTATTAAATTTACAAATTTAAAAATTTTTAAATTATATAGTTAATTTTTAAAAAAGTATATAAAATTTTTATTGCTATATTTATGTTTTATTAAAAGGGAAAAATAATTTTTTTAACTGTTCCTTTTTACAGGAATGAAATTTCTAAAACAAATTGTGGAATAAAATATCCGAAAAATATTTTATCATGCTTGAAGTCTATGAATTTTTACAATCATTTGGAACTTTGCCCTCATTACTGTCCAGTGGGGAAAATTATTAAAATTTGCTCGGTAAGTTTACTTTATCCTTATTACTATTAATATTATTATTACTATTATTATTATTATTATTATTATTATTATTATTATTAATATTATTATAATTACCATTAATATTTTTCATTATTATTTTTATTATTATCATTACTATGTCCGATTTGCAAAATTCAATATGGCGTTAGATTTAAAAAAGAATTATGTATATACTACAGTAAATACGTTAATTTCCAAAAAAAACTCTTCCACCATTTTAAATTTTGCAAATCGGACTTTATATTCGTAATCAGCGACCCCGAAAACCCCCGAGTAACTATTTTCAAGTAAATTCAGTCAATTTTTAATTTTCATGTCCGCTATATTGGATCCGCCATTTTGAATTTTTAAAAACTGACAGTGGATTCATAATCAGCGACCTTGGAAACCCCCGAGTAACGAGTTTTAATCGAATTCGCGGAATTATAGAAAAATGTTCCGCCATATTGGATCCGCCATTTTGAATTTTGCAAATCGGACTTTATATTCATATTCAGCGACCCCAAAAACCCCCGAGTAACTATTTTCAAGTCAATTCATGCGATTTTTAATTTTCATGTCCGCCATATTCGATCCGCCATTTTGAATTTTAAAAAACTGACATCAAATTCGTATTCAGCGACCCCAAAAACCTCCGAGTAACGAGTTTCAAGCCAATTTCGCAGAATTTAAAAGGAAAATCTCCCAGACTACCCTAACATCTCCTAATCATTGCAAAAAGAGTATTTTTTTTGTTATTTTCAATTTCTAAAATTGCATATTTGTCAAAATAGAAAAATACGTAACAAATTATTTTCGATTCTCTACAAAATGCTCCAGGATAGAAGTCAATCCTAGCTTTAGATTTTTTATTCTTCCTAATATTATCTATTTTTAATAATCATACATAAAATTTCGCTGATTATAGACATCATCTGGAATTTCATCAATTTGGGTAGCAGCTAGTTCGCAAGTTCTACCAATAAACGGCGAGGCTCTCTACATTCTCAAGAGGAATTCGGAAATTTTAAAAAATGACTTTCCCCTCATTGGCTTTAGGGGAAAGAATTTCACCCGTCTCAATGTTCACATGTTCAAAATTGATGATATCTGCATTCACCGTACTGTTCACCAATTGGAAATTGGCGTGAAAATCTACTTTAAACATTGGGAGAAATGCTCTTTGCATTTGGTCGAAATTCCACGGGAAGGAATTAAAATTACTATTCGGGAACCAACGACACTAAAGTTATCAAGTGAAGGTTCAAAATTTGCAGAGTTTCCTAAAACAATGGAAGAAACAGAGTCGAAAGATTTTTTGGCAGCGTCATCGGCAGTAGCAGTATCATTATCATCATCATCATTATCATCATCATCATTATTATCATCAACAGCAGTAGCAACAACAACAACAACAAAAGCAGCATCATTATTTACATCATCATCAGCAGCAACAACAACAGCTAAAGAAGCATCATTAGCATCATCAAAAGCAGTAGTGACTGCATCATTATCATCGTCAGAAGCAGTAGTAACAGCATCATTATCATCAAAAGCAGTAGTATCAGAATCATTACCAACAATAAAAGAAGCAGCAGCAACTAAAGAAGCATCATTATCTTCAGTAACAACAACAGAAGCAGCAGTACTATTAGCATCATTATCATCGTCAGTAGCATCAAAAGCAGTAGTTACAGCATCATTATCATTATCAAAAGCAGTAGTTACATCATCAAAAGCAGTAGTAGCAGCATCATTATCATCGTCAACAGCAGCATCATCAAAAGCAGTAGTATCAGAATCATTACCAACAACAAAAGAAGCAGCAGCAACTAAAGAAGCATCATTATCTTCAGTAGCAACAACAGAACCAGCAAAAGTAGTAGCATCATTATCAACATCAAAAGCAGCAGTTACAGCATCATTATCATCATCAAAAGCAGTAGTAGCAGCATCATTATCATCGTCAACAGCAGCATCATCAAAAGCAGTAGTAGCAACATCATTATCATTGTCAGAAGCAGTATTAGCAGGATCACTATCATCATCAGAAGCAGTAGTAGCATCATTATCATCAGAAGCACCAAAAGTATTAGCAGCAGCATCTTTATCATCAGAAACAGTAAAAGTAGCAGTAGCATCATTATTACCAGCAGAAACAGATGCTACAACAGTAGCAGCCCCAACTTTCGGACTCAGTTCCAGTTCGAGTGAAAGTTCAATTTATTGCACCCGTGGCTCGACGTCGGACGAAATTACCACCGAAGAATCGTACGAAAATTTCGGTTTCGTCAATGAAGAATCGCTTTCTAACGAAGGACCCAAAAAAACCCTCCATGATCATTGTCACCATTGTCCAAACGAATCGAACCAAACAAACGAATCTTCCGAAACTGATTGTCCTGCAACTGAAACAGTTGGCGAACTAGATACAAACAATGTTCCCGCAACTCATTTCGGTATCAATCAAAAATCCTTTCGGATTCACAAAACAGAATCAAACACCCCAACAAATACAGTTTCGAAAAAACTATTCCCCAAAACTAAAAAGAATTCTAGCTCCAAATACAAAATTCTTTCCCAAACGGACGAAATAATTGCCAAAGTCGAAACCTACTTGGAGTCACAAGTGCCTATCCCCTATCAGAAATGTTACCCCCTATTAGAATCAGTGTCCGTTATGGAAAAAAGTCAACTCGATTTAGATTCACAAGTTCCTTGTTTAAATTACAATGCAAATGTGAAAAACGATCAAATACCAAATGACGAGATTCCTTGCTATGAAAATTGTTTACCATTTGAAAATTTGACAATGACGAGGTTTCATTTGATGAATGCGAATTTTATGCGAAAGACCGAATTAAAATTTCCCCAGTGGCCTGTTAATGATCTGACAAATTACAGTAGTGGCTCGTCAATGTCAAATGTGGAATTTTACTTTGGTGCTCACACCACACCGTCTTATGAGAACATTAAGGAGCGTTCGCAAGTCAATTCCGATGAGTTGTTAACAAAAATTTTTACATTCCTCTTTAGACAATTCGATTTTATGATTGTAATTCTCCTCTGTCTTTTGTTGTTGTTCATTTATTATATTTTAATTCACTATAAAGGAGACCAATGAGGAACAATTTTTAATTCTAAATTTTTATTTCTTAAGATGAACAAAAATTTTTAATTTTTTTAATTTTTTAAAAATTTTTTTATTTTATTTTTTTTTTGCTTTTATATAAATTTTTAATATAAATATCCGAAATATTTACGTATTTAAATAAATTTTTAAATATTTAAGAGTATTTAAATATTGAAATCAATTAAATATTTAAAAAAAAATTAAATGTTTCAATATTTAACATTTAAAAAAAATTTAATATTTCAATATTTAACAATATTTAAATAATATTTTACTATAAAAATAGCAAAATAAAAAAAAACCATGCGACAAATTCAACATTATTTTTAAAATTGTAACTTGTGATATATTATTTTCTCATTATATAAATATATAAGTTTCTAAAAAAAATACTTCATACTTTATTAATTAAATTATGTCATGTAAATTGATATAAATAAAAATTTTTTTAAAATTTAAATATTTAAATTTCTTTTTTAAAAAAAATTTCTAAATAAATGATTTCGTATGCAGTGTGTGTCAAAATATTATAAAGGACAATGTCAAAAGGGGGCCTAGGTTGTGACAAACCAACCATCCATTAAAAAGCAATTATCCAGCATCCCAACAACTAAAGTTAAGAAAAGAAAAATCCAGGGACGTGTCTAATGCACAAAAAACCCCTTTCTTATGAATATTTTCAAAAAAAATTTTTTTTTGATTTTACTTGTTTTTTAAAGAAAAGTGAAAAAATAGTTTAAAACCTAAATAAAAAAACATAAAATAAAATTAAAAAATCGTTTAAAACATAAATAAAAAAACATAAAATAAAATTAAAAAATCGAAAATAAAAATAAATAAATATATAATACAATAAATAAATAAAAAACAATAAAAAAAATAAATAAAAATAATCAAATAATGTTATAGTAATAATAATAATAATAATAATAATAATAATAATAATAATAACAATAATAATTTGTTATCGAAAGGACATAAATAACAGCATTTAGGTCTTTTTGTTAAGAAATAATTAAAAAACGGTTTTAACAAAAAGTAAATAATAATAACAGATAATAATACTAATAATGATAATATTAATAATAACAGAAGTAAAAAAAAAATAAATAAAATAATTATTTTAAAAAACTGAAAACATTTATTTTGCCCTATTATTTTTTTTTTCTATAGACAACGAATTTTAAAATAATTATTATAAAAAAATTTGTTTACGACGCTAAATTTAAAAATATTATATAAAAATTTTTTTAAATAAAAAATAAAAAAATGGGTTCTTACTTTAAAAGGCACTGAATTTTAAAATATTATGAAAATTTTTTAAAATATTATAAAAAATTTTTTAAATATTATAAAACATTGTTAAATAAATAAAAAAAAATGGGTTTTTACTCCAGAAGACGCTGAATTTTAAAATATAAATTTTTTTTTAAATATTATAAAACATTGTAAAAAAAATAAAAAAAAATGGGTTTTTACTTCAGAAGACGATGAATTTTAAAATAAATAAAAAAATTATTTCTTACTTCAAAAGACGTTGAATTTTAAAATATTAAAAAAAAATTTCTAAATATTATAAAACATTTTAAAATAAATAAAAAAATGGATTTATACTTCAGAAGACGCTGAATTTTAAAATATTAAAAAAAAAATTCTAAATATTATAAAACATTTTAAAATAAACAAAAAATGTGTTTTCACTTCAGAAGACGCCGAATTTTAAAATAAATAAAGAAAATAGGTTCTTACTTCAACGCAAAATTTTAAAATATTATAAAAAAATTTTAAAATAAATACAAAAAAATGAGTTTAAACTTCAAAGGACGCCGAATTTTAAAATATTAAAAAAAATTTTTTAAATAAATGAAAAAAAAATTCGTTTCCCCCTGAAATCTATAATTTTTGGTCAGGAATTTTTAAAAATGGTGCATGTGGTGTGTTTTTAGACGCCCCTAGAAAAATTGTTTGCGCGACCCTTGGGCTTGGGTTTTTGGCATTTGATGGCGTGGAGTCTATTTACAAAGGGGTTCCATTTTGGCCCGGAATAAAGTCATTAGTAGATCATAACATAGGATCCTCCATTTCGTTTTGAGACTTCGTAAGATGCAGTAGCTAGTGGCAATTCTTCTCTATTATAATATTCGACATCTTTGGGTAAGTACATTTTGTTTAATAATATTTTTTTCAATTTAATTTCCTTATTTTTAATAAAAAAAGATTAAAAAACATATTTACGATATTTTAAAGGTCCTCATGTATTTTAAAAACAAATTCAAATGTATAGGTACATTTTTTAAAATATTTAGGAGAAGCGTCAAAATAATATTATTGTGTAGGAAAAAATATATTCAGTGAAAATTTGAACAAAAATTTAAATTAAACTATTATATAATAATTATTATTATTTTACTTTTTTAATTTTTACTTTTTAAATGTCAATTTTTTTTTAAATTCTATTATTAATTACTTTATTTAAATCCAAAGTTAGAATACAAGATAATAACCTGATAATAACGTATTTGTATATTATTCGTTGAAAATTGAAAAAAATTTCTTGGCTTCAAATTCAAAAGAATTGAATTAATCTTGAAAATTGTTAAATTTGGTTTGATTTTATACAGAAAAACGAAAATATGGACTTTTTGCGACTTTACAATTACCTTGACGGTTCGTTTGCATCCGAAGATGAAGGCATTGGTGACAATCGTCTGCAGTGTTATATTGGAAAAATTTACGAAATTCGACAGGTAAATAATTGTTTTTTGTTATTAATTTTACGTTTTACATTTCGATTTATATTTTATATTTTTGAAAAACAAAAATCCATTATTGTATACACAAAAAAACAATAGAAAAGAAAATTTATCTATATGCCGAAAGATAAATCTCTGGCTCTGCTCTGGCTAATCAAAACAACGCTTGCGCGAAAGTTTAAAAAAGCCGTTAAAACATTACTTTTAAAAATAATTGAATTCTTATCATAAATATTGTTATTTATGCGAAAATAATTGAATTTTGCAAAGAATTTTATTAAAATGCCTCAAAATAATTTTGAATTTTCGATAATAATATTTTTTTTATCTTTAATAATTGAATTTTTTTTGGAGAATTTTACTAAAATCTAAAAAAATAATTGAATTATTCAAAAAAAGAAATTTTATTAAAATTGTATTCAAAATAATTAATTTCTTTCAAACAATTTTTGTTAAAATATTTGAAAATAATTGAATTTCTATGAAAAATTTTAATATTTTTTAAAAAAATTGAATTCTTTAAAAGAATTTTAAAAAAAAATTTTTTAAATTTTTTTTTAAATAATTGATTTTTTCGAGGAATTGAAATTAAATTTTTAAAAATAATTACATTTTTTGAGCAATTTCTGTAAAATTTTATTAAAAAAATCATTTAAATCCTACGATGAATTTTATTATTTATGAAAGTAATTGAATAGTTGCTAAGAATTCTATTAAAATTTTCAAAAAAAATTGAATTCCAGAGAAAAATTTTATTATTTTTAAAAATAAATAAATTGTTTGCGAAAAATGTCAATAAAATGTTTAAAAATAATTGAATTTCAGTGAAAAATTTTGTTACTTTTTGAAAATAATTGAATTCTTCATAAGAATTTTGTAAACATTGTTTTAAATAATTAATTTTTTCGAAATATATAATAAATATTATTATGATAATTTTATTTTAAATAATTGAATTCATCTAGAAAATTCTATTTGTGAAAATAATTGAATTTTTCGATTAATTAATTGAAAATACTATTTAAAATAATTGAAATTCTTCGATGAGTTTTATTATTTATGAAAATAGTTCAATACTTGCTTAGAATTTTTTCAAAATTAAAAAAAAAAATTTTTAATATTTTTAAAAAAAAATTCAATTATTTTCAAAAATTTTTAAAAATCTTTCGAAACAATTCAATTATATTTATAAATGTAGTAAAATTCATTGCCAAAATTCAATTATTTTCAAAAACAAGTTCAGAAAAAAGAATATTTAATTTTTTTCTTAATCTCGTTATAAAATTTTTCAAAAGAATTCAAATTATTTTCTAAAATTTTAATAAATCTTTCGAAACAATTTAATTATATTTTAAAATAGTAAAATTGTTGGCAAAAATTCAATTATTTTCAAAAAAAAAAATTCCATGAAGAAATTTAATTTTTAAAAATTTTTAATATCGGTTTTCAAAAAAATTCTATTATTTTATAAAATTTCAATATAAATCCATCGAAATTTTTATACAATTCAATTATATTTATAAATAGTAAAATTCTTTATAAAAATTCAATTATTTTTAAAAATTTTAATAAAATTCTTGTCAAAATTTCAATTATTTTCAAAAATTTTAATAAAATTCTTGTCAAAATTTCAATTATTTTCAAAAACTTTTCTCAATTCAATCAAATTTTTTTTTTTTTTAAGGGCATTTGAACCATGATGACGTCACAGCCTTAAAACACATGCTTTGCAGAACCTATGACGTCATAATGGTTCAAATGCCCTTAAGAGATTCAATTATTTTTAATACAATTTTAATATTATTTCTCCAAAAATAAAATTATTCTTAAAATTTGTCAGAAGAATTTGCATTATTTAAAAATTTGTTGATAAAATTCTTTTCAAGAATTCAATTATTTTAAATACAATTTTAATAAACTTTCTCAAGATTCAAATATTTAAAAAAAAATTTTAATGAAATTCTTCGAGAGAATTCAATTTTTTTCAAAAACTTTGATAAAAATCTTTAAATACAATATTTAAATTATTGTCATCACAATTTTAATTAAATTTGTTGAAATATTTTAATTTTTTTTTAAAGTTCGTAAGAAAATTCTTCAAAATAAATCAATTCTTCTCAAAAAATTTTAATAAAAAATTATTTCAAGAATTCAATTATTTTCAAAAGCTGTAATAAAAATTCTAGTCAAGAATTCAATTTATTTTCAAAAAATTTAATAAAATTCTTGTCAAAATTTCAATTATTTTCAAAAAAATAGTCAAATTTTCTCAATTCGATCAAAAAAAATTTTTTTTTACAGAGATTCAATTATTTTTAATACAATTTTAATCTAATTTCTTCAAAAATAAAACTATTGTTAAAAATTTTCTTAACCCTTTCAATTCAGTGTCACTGACGCCTATTTTTTTTTATTTTAATTCACTTGAAATTGGTTGCTCGGATTTTTTCAAGGTCAATAAGTACTATTTCGATGTTTGAATGTTTCATACTTTTAACTAAAAATTAGGTAGATTTAATTTAAAAAAAAAATTAACATTTAAATTTTTTTTTTTTTTTTTTTTATTGCAACATTTTTTAAATTGATTGAATTGAAATAATGAAAATAATTTTTGAAAAAGTTACAGTAGCAATATTTATAATATAAAATAATGATTATATCACTCGGTCATTTTCAATTATTTATAAAACATGAAGATATCGATTGCTCCGAGTCGAAGACTCGGAGTGATCGATATCTTCATGTTTTATAACAATTTTTTTTTAAATTGTTTAATTTCAAAAAGGTTTATTTAAGAATATTTATTTCTGTGAAAAAATAATAATCATTAATGAACTATTTATCATTAATTAATTATTTATTTTAAAAAGAAGCAATAGAACATTTTTCTGAGTAATAATTTTCAAAACCGAGTGGTGTGAGAATATTTTTTAAGTCAAGATGTTTACTCAATAGTAAAAAATTGAAATTTAAAAAAAAAATTTTTTTTAAAAAAATTTTTTTTTTTTTAAAATTAAAAAAAAAATTTTTTTTTTAAATTAAAAAACATTAGAAAAAAAAATTTATGAATGTTTGAAACTAAAGAAACTTCTGTTCCCGAACAGGTAACGGAAGAAAAGCGTTTACTTTTGATAAAATCCTTGGAATTAGAAGACACTGTTCCAAACGATGCAAATCTCTACATTCGGGTCGACGACAATATCCTCAACATTGGCCAAGTTGCCTACAGTTGGATCACAAAGGACGCGGAGGCAATTCACCGAACCGAGAGTATCTACATGAATTCATCAACTCGCAATTTGATATCAATCGGAATGGACGTGTTCGCCGATGACGTACCATGTTCACCGACGAGAATCGAGAAAGAAAGCTTCGACGATATGATGTACGATACGCCACATTCCCTTCAATTGGAACGCGACGCTAATCCGTTTGAATTTCATTCGCCTTTGTGGCGTCCCAATAATCCCGAACCTCATGACGAACCAAATTACGAGGATTTTGACTTTAGTCTCAATGTTGGATCGTTAGCACTCTATGAGAGAATGGAACGCGATGCATTTTTTGATAATAGTGAATCGCTTTTATCTCAACTGGCTTTGCCAGCTTTTCTGCCAGATTCAGAGCCAGGTTTATTGTCTGATTCTTTGCCGGATACAGAGCCAGGTTTATTGGCGGATTCAGAGCCAGATTCTTCGCCAGCTTTTTTGCCAGATTCAGAGCCAGTTTCTTTGACAAATTCAGGGGCAGTTTCTTTGCCAAATTCAGGGCCAGTTTTTTTGCCAAATTCAGAACCAGATTCTTTGGAAAATTTAGAGCCAGAGGCCGCAATGGTGATAGAAATGTCGGAATCGTCGGATGAAGATGAACCATCGTCGTCGTCGACGCCGGTTTCATCGCCAACTTATTCTGGATCAGGTGCGGCAAGGACGACCGCTAGGGAACCAAAGGCTGTTAAACCTGTACCATTATCGTTGTCCATATCATTCTCGTCATTAGCTTTAGGAAGATTGGGACCATTGCCATTAAGATCAATATCACCAACATTAAGATTAGCACCATCAACATCAAGATCGGTACCATCGACATCGAGATCAGTACCATCAACATCATCATCAGTACCATCGACATCAAGATCGGTACCATCGAGATCAGTACCATCAACATCATCATCAGTACCATCAACATCAAGATCGGTACCATCGAGATCAGTACCATCAACATCATCATCAGTACCATCAACATCAAGATCAGTACCATCATCATCATCATCATCATTACCACCATCATCATCTTCGGCAGGAGCATCAGGATCGTCAAGAAGAAGATTCGATTAAAAACAATATCACAACCTTGCTCACAACTACTACGACGAATTTTGATATTTTTCGAAACCGCCAACGAGGAACAGTAATTTTTTAATTGCAACTTAACAAACAAAATTCTTTATTCCGTTTTATAAACTTTATAAATTTTATAAATTTTATGAATTTTATAAATTTTATGAATTTTATAAATTTTATGAATTTTATAAATTTTATGAATTTTATAAATTTTATGAATTTTATAAATTTTATAAATTTTATGAATTTTATAAATTTTATAAATTGTTCCTAACGTTCCTAACGTTCGTCCGACACGACGCTCGTTCCAAGTTATTAACATTGGAAGGTTCGAATATTAATTAAATTTTAATATTAGTTTCAATATCATAACAAATCATTTAGATTTCATTCTCATGGCAATTTTTTTTTTTAATTTTTCTCAACAGATTTATTATTAATGCGCAATAATTGGTTTAGAAATTATTTTTTCGAAGCTAGCACTTCGAGAAATTTTTTAGAAAATATTTTTTCGATGTTGTCACTTCGAGAAATTTTAGAAATTATTATTTACGATTTTTATTTTTAGCTTATTTCTTATTGCATTATATTAACTTCTACATAATATTTTATGTGAAGAGAAACGCAAACTTGTTAAATATCTATGTTTCATTATTAATAGAAAAAAAAATAAATTTATACTATTTTAATTTTCGAACCATTTTTTTAATTATATTTGTCCCGTGAATATTAACGGAATATTTTTTTTAAATTTTTTATCGTACAAAAAAAACACCTGGGAGAAAGTTAATAAAAATTATTAAGAAACGTGGCAATTTTTGAAAAATTTAGATTCATATTAAAAAGCGAATTTACATTCTCTAGTTTTAATTTTATTCATTTGCGAATTACAAAATTTTTTTATTTTCAAATATGAATTTTTGAATAATATCAGATTCAAACTTTTAAAAAATTCAATTTTTAACTAATAAAAAAATTTTAATAGAATTTCACAAACGAATAAAAAAAAATTAAAAATTTTAATAAAACCTTCGATACAATACAATTATTTTTTTAAATTTAGTAAAATCTTTGAAAAAATTGAATTATTTTCAATTTTCAATAAAATTTCACGAAAAAATTCAATTTTTTTTTCCTTAATTCGTTAAAAAAATATTTCAAAAGAATTAAATTATTTTCTAAAAATTTTAAAAATTCTTCGAAACGATTCAAATATTTTTATATTAAATAGTAAAATTCTTTGTAAAAATTCAATTATTTTTAATACAATTTCAATAAAATGTCATGAAAAAATTCAATATTTATACAAAATTTTTAATAATATTTTTCAAAAAATTTTAATTGTTTTCTAAAATTTTAATAAAATTCTTCGAATCAATTTAATTATATTTACAAATAAAGTAAAATTATTTGCAACAATTTAATTATTTTCGAAAAATAATTCATTACAGAATTCAATTTTTAAAAATTTTTAATAATATTTTTCAAAAAAATTCAATTATTCTCTAAAATTTTAATAAATTCGTTGAAACAATTCAATTATATTTATAAATATAGTAAAATTCTTTGTAAAAATTTAATTATTTTCAAAAAGAAATTTCATGAAGAATTCAATTTTAAAAAATTTAGAATATTTATAAAAAAAAATTCAATTACTTTCCAAAATTTCATAAATGAATTCAATTTTTAAAACATTTAAATATTTTTAAAAAATTCAATTATTTTCTAAAATTTTAATAAATCCTTCGAAACAATTCAATTATATTTATAAATAGAAAAATTATTTTCAAAAAGAAATTTCATGAAGGAATTCAGTTTTACAAAATTTTAATAATATTTTTCAAATAAAATTTAATTATGTTCAAAAAGAAATTTTGTGAAAGAATTTAATTTTTAAAAATTTATAATATTTATCAAAAAAATTCAATTATTTTCTAAAATTTTAATAAATTCGTCGAAACAAATTAAATTATATTTATAAATAGTAGAATTTTTTGTAAAAATTCAATTATTTTCAAAAAAATTTCATGAAAAAATTCTATTTTAAAAATTTTTTAATATTTTTTAAAATAAAATTCAATTATTTTTAAAAATTTTAATAAATCCTTTAAAACAATTCAATTATATTTATAAATAGTAAAATTCTTTGCAAAAATTCAATTATTTTCAAAAAAATTTCATGAAATAATTTTATTTTTAAAATTTTTTAATAATATTTTTTAAAATAAAATTCACTTATTTTTAAAAATTTTAATAAATCCTTTAAAACAATTCAATTATATTTATAAATAACAAAATTCTTTGAAAAAATTAAATTATTTAAAAAAAAAATTATATAAAAGAATTTAATTTTTAATATAATATATTTTTAAAAAATTCAATTATTTTCTAAAATTTTAATAAGTTTGTTGAAACAATTCAATTATATTTATAAATTGTAAAATTCTTTGTAAAAATTGAATTATTTTTAAAAAAATTTCATAAAAGAATTCAATTTTTTAAATTTTTTAATATTTTTTAAAAAAATTCAATTATTTTCAAAAAAATTTTATGAAAGTATTCAATTTTAAAAATTTTTTAATAATATTTTTTAAAAAATTCAATTATTTTTAAAAATTTAAATAAATTCTTTAAAACAATTCAATTATATTTATAAATAATGAAATTCTTTAAAGGAACTCTATTATTGTAAAATTTTTTGATAAATCATTTATCTAATTGAATTAATTGTTTAAAATTTTTAAATAAAAAAAAATGTTTTTCTTTTCTTTTTATTCCGAGAGGCAGCCATAGACTAATACAGATACCGTAGATCGGAAAGTCAATGTACAAAAAAATACAGGGTTGGGCAGTCGGATATATAAATTTCCCCTCTACAAAAATCACTAGCTTCTTGGGGGGAAAACGAAAATTCCCCACAAGCGCCATCTGACGACACTAAAAATCAACTATAATCAATTTTTTCCTTTTTGACACGTCAAGAAATAATTCCCAAAATAATACAATTATACATTTTCCCCGAAAAATGATAACAGGAGGATAAGTGTGGAGAAAAAATCCCATTTTCCAAATTTACCAATCTGTCACAGTTCGTGTGTATGTGTGTGCTCAATGTTCAAAATAAAATGACGAATTTAATTGATAGCCACGTTGTAAAAACTATAAAAATTTTGCAAATCTTTCTAATATCTAAAAGGTTATAAAAAAAACCATATTTTTATAATAGAAAAAAATAGTGCGCGTGCAAAATGTGACTTTTTAAAATTTTTCAATAAACATTAAATAAGAAAAAAAGATTTTGTACCTGGGGGGAGAGTGAGAGAGAGTGTTTTTCTGACATATTGTGAAAAAAAAGAGACAAAGATGCCAAATTTAAAAATGTTACCGAGAAATTCAAAAATTGTGGCACTATGTTCGGCGGCGAATTTTATTAATGCCGCCGATCGGGTTATTATGCCAATTGCCATTGTTCCAATGTCACACGAATTCCGCTGGAATCTCCATTGGCAAGGATGGATTCATTCTGCATTTGCATTTGGTTACTTCACCAGTCAGGCAAATGAATTTCTTTTTTTATTAAAAATAAATTTTAATTTAAATATTGCCCAATATTGCCATATTTTCAAATTACTTTTTTTATTACTATTTTTGATAACCTTTTTATTACTATTTAATTTTTTTAATTTACTGTAAATTCAAGTCGATTTTTTGTAAAAAAAAAATATTTTTGTCAACATAACCTCAAAATTCCGATTTTTTTTATTTTCCATTTTTTTAAGGGGGGGACTTTGACTACATTTTTAACTATATTAAGAAAATGATTTAAATCTTCAATAAAATTAGTTTTATTGTAATTTTTAAAAAGGAAATCAATAGTCAGAAAATAAAATCGGTCAAAAAAATATTCTGACTCTTTTTTGGATTTTTATTTTTCTTTCAAATTGATAAAAAAAATAATAAAAAAAAATAAATATGTGAAAAATATGTTTTTATATTTACAAAAAAATTGCTGAATGAAAAAAAAGATTTTTATTATTTGTGAAGCATTTTTTTTTAACATTATTTTTAGGTTCAAAATGCTTAAAAAACCATTGTTATTGAATTTTTTTTATATAGAAATTCACTTGTTTATTTTTCTAACTAATTTAAAATAATAATTTTTTTTTAAATAAAAAGTAATTTTGTAGGAAATATATTTTTATATTCACAAAAAAATTGCCGAATGCAAAAAAAAGATTTTTTAAAAAATTTTTGAAGCATTTTTTTAAAAAAAATTGTTTTTAGGTTGAAAATTCTAAAAAAAACCATTGTTATTAAATTTTCTATTGTATGGAAATTTACTTGTTTATTTTTTTAACTAATTTCAAATAATTTTTTAAAATAAAAAGTATAAAATAAAAATAAGAGAAAATTATGAAATTGTGAATATAAAAACATTTTCTACAAAATTAGGAATGGATTTAAAAATCTATGAATTTATAAGAAAAATGAAAATCCAAAAAGAGTCAAAATATTTCCCCTCTAAAAATTACAAAAAATAATAATTTTTACTTTTGGTCGAAAATTGACTTTTATTGCTAATTTCTATTTTTATAAAAATGTTGATAAAATGTCTTTATCAAAAAAAAGAAAGAAAAAATAAAGCACTAAAAAAATGTACAAATAAAAAATACTTTATTGACCATTTAATTCCATGTACGGGAAAAAAAGAACTTTTAAAGTCGCTGTAATATTTTCTGACTCATTTTACTTATTACTAAATTCCTTGCACAAAGAAATTTACATTAAAAAAATATTTTAAAAAATAATTGAATAATAAAAATAATTTCTTGCTACTTAGGTTCAAAAATACGACCCTCCCTTTTTTTTAAAACAAAAAAAAAGATTTTTTTAAAAATTAATTTTTAATGAATTTAATTTTTTTTCAAATAGATAATTGGAGCCAGTACAGCGAATCGTTTTGGTTGTAAAACCGTTTTGATGGCAGCCGTTTTACTCTGGTCAATTAGTACAATTATTACTCCACTTTTAGCTGAATCTGTTACGTTACTCGTAATTTGCCGAGTGATTCTCGGCCTTGGAGAAGGTTTAGGTTCGTAAAGAAAAGAGAAAAAGAAATTATATAATAATAGCAATGTTGTAGTAATACAATTATTTTTTTTATAAAATAAAATAGAAAACTGTTGTTTAAAAATATAATTTTACATTAATTTTTATTCTATTTTTCTATCTACTAATTTTCTACTATTTCCCTAACTTTTATTACTATTTACTATTATTTACTATTTTTTCTAATTTTCTACTATTTTAAAAATTTTTATTTCTATTTACTATTTTTCCAAATTTTTACACTATTTTCCTAATTTTTCTTACTATTTACTATTATTTACTATTTTTTTCTAATTTTATACTATTTTTTAAATTTTTATTATTTTTACTATTATTTACTATTTTTCCTAATTTTCTACTATTTTTATTATTTTTACTAGTATTTGCTATCTTTTCTAATTTTCTACTATTTTTATTACTATTTACTATTATTTACTATTTTTTCAAATTTTTCTATTTCTTTTTCTGTCTACTAATTGTACAAATTTTCTACTATTTTTCACTATTACTTTTTCTGCACAATTTGAAAAAATATTTTTTACTGTCTTTTCCCGTTTATTTTTGTAAATAAATAAATATTAAGTATAAAATATAAAAATAATACAAAAATAAATAAATAGTATAAAAAATTTTTTCTCTGGAATTTTAGGTTTGTCTGTAATAAAATAAGGAATATTTTTTTTGCTAATATTTTTGATATCCATTCCAAATAGGGAATATTTTATTTTTTAGCTATTTAGTATATTTGATATCCATTCCAAATAAGGAATATTATTTTCACTTACTTTTGTATTTTTGATATCCATTCCAAATAAGGAATATTTTTTTCTACTAATATTTTTTATATCCATTCCAAATAAGGAATATTTTTTTATTAATATTTTTGATATTCATTTTTTTTTGTTTAAAAAAAATAGAAAACTATTGTATAAAAATATAATTTTCTACTAATAAACAGTATAAAAATATAATTTTCTACTGATAAACAGTATAAAAAAAATTTTTTTTGTAATTTTTTAGGTTTGCCTGTAATTTTTCATTTATTTGCTCACAATGTTCCTGTGGAAGAGAGATCGAGGGCTTTCGGTTTCCTCATGGCAGCCGGTACCGTAGGTCAAGTTGTCGCCTCAGTCGTAAGTATTTAAAAAAATAAAAACAAGAAAATTTTTTACGTTTTTCTAAAAATTGATAAAAAAAATTACAGTTGTGTCCTAATGTGTCGTGGCAAACGGGTTTCTATCTCTTTGGCTCATTTGGAATAATTTGGACTTTTTTGTGGTTAATTATGTACCACGAGACGAACGGTCAGGACGAAATTCCACTATTTATACCTAAGGTATTATTATTAATTTTTATAGTATTAATCAACTTTTTTTTTTTTATAAAGTAAAGGACGAAATACAGAATTTTTTTTAAAAATATGTTTTCGGGTAAATTGTATAAAAATTTTGTAATAATTCCATTTTATAATGTAAATATTCTTTAAAAATTCGTTATTTAGAAAAATATTTGAATTTTTCCAAAGAATTTCATCAAAATTTATGAAAATAATTTGTTTCGAAAAATTTTATTATATACAAAGAAAAATTAAATTCTTTCGATATATTTTATTATTTACGAAAATATTCGAATAGAATTTTATTAATTAATCAATTTTTGAAAATAATTGAATTTTCGCAAGCAATATGTTCTTTTTTGTTTTTAAAGGTATCACAAAATCGAAGTCCTCGATGGACGGAATTCATAGTTCATTGGCCGCTTTGGTCTCTGTATATCGCACATTTTGCAATGAATTGGAGTAATTATATAATAATGCAATGGCTACCGACTTATTTATCGAAAAATCTCTCAGCGAATGAGAAGAGCATCAGTCTTACTGCCTTACCCTATATTGTTAACTCCCTCGTCGGTATAGGTAAAGAATTTTATTATTATTATTATTATTTATTTTTAATTCTTAAGAATTTTTAATATTATTTATTATTATATTAATTATTATTATTACTATTTTTATATTAGTGATCATTTAATCGTGAATTTTTCTATAAACTATTGAAAAAAAAAATTTGGTCGTGAGGTCTAAGGGACCAATTTTAATATTCATTATTAGCGTTCGAATCCCGGTCGATACAATTTTTTTTCACAATATTATTATTATTATATTTTTTTATGATTATTAATATTATTATTTTTTTTATTATTTATTATTATTATTTTATAAATTCTTATTTTAAACTTTTTCAGTTGCCGGTTATGGTGCTGATAATCTCATTAAAAAACGATGGCAAATTCTAAGCGTTCGAAGGCTAATGACAAATATCGGCTTAATTGGACCGGGAGCATTTCTTCTTGCCTTTTGTACAGTTGATAATCTTCTTTTGGCAGTAATGTAAGTATTTTATTTTTTATTAACGCGCTCTTCGCAGTTTAAATTTTTTTCCCATGTATAAACAAAAAATGCAATTCTATTTTGAAAATTAATTCTTTCAGATTTATTTCCATTTCCATGGGTCTATGCGCGTGTAATTCTTCCGGACATTTGAGCAATCACGCGGAAGTTGCACCCAATCACGCGGGAATGACTTTTGCCATTTCAAACACAATAGTGAGTTTTATTATTCAAAACACTAAATTTAATTAATTAATTAATTAATTAATTTTAATTTTTTTTTAATTTAAAAAAATTTTTTTTTTATAATTAATTAATTTATTATTTTTATTTATTTATTATTTTGTGTTTGATTTCATAGGCGACGATTCCCGGCATTTTGTGCGGACCCTTAACAGCCGAACTAGTGACAGCGTCGCACGGTCGTTGGATGCCCGTTTTCGTATTGGCGGCGGCGATTAATTTCACCGGGGCAATTATTTACCAAAGTCACAGTTCAGCCCAGGCCGTATTGTGATATTCGGAAAATGATGATAATTATTTTTACTAAAAAAAACAATCATATCGTGTGCGAGAAAAAAATTGACTGTGAATGCTAATTTATATTGATGACTTAGAAATTTATTTTCCAGAGTTATAATTAAATTATTGCGAATGAGATATAAATAATATTCTGTAAAGATGAATGTATATATATAAATAATACAAAATGTCAAATTTTAACTATTATCAAGTATAACGTACGTGTGGCAATTTAATTTCTTAATATGAAACTTGACGAAAGTGAAAATAATGTTAGTAATTTTTTTTTTATAAATATACAAATTATTTTATACTATATATAATTTAATAATAGTCTAAAGAAACATTTTTTGTAAATATTTTAGTTATTTAATTATTGAAAAGGAATTTAAGTACAATCAAAACAAAAATCTTTGATATTATAAATATTGTATACATTTATATATAAAAGTACTTTTTTATATTTTTTTATAAAATTTATATTTTTAGTAATAAATATAATTAATGTTTTATATTTTTTCTAATTTTACTTTTTATCTCAACTTTTAAAAACTTTTGTGTAACTATTAAATTATTATGAACATCTTATAGAGTATATAAAAATATATTTATTGGACCCGCATTTTTGAAAATTTTTTAACCTATATGTAAATAACCTAAATGAAATATTAATATATTTCATTTATTTTTGTATAGTTTTATATAGTTCATATATTTTTATTATTATTATTATTATCTCAAAGGGGAACCTATTCAACTTTTGTCAGCGGTTTATTATTATTGTTAATATTTTTGATATCCATTTTAAATAAGGAATATTATTTTTATTGCCTTATATTAAAAATAATTGAATTTATGCCGAAGATTTTTATTATTTATGAAAATAATTAAAATCCTACACTGAGAATTTTATTATTTTCGAAAATAATTGAATTTTTTCGGAAAATTTATATAAATAATTGAGTTTTTGCAAATAATTGAATTCTTTTGAATGGATTTTAATTTTTAAAATAATTGCATTCTTGCGAAGAGTTTTAATTAAATTTTTAGAAATAATTGAATTTATTCGAAGTTTTTTATTATTCACAAAAATAATTGAATTCTTTCGAAAATTTTTAATTTAAAAATAATTGAGTACTTGCGAACAGTTTTAATTCAATATAAAAAAATTGATTTTATGCAAAGTTTCTTTATTATTTATAAAAATAATTGAAATCCTACGAAGAATTTTATTATTTTCAAAAATAATTGAATTTTTTCCAGAAAATTGATGAAAATATTTGAATTTTTACAAATAATTGAATATACTTTTGGAGAATTTTAATTAAATTGTATTCTTTTCAAATTTGAATTTCTTTTCAAATAATTGAATTCTTGCGAAAGATTTTAATTGAATTTTTTGAAATAATTGAATTCTTGCGACGAATTTTAATTAAAATTCTGAAAATATGTAATTGAATTTTTCTAAAGAATTTTATGACTTATAAAAATAAGTGAATTCTTTAAAAAATTTAAAAGTTATTGAATTTTGCCTTGAAATTTTATTATTTAACAAAATAATTGAATTCTTTCGAGAAATTTTTCTTAAAATTATATTAAAAATCATTTAATTTATGCAAAGATTTTTATTATTTATGAAAATAATTGAAATTCTACGAAGAATTTTATTATTTTCGAAAATAATTGAATTTTTTAAAGAAATTTGATGAAAATATTTGAATTTTAATTAAATTTTTAAAAATAATTGAATTCTTGAGATGAATTTTATTAGAATTTTTAAAAATAATTGAATTTTTCTCAAGAATTTCATAATTTATAATAATAATTGAATTCTTGTGCAGAACTTTATTCTTTTCGAAAATAATTGAATTTTTTCGAGAAAATTTATGAAAATATTTGATTTTTTTTTGCAAATAATTGAATTCCTTTCAAGGATTTTAATTAAATTTTTAAAAATAATTGAATTCTTGACATGAGTTTTATTAGAATTTTTGTAAATAATTGAATTTTTCCCAAGAATCTAATAATTTATCAAAATAATTGAATTCTTGTCAAGAGCTTTATTCTTTTCGAAAATAATTGAATTTTTTCAAGAAAATTAATGAAAATATTTTATTTTTTACAAATAATTAAATTATTTTGAAGGATTTTAATTAAATTTAAAAAAAATAATTGAATTTCTTCGAGAAATTTTATTATGTACAAAAATAATTGAATTCTTGGGAGGAATTTAAATTAAAATTTTGAAAAATATTGAAATTGTTTTTAGTAGTTTCATCATTTATAAAAATAATTGAATTCTTGAGAAGGATTTTTATTAAAAATTTGAAAATATTTGAATTTTCTCAAGAAATGTTATTATTTATGAAAATATTTGAATTTTTCAAAGAATTTTAATTAAATTTTTAAAAATAATTGAATTCCCATAAGAAATTGATTATTTGTGAAAATAATTTAATTCTTGAGGACTTTATTAAAATTTTGAAAATAGTTGTATTAGAAATAATAGAATTTATTATTATTTTTTATATCCATTCCAAATAAGGAATATTATTTTTATTGCCTTCTTAGTATTTTTGATATCCATTCCAAATAAGGAATATTATTTTTGTTGACATTTTAGTATTTTTGATATCCATTCCAAATAAGGAATATTATTTGTTTTATCATTATTGTTGTTGTCAGTATTTTTGATATCCATTCCAAATAAGGAATATTATTTTTATTGACATTTTAGTATTTTTGATATCCATTCCAAATAAGGAATATTATTTTTATTGCCTTTTTAGTATTTTTGATATCCATTCCAAATAAGGAATATTATTTTTATTGCCTTTTTAGTATTTTTGATATCCATTCCAAATAAGGAATATTTTTCTCCATAGTCCAAAGTAGAAAATCTGCAAAAATTCAGACACCTAGTATTATTATTTTATTTATTTTATTTCCATATTTTATTTATTTACTAATTTATTTAATTAATTAATTTTATATGCCCGCGAATTCGCGAAAAATATTGTTTATATATAAAAAATACAATGTGTACTGTACAAAAGATAACAAGAATAATAATGTTTTCTCTCGGTCCACGCGAGATGCCACTGAGAGCACGACTTCCGGCAATTGCCTTTTTTTTAAAGTTCCAAATGAGGAGTCAACTAATGGTACAGAGTACTTCAGTTCATCTCGTATATCAGACTCGAAAGCAGGAACGCTCTCTCTGTGTGTAGTTCGTTCTCTCCCCTTTGCTTTATTTCAAAACAAAGAAAACATTCTCACACAGGACAAAAAAAGAAGTAAGCGACTACAAAAAAAATTACTTTCAATTCTCCTTTTTGTAAACATTTTTTTGATGAAAAAAAAATTTTTTGTTACTAAAGTTTTTTGTTAAAAAAAGTTTCAATTCATTACAAAATTTCATTTTTTTTCTTAACAAGAAAAAACCTTTCTTTATTTATTAATATCCGAAAAAATTTAAAACTAGTTAAAATTGAAAATAATTAAAACAAACAAATAAATAGTTTTTTAATTATTTAATATTTAAACCCCAGTGTTAAACATTGTGAGAAAAAAAATTTTCTACAAAAAAGCTACAAGAAAACTGTTTTATTAAATTTTGTTTTTTTTTACTTCAAAAAATAATTCTTTTTAGCAAAAATGAAAGTTGGTTCGAACTCATAAAGTGTTAACGACAAATATTGCTCAAGTGAACTTGTGCCATAATTTATAAATTTTGATACTAGAGAAACATTAAATGATTATAAATAATCGAATTTAACAATAAATATACTTGGGTGCGACAAAACAATAAATAATAATAAAAATAATAGTAATAATAATAAAAATACTAAACATAACAGTAATAATAACAAAAATAATAATAATAATAATAATAATAATAATAATAGTAACAATAATAATAAAAATACTAAAAATAATATTAACAATACTAATAGTATTGTTAAATAAATAAATACGAAAAAAACTACTAAAAATACAAATAATAATAATGAAAAATATAATAAAAATAAAAAAATTTAATAAACAATAAAATTATAAATAAAACAATGAAATACTAACAAAGAACAAAATTAACCTGAGAAAAGGAATAATCAGGCAAGAAAAATTAATAATATGATAGAAATTAATAAATGTAATTTTTTACTAATAATATTTGTTTACTAAAAATTTTAAAAATTCGAAAAAAAATAAAAATCTAATTTTAGAAATAAAAAAGATGGTAAAATTGACTTTGCGTAATGATATAGACACAATAACATTAATTGCAAAATAGCGGGAAATTTTTCAAATATTTCGCACCAATGAAAAATCGGATTTCTTATTTCGCATTCCTTCATTCCCCTCGCATTTCTTTACAAGATTCATTTCCGGAAACGCGCAAAGATGCATTCAATTCCAATGGTAAAATTATTCTTCAATTACCTACATTATTTCAAAGAGTTGTATCAAATTGGTATAAGCTCAGTTTTTTGTCGATTATTATTATTATTATTTTTTTTTACATTATTTCCAATACTTCCGCGATAAAATATGATTAAGCAGTAGCTTTATATTTCTATTTTTGTGAAATTATAATTATTATTTATTTTTGGATTTTTTTCTGTAATTTTGTATTAATAATTTTTTTTGCAATTTTGGATTAATATTTCTGACGTGTGGCGAAACGGGACGTTTTTCGCCACACGTCATAAATATTAATCCAAAATTGCAAAAAAAAAATTAAAAAAGAAAACGATTTTAGGTTATGTTCTCTGTTTTAACAGTAAATATTTATAAAGTTACAAGTGTTAAATTCAAACCAATTATTAAAAGTCTTTAGTACATTAAAAATATTCGATAAAAATTGTTTTTCATTTTGTGAAATTAAAAAAAACTCCTTTATTCGAGATAAAAAGGTGACAAACATAACCTATAAGATTTTGATTCTTTCTTCGCGTTCGCAGCAAATTTCCTTTCTTTTACCAAAATTCAAAGTAAATTTAGGCCGAAATTTGACAAAACTTTAAATTATTTCAATTTTTTAAAATTATTTTCTGGAATTCAATTATCTTCAAACAAATTTTAATTACAATTTTTCAAAAATCATTTTTTTTTAGAATTTCTTCATTAAATTATTCAAAAATTCAATATTTTTTCTTAAACAAATATTTAAAAACTTATTGTTATTTATTTTAATTAAAATTCCAAAGAAATTTCAAAGTAAAGTCTTTTGAAATTTTATTATTTCTAAATAATTACAACTGCAATTCTTTTAAAATTCAATTATTTGTTGGAATTTTTGAATAAAATTATTAAAAAATTTAATAAGTTTTTAAAGAAAAATAATATGTTAATAATTTTTAAAAAATATATTAATTTTTAAAGAAGAATAATGTATTAAAATTGTTAAAATAAACATTTAAATATTATAAGTTTATGGCGATTAAAATGTTTAAATAAAAAGATTTCAATTTAAAAAAACTTTTAAAATTTATAATTATTTCTTAAAATTCATGTTATAACACTTTTAATATTCAATTATTTTTCAAAATTTTAATGGAAATTCTTTTTCAAATCAATTCTTCTTAGAATTCACCGATAATTGAATTATTTAAATAGAAATTTTTTTTTAAATTTAATTATTTTTCAAATTTTCAGTTACAATTCTTTAAAAAATATTTTTAAAAATACTTTTTTAAAGTGAGAGAGTAAAATTCTTTGAAATAAAAAATTTATTTTAACGAAATTTGGGAAAATTTCCTACTTTTTCAATTTTTTAAAATTATCTTCGAGAATTCGACTATTTTTAAAAAAATTTATTTACAATTTTTTAAAATTGTTAATTTTGCGAATTTCTAAATAAACTTTTTTAAAATTAATTACTTTTTGTTTAATGAATATTTGAATACTTAAGTGAATTATGTGATAAAAAATGCTCAGGTGGATTATGCATTTTTGCATAAAAAATTGATATCCATTCCAAATAAGGAAATTTTTTTTTCTATTAAAATTTTTGATATCCATTCCAAATAAGGAATATTTTTTTCCCTGTTAATATTTTTCATATCCATTCTAAGGAAGGAACATTTTTTTTTCTTTTAATATTTTTGATAATTATTTCAAGTAAGAAATATTATTGAAATTACCCATTATTATTATTAATATTTTTTTTTGATAATCATTCCAAGTAAGGAATGTTATTGTAATTACCCAGTATTATTATTATTATTTTTTTTTTTTGATAACCATTCCAAGTAAGGAATATTATTGCAATTACTCAGTATTATTATTATTATTATTATTATTATTATTATTATTATTATTATTATTATTATTATTATTAATATTATTTTTATTATTTGATATCCATTCCAAGTAAGGAATATTATTGTAATTACCCAGTATTATTATTAATAATATTATTATTCTTTTTTATTATTTGATATCCATTCCAAGTAAGGAACATTTTTTTTCCTATTAATATTTTGGATATCCATTCTAAGTAAGGAATATCTTTTTTTTATGAAACAAAATTGCAATTACCTATCACTGTTAAAAAAAATACTGTTTAATTCGTGAATTTTAACACTGTACAACAATTTTTGAAAATGCTTTATGCTATCAAGCAGAAAGTTCCTATTTCTATTTCTATGAATATAAAAAAAGAAAGGAAAAAATAAAATGTGCCAAAAAAGGAGGAAATAGAAAAAAAGATGAAAAAGTTTAAAGAGAATAAAGAAAAAGATAATGAAATGTTTATAAACAGAAAATAATAATAAGAAGATGAAAAGTTTAAACAGAAAAGATAAAGAATTGTTTTAAACAGAATAGAAAAAAAGAAGAAGAACATAAAAAATGAAGAAATAAATAAGAAAAGAAAAGGAGAAATTTGTCGCGAAACAAAAATTGTGATCAACTTACAAGATTATTATCAGAGTGGCAAAATGATTTGTGTGTCATTGTAACATTTTTCTCTCTCCTCTCTCTCTCTCTCTCTCTCTCTCTCTCTCTCTCTCTCTCTCTCTCTCTTTCTTAGTGAACAATATTATTCATGCAGATCGCGGTAGGCTCAAAAGAAATTCAAGTAGTAGTAGTAGTATAGTAGTAGTTAAAGAAGATGAAGAAGAAGATGTTGTTGATGATGAAGAAGTATAGTAGAAAACTCTTGACATGAAACTCTAATAGATTTTATTACATGGAGTTATACCTTCCGTCTATAAATAGAACCTGCCATAGAGAAACAGATGCTCTCCTATAAAGGGTTCACTTTCTTGATGTGAGGCTAAAATTAAAGGCTATAGTGTGTATGCATGTATTATTTTGCAGCATCTCTACCCATTTTAAAACCATCCCAAGTACAATAACCCGAATAAATTAATTTTAGACTTCAAACTTCCTCCCGTTAACATTCATTTTCAATACATTGCACCGCTATTTCGAATTTTCATCTTTTCGTCTCCGTAATGTCAATGCCTTTTTCTTCCTCCTCTTCATCATCATCTTCTTTTTCATCTTTTTCTCTTTTTTAAATTTCGTCTTTTTCTTTTTTTCTCTCCTTTTTCGTTTCCGTCTTTTCCTTTTTTTCGTCTATTTCTTTTCATAAAGTTGAAACTGTCAGCCTCTTAAATTAAATATTTTTTACGAAGCTACAACTTGTACCTAGTCATCAACACCCACTTCATTTTTCAAAATTTTATGTTGGTTTCAAAAAAAAAAAACTTTCGAAAACTAAGTAGGTGTCTCAGCTTTATTTTCTTTTCCGTTAGAGAATTTAAAGAAGTGCAAATTTTAAAAAAGAAAAAAGTATGGCACAAAGCTAAAAAAAAGTACCTATATAGTAAATTAAAAAAAAGGCTTTAAACTTCAGAGTAAAAACTAAAAAATCAAAGTTGAAGTGATGCACTTGCGGGAGAATCACAAAAGGAATAAAAAGAAATAACATAAAATTGTATTATAATAGTACAGCACACATGTATATATGGTGAACGTGAAAAATGTTCTTTGCTGAGCCATGTGGTCCATTTAGAGACATCTGTTTTTCTAAACAGCCTTCTTATGATATGAGAACTAATTTCTACGTTCATAAACACACATTCACGCACAAACACTGTACACTCGCCCTTGACATATTCACAATCCTTGGAAATTTCTTTATTTTTCGCAAACAAAGAAATTAGAGGCAAAAACAGATTTCTCATTTTAACCGCATCTGGAGATTTTTCTTTTTCACTTTTAGCCTCACTTTCAACTTTGAATTTTTAACTTTTTTTGAAAATTTTAATACCATTCAAACAGATTTCTGATTTTAACCGCATCTAGAGATTTTTCTTTTTAACTTTTAGCCTCACTTTCAGCTTTTAATTTTTAACTTCTTTTGAAAATTTTAATACCATTCTTATTATACAGAAGAAAGTGGAGCTGATACTGGAATTCATTTTGAAAATTAAATGTTGCGAACAACCTAAATATTATTTTTGTTTCAAGCCAACATAGAATTTCGAGAAAAATTAACTCGGTGCCAGTTTCCAGTTTCGTTTTTTGTTTCAAATCATAGTTTCGAAAAAATTAACTCGGTGTGAGTTTCGTTTTTATTTCGAACCAAAATAAAGTTCTGGAAAAAAATTAACTCAGTGACAGTTTCGTTATTGTTTCAAAACCAACATAAAATTCGGTGTCTCAGCTTCATTACAATAAAAAAAGAAATCAGATAAGAAATAAAATAAAAATTTCTCGAATTGATTTATTTCTCTTAATTCTTCGGGTTGCAAATTCTATGAAGAGGATGAATTCTCCCTTTTTTGGTATACATATTTAAAATATGTCAGAGAATATTTCGCATACAGTGCAACCATTCATGAAAGAAAGAAAGAAAGAAAAAATATCTTTCAAGTGAAGCATCCGCGATATGAGAAATATTTTTTCCAAACGTTATTATTCTAATTACTATTATTGTTATTAAATTTTTATTAATATTATCATTCCCAAGAGGAGAGAAAAGTTTAATTTCCCAGGGGGGTTGTGTAACTAAAAAGATCGGACATAACTTTATAGAGACGGAAGTTTATGATTCGGAATCATAAACTTCCGTTTTGCCAGAAACGTTTTACCAGCAGCAACATTACAGAAACTATTTTAACATTTTGGCGAAAAATTTTGAAATATTGCAATAACTATTTTGGGTTTCTTTGTGTGGATTATGTTATTGTTTCTCTATTTTTGATACAATAATTATTATTTCTTTTTAAGGGACTTAGCTTAATTATTTTTAGGCTCTTCAAAAACATTCTACCAATTTTTTAAACTACAATCTTTAATGAAAAAGCCTTCAATTTTGAGTACATTTATTAAGTACTTATTCAGTATTTAAAAATTTAAATTTTACATTACGGATAGAGAAAAAAAAGTAAGTGTATCAATCCTCTCCGGGGAATAATCTTGAATTTCTCTAGTAGACTAATAATGATAATAATTCACATACAGCAAGTTTTGTCCGCGGAAAGGTCATCGTTATTTCTGACCCATAAGTCTCTGATCTGCACGAGTTATTGAATTACTTCGCGGAATGATATATTTACTTATTACACAATTAGTGTGTTTATTGAATATATTTATATACAACTAATATAAACCAGTAATAGTTTATAGAAAATTTCATAAAAAAAATAAAATTTCCCAAGTATTAAAAAAGTATTAGAAGAGTAGAAGTTTCGAAATTAGGTACAGATGATAAAATACACGCGCAAAATTTTAATGATTCATTCAACTTTTATATAAAGAAAAATAATCTGAAATTCTTTCAAGTTCAAAGCTACGAGTGTGAATCGCTTATTATTTATCGCAGTAAAAAAAAGAGGGAGGGAAAAAAAATCGGTTGTGATTCTTCATTTTATTCTTTCAGAGGAGGTTGCGCCTGTCTTATCGGGAATTAATAGTTCATTGTCGCCATGAGGTTCCAAATAGCGACATTTGTGCTATTAATTTTTATTTTTGGACTCTCGTGTGCCAGGGAAATAACGTGAGTAGTTCTACTTTTGTCAAAAAATTAATTTCTATAATTATTAATAATTACTATTCTCAGTTTTTTAAGGATATTAAATTGAGACAAAAAAGGAATCAAAAGTCTTATTTTGCATTACTTTTAATTCCTTTTTTGTCCCAATTTGACATCCTTAGAAAAACCATTCCTAAAGCTATCGTACTTTTTGTGATTAAGTTGAATTTATCTTTCTACCTCTCCAAAAGATGTTGTTTTGTAATAAAAAAAATTGCAAACTAAAAAAAAATTAGGGTCAAAGTAAAAGGTACCTGAAGTTGATGTCGACGCTAAGCGTCAAGTTTTATTTTTTTTTGCAAAATCAAGATTCACTGCAATATAATAATTTTCAGAGTTCCTAGTTGTAAGTTCTAGTTTTCTAACTGACTACTAAAAATAGTGAAATTAGTGACAGATTTATACTAAAAGAACAAAAAAAATTGACGCTGATCGGCGACGCCAACTTCGGGTACCAAAAGTAAATGTAAAAAAAATGTATTATTATCTCCGTTTTCCTAGCCATGAAGATATAAAAAGTGCAATGCTGAGTCTCGTGCACGTGATGCGAGACGACACGGGAAAATTGGAGAGGCACGAGGCACGCGAACGACAATTGGGCGAGGAATTAAAAAAATCCTTGTCGCTCTTGACGAAAAAAATGACAGTTGTTGAGGGCTTTCATCCTCATTTAGTGAAATTGAACGAAAGAGTTGGGGGCATCGAAAAACTTATTGCCCAGGTTCTTACAATAATTTTTTACCACCTACACTTTTTACATTTTTATTTAAACCTCTGCTGATGCGCTAACAACTGTAATCAAAAACATATCCCCATTCATGGTTGCCACAAAGATTGAAAATCCTGTAAACGGTATGGAATTTAGAAAAAGGTATAGAAAAACAGGAAATAGTATGGAATTTAAAAAATTACTGGAAGCCTGCTTTTAAAAATTTTTTAAAAAAGTTTGCTCTAGTCATTGTTTAGGAACAGTAAATAAATTTTGTGACTAACAATTTTTAGTAAACAGAAGTCGAAGCCGTTTATTTTCGGGTTTGAAAAAAGTAATTCAGAAATATTTTTGACTGGTCATTGGCATCAGCAGTGGTTTAAAAAAAATTATCCTATTGTATCTATTTTGTAAAACTAAAGTTTCTTTAAAGAGAGACGAAAGAGAGAGGATACAAATGCAGAAAACTGCCGACACCCTCGAGGATTTGGAAAGACGTCTAAATAATTGGATGTCATCGATTGAGAGTAAAATCACTCAAGTCAATAATGACTCGTCTGAGTCAAGTTCCGACAGAAATTCCCAAATACTGTCGAAACTCGACGAATCCCAAACAATGATGGCCAAACATTTCGATAAATTCGAAACAAACATGAAGGACATGAATCACAAAATAAAGAACGAGGCTAATCAGCTGAAGGAGAAGATCCAAACTGTCGCATCGGAGGTAATATTTTTTATTTCGATTTTGTCTTCTGCTGTCCAAAGTCAGAACCTAGTAACTGAATTTTACAAATGGTTAAAGTTCACACGGCCTTACATTGTTACTAGGTTTTAACTTTGTACAGCAGCTTTTAAATTTCAGACTTTAAGAAAATTTATAACCGAAAAATTTCAAAAACCGAAAATTCCAAATAAGGAATATTACTTTCATTACCTATTTAGTGTTTTTGATATCCATTCCAAATAAGGAATATTATTTCTATTACCTATCATCATTGCTAGCATTTTTGATATCCATTCCAAATAAGGAATATTATTTTTACCTACTATAGTATTTTTGATATCCATTCCAAATAAGGAATATTATTTTTGATATCCATTCCAAATAAAGAATATTACTTTTACCTACTATATTATTTTTGATATCGATTCCAAATAAGGAATATTATTTGTATTATCAGTATTGTTGTTGTCAGTATTTTTGATATCCATTCCAAGTAAGGAATATTATTTTTACCTACCATAGTATTTTTGATATCCATTCCAAATAAGGAATATTATTTGTATTATCAGTATTGTTGTTGTCAGTATTTTTGATATCCATTCCAAATAAGGAATATTATTTTTATTACCTGCATTATCATTGTTAGTATTTTTGATATCCATTCCAAGTAAGGAATATCTTTTCCTCCTATAGTCCGAAGTAGAAAATCTGTAAAAAAAAATCAGACACCTGGATTAGTATTATTGTTTTAATAAATGTCGAAAATTTTTGTTTTTGAGTTGGAAAAAAGTACTTTAGAAAACTTTTTGACTCCCCAGGAACCTTAGGGACCTTAAGGACCCCAAGAATCCTAGGTGAATGAAAAAGGTGAAATTAGTGGACTTTTTTTGACCCTGAACGTTGACGCTAACTTTAGGGACAGTCCGTACTGTTGTATTAACTCAGTTTTAACAAGAAAAAATAATTTCAGGTCAAAAATGCCGGTTCGACAATAGAGAACGTCGACAATTCGGTCGGAAAACTGAAGGAAATCGTGAAAAGTGTCGAAAGTGGACCACAAAAAACGTCGGACATTGGAAATACACTGAACGAACAAAGTCGAGCACTAGTGAGACTAAAGGAACTATTGCAAGACACTTCGGAGAGATTGCAAGAATTACCGAGGTATTTTTTTTCTACTCCGTCTAACTTAATTAAAAAAGGCAATATATTATTATTTATTATTTTTGTTCAATTACATTTTTAGTCAACTTTTTTATTAATAAGATTTTAAGAATTTCAGAGTTACAATCTCTGCATAATGAAACGCAAATGGCGCTGCAGGAGACAAAGCATGTCCTCAGGGATTACGTGACGCGAGGAAACGATGGACTCGAGAGTAAAATTGTCGAGAGTAAAGAAGATATTAAATATGCAATCAGCAATCTCAGGTAATTTACGTTACAAACCAAAAAAAAAAAAAAATGTGAAACGTACGCAAAATCAAAGTAAAACTAACCTCAGGCCTCGGACTGAATTTAAAAATAAAAAATAAAAGTGCCTTGGAATGTTCGTAATAGTTAAAAATAACAGCCATTATTTATTGACAAATAGAAAATAAGTTTTGTATAATTATAAAAGAGATTTTGAGACATTTTATGCCTCAAAAAATCATTTATAATTATACAAAACTTATTAATATACTTAACTGTGTGGTTTAATTCCTCCACCTGAGAACGTCAAGGTCGCCACCAGAGGTCAGTGAAAAATTCCAAGAAGTAACTGAACTGCCATCTAGTGGTGATCTTGGCGTTCTCATGTGGGGAGATTTTTAATTTACTTTCCTTTTCGCCTTTTTTTTATCCAATCTCTAATTTTTTCAACTATTATCGTTTTATTAATATTATTATTATTATTTTTTGTTTTCGAATTTCAGAATGGACATGGGAGCGAATGCGGATCGAATAAAACAAGAATTGCAGGATTTAGAAAAAGGACAATCGGTGATGGTCTCAATGGCCGATCACGTTCTTGATACAAAAAAACGTGTCGAATATGGTGTACATCAAATTTTACTGGAAGTTGGCGATTTATTGAAATCCCAAGGGGCAAATATTAATAATACTCTCAACAGTCGATTTGATGGAATCTCAAGTGACATAATTGATAATCAAAATGATGCCCTAACAAATTTGACCACGAAAATGGAACAACAAATGAATCAAGTAATTCAATTTTATTACCTAAAAATAATATATAATTTCAAAAAAAAAAAAAATTATATAATTTCAAAATTCAGAAGTTTCAACAAATTTCTAACTAATATTAATTCAATTATAATTATTTTTCAATCATACAAAATTTTTTTCTACAAAATTTTTAATTTACATATTTTTAATTCACATATTTTGCGAATTAAATTCATTAATTTCGGAATTAAATTAAAATTCATTAGAGAATATTATTTTTAATTAAATTCGAGAGGTGTGAGAATGAAATTTTTTTCAAGGGGGACTTATTCACTTCCGGTTACTACACTCCTGACATTTAGTAACAATAAACGTGGAAATTAATCATTTCCTTTAAATTTAATATAAATAAAATATAAATAAAATATAAATAAAATATAAATAAAAAATATAAATTATTTAAAAAAAAGAAATTTTCGTAAATTTGATTTAATGTATAACGTATGTTAGTTAAATTAAAAATAACAGGAAATTAACAATAAATTATTATTTATAAATATTATTAATTTTCGCAAAAAACGAAAAAAGTAAAAATTGAATTGAAGGAAAAATTAAATTTTGTTTATAATTTAGGTTTGGAGACAAATTAATGTCATGTATCAACAAATGATGGAGAGTGCAAAATCTTTGGATAAATTACACGAACAAAATGAAGTTTACGTCAATGGCACTACATCCACAATGGGCGGAATGAAAAATAAGGTACGATAATTTTCAATAGAATTAAATTAGTAACAATTAATAAAATAATAAACAAAGAAGAGATAAAATAACAAAAATAGACAAAAAAAATAAAAGACAATAAAATAAAAAATTAAGTAAAATAATAAATAAAATGTCCAATAAAATAATAAATAAAAAATTCAATAAAATAATCAATAATTAAACTCAATTTAATAATAAATAAAAAGTAAATAAATAAAATTGTAAAAATTCTCCGCAAGAATTCAATTATTTTCGCATAAATAAGAAAATTCTTCGCAAGAATTAAAATATTTTCGTATAAATAATAAAATTCTTCAAAGGAATTCAATTATTTTTATAAATAATAAAATTTTTCGGAGGAATTCAATTATTTTCAATACAATTTTAATAAAATTTCCCGAAAGAATACAATTATTTTTAAAAATATTATTTAAATTCAATTATTTTCAAGAGTTTTAATAAAAATTCAATTATTTTCAACAAATTCTGATATAAAATTTTTTGAAAGAATTCAATTATTTTTCTAACTTGTAAAATTCTTAGCAAGAATTCAATTTTGTGTAAAAAAAACTCTAATAAAATTCTTCATAAAATTCAATTACTTTGAAAATTTTCAGTAAAAATTATTTTAAAAAACTCCATTATTTTTAAGAAAATTGAAATAAATTCTTAAAAACAATTCAATTATTTTTTTTATTCACAAAAAATTTTATGATTTATGAAAATAATTGAAATCCTACGAAAAACTTTATAATTTTGTCGAAATAATTGAATTCCTGGCAAGAATTTTATTATTTATGAAAATAATTGAAATATTTTTAAGAATTTTTTTTTAAATTTAAAAAAATAATTGAATTTCTAAGAAGAATTTTATTCTTAATGTATAAATAATTGATTTTAAAGAATTTTATTAAAATTTAAAAAAATAATTGAATTTCAGTCAAAACTTTTTTTTTATTTATGAAAATAATTGAATCCCAGAGTGAAATTTCATTTTTTATTTATAGTAATAATTGAATTAGTCGGAAGAATTTTATAAATTTATTAAAAAATAAATGAATTCCTGCGATTTTTATTATTTATGAAAATAATTGAATTTTTGAAAAAATTTTTTTTTTTTTTTATAATAATTGAAAATCTACAAAAAATTTTATGATTTATGAAAATAATTGAATTCTTGAGAATTTTACTTGAAAGGAATTCTTTATAAAATTCAATTATTTTTTTTTATTTACCAAAAATTTTATGATTTATGAAAATAATTGAAATCCTACGAAAAAGTTTTTAAAATAATAATTGAACTCCTGTGAAAAATTCAATTATTTTTTGAAATAATTGAATTTTCTCTGATAATTTTTACAAGACTTTTAAAAAATAATTGAAATTTTCGAAGAAATTAATTAAAAATGGAATTGAAAAAAGGAAATTCTGATAAGAGTTTTATTATTTATATAAAAATAATTGAATTTTTTTACGAAGATTTTTATTATTTATAAATTGACTTTTTGCAAAGAATTTTATTAAAAGTGTTGAAAATAATTGAATTCTTTAAAAAATTCAATTTATTTAGGTAAAGTATTTTAATAAAAATCTTGCCAATGAAATAAAAAATAAAAGTCAATAAAGTAATAAATAAAAGTTTCTAAAAAAATAAATAAAAGTTTCTAAAATAATTAATAAAAGATTTTAAAATAAAAAATCTTTTATTATGCGAATAAATAAAAGACTAAAATTAACAGTTTTAATTACGTTGTTAAAAAATATTTTTTCTCCCTTTTATAAATTAAATTTTTTAATTTAAAACAAAAAAAAATTCCAAATAAAAAGACACATTCTCATTTGTTGTTCCTTTTTCCTTTTTTTTCCTTTCAGGTGGGAGAAATAACGAAGAGAATGTCCGAGGTGGACGAAAATTTGAATTACCTTTTGGGACGATTATCTCTCGTCACACAAGAATTTAATCAAATAAAAAGTGGTCTCGGCGCAGCTCTCGACAATATTAAAGCTTCCTTCAAAGAGGTACAAGAAAAAGCCAATGATTTAACTCCTGGTCCTCATCAAATTCCCGAAAATTATAAAGAACTCGATGAGTCGAAAACAGAACCCGAAATAGTCAAATAAAAAAATTTTTTCTTTTTGTAAAAAAAAGAAAGAAATTTTTCCCCATAAATTCATTTTTTCTATAAATTCACTTTTTTCAATAAATAAAACTCTTTTTTCTATTAAATTTATTTAATTCAGTAAATTAGTTGAATTTTACTTAAAAAATATATTTATCAATTAATATTTAATTAAATAAATATACTGAAAAATAATTTACTGAATTAAAACGATTGAAATCTTTCGTTACGTTAAATTACAAAAAAAAATCAATTTTAACTTCAATTAAAAAATTTAGTTTTAACTTTTTTTTATATTTTTAAACTAGAAAAAATTTAGTTTAATTATAAATATTATTCGCGCATTTTTTTATTGTAAATTTTTTTCGAAATGAATAAAACACATATTCACGTCGATAAAAACGAACATTTTATTTTAAGTTCATTACGAAAGCCATAATTTAATCATTAAGTATTTGTGTATGTCTATTTATATAGTAGAAAATAAAAAAAATATTAAATTTTTGAAATCTGTCTCATTCTATTTTTTTGCAATTAAAAAACTCCCGAATTCGTCCAAAAAAAACCTCTCGAATTGGTTCAATTCGAGAGTTTGAACAGTTTTAATTTTACAAATCGTTGTAGTAAAAAAAATAACCGAACTTGTAAAAATTATTTATTAGAAAAGAGGGTAAAAAACTTACAAGGCACCACATGAAGAATGATGGCAGGAATGGCAGGCGATGAAAACACCTATATTAAATTAAAACACTTTCAGGCACTTCCAGGAATTCGTGGCACTCTGGCACTGAATAAAAGCAAAAAAAAACTGACACTAATTACACTGATCGCGTTTTTCTGAACAAAAAGAACTAAACCTACACCGAGAGGTTATTACACTGTTTGTCGGAAGATTCGATTCACGATTGTCACTCACGAAACACTCGCAATTGTTATAATTTAATTATTAGCGATAGCGACTAAAGAAAAACAAAATAAACTATCATTTTTCTACTTTTGTGCAACAAACACGCGGTCAGTACAATATTTGAATATCGTGTTTTCGTTCTAAAACTGAATATTCCAGGTTAGGTTGGTTTTTAAGCACTTTTCACAATCTGGGAAAAAGGCCTAAGGCTGCGTTTGCATGCTTGCGTACTAAAGGTGCTTCAACAATACCTTTCTTTTTCTGATTCGTGGTCTCGACAATACTCGCGAACAGAATATATTGATGCACGCGCAACAATTTTCCGTTTTTAATTTTACTAATTAAATTATTTTCTATTTAATTATTTTCAAATTAAATTATTTCAACTGAAAATTGTTGCGTGTAAAATTCCCTAGTATTGCGTTGAGAAATGATTTTACGATAAAATTCCCTAGTGTTTTAGAATTTTTAACATGGTTCCTTACGGTAAAATTCCCTAGTATTTTGTTGAGAATTGAGTGCAACAAGGATAGAACATAATTCTATCCTTGTTGCACTCATTTCTCAACGCAATACTAGGGGATTTTACAGTAAAAAACAATTGAATTTACCAGAATATATTTTACCTGACCAACTCTGATAAAAGTTGTATTTTTGCATGGGAGCGAAAAATAGTCTTCAACCCTGGACCCCTGGTGCTATTTTGAAGTCATCTTAAAGAATCGCTTTTGTGAACAAGCCCTAAGTTCGTTTACGAAATTTCCAACTCATTGTATATCGACCTTTATATTCACTGCGATTTGGCGGGAACTTTAAAACGAACAGTGCTGCCACCATGCGTTGACAGTTGAAATACAGTAAAATGTACACACAAATGTAAACAAAACAAAAAATGTAAATACACGTGATATTTAAAGTAAATGAAGTAAAATCAATTATTAATAAATAGTGAATTGTGTGAAAATAATAAATAAGTTTAGTGAAAAATGAGTATCGAGGGACAATTAATGTTTTACTACTGGAATCTTTTTCCCTACGAAGACTGTTGTCGATGGTTCAGTTACATGAATGGTATTGTAAACAGATTTTTATTTTCACCGATTTTGACACATCAATTTTATTACTTTCTTCAAAAAAGAAAAAAAAGAAAAATTGTCCAAGTTCTCTTAATTATGTTTACAAGATTTGGAGTTACAGTTCTTTTATAATGTAGAAAATTCAAAATTGACATTTTAAGGTTATATTGCTTTTTAATGCAAATTTTTGACATTTTTATATATTTATAGATGAATTTATCACTTGGTAAAAATTATATAATTAAATTAAAAGGAAATTAAACGAAATTTACGTCGAAACGTAAAAAGTTGTTTTTATTTGACTTTGGAAGATTGATAATTTTTCGTTTAATTTAATTTTGTCATTTTTGTTAATAAACTAAAAATTCAAAAATTGTAAGTAGGTATAAAATATACTGCAATTTTTTGTTTATTTTAAATATTCTTTTTCCTAGGGTACATTTTGCCTCTTAGGGAATTTGCATTTGGATCGGGTGAAAAGACGTTTCTGCGATATTTATCGTTTAACAGTGCACTCGACTTTAAATTAAATACAAGGCGAATTATTCCAAATAGAATTGATATTGGTGCTGTGTACAATATAGCGTAAGTATAAAACAAAAATTAAAAACTATATAGAAAAATTGAAAAAAAATTAAAAATATTTTTAAAAATAACAAAAATATATGAAATAAATAGATAAATAAAAATTGAAAAAAATAAAAAACGTAAAATTTCTTCACAGGAATCCAATTATTTTCATAAATAATTGAATTTTTAATTCAATTATTTCAATACAATTTAAATAAAAATAAAAAATGTATAAAAAATATAGAAAAAATCAGAAAAAAATATATATAAAATAAATTTCTATTTTACAATAATATTTATTCTTTAATAAGAATTTTTTTTTATTATTAATAATAATTAAAGGAATTTTTGTTTCCTAATTTTAAGACCCCCTCTGGCTGTTATTGGACAAACGAAAAAATCCACCAGTTTTGCTGTGACACAAAGGGAAATAATATTCGACATTGATATTTCCGATTACAAGGAAGTGAGAACTTGCTGCAGTCAATCGGAAATTTGTCGGAAATGCTGGAAATACATGGCGTTGGCTTGCAAAATTTTAGACACATCCTTGAGGGGTATTTTTTCTTAATTTATTAAATTTTATTCATTAATTCAATTTTTTTTTTTGTAAATTATTTAAATACTTCCTGAAAGAAAGATTTTTTTTGAGTTAAACTTGTAAGAATACAAATACAAATATTTTTTAAATTATTAATTAAATTCGATTATTTTCAAGAATTTTAATATATAAATTCAATTATTTTCAACAAATTTTGATGAAATTCTTTTTAAAAAAATCATTATTTTCAAAATTTTTAAATAAAATTCCTTTAAAAAAATAGTCAATTATTTTCGAAAATTTAGATAAAATTCTTGGAAACAATTTAATTATTTTTATGAATTGTAAAATTCTCCGCAAAAATTCAATTATTTTCGCATAAATAAGAAAATTCTTCTGAGAAATTCAATTATTTTAAATACAATTTTTTCAATAAAATTTTTAATAATATTTCTTAAAAAAATTCTATTATTTTCAAAAATTTAGATAAAATTCTTCGAAATAATTAAATTATTTTTTATAAATTGTAAAATTTTTGTCAAAAATTCAATTCTTTTTGTAAATAATAAAATGCTTCTGAGAACGTCAATTATTTTCATAAATAATAAAATTCTTTAGAAGAATTCAATTATTTTCAGAAAAAATAAAATGTTTCGGAAGAATTCAATTATTTTTATAAATTGTAAAATTCTTGTCAAGAATTCAATTATTCTTGTGAACAATAAAATTCTTCTGTGAAATTCAATTATTTTCAATTAAATTTTTGAAGAAAATTCCTTCAAAAAATTCAAACATTTTCAAAAATTCAGATGAAAATCTTCGGAAGAATTCAATTTTTTTTTTTATAAATTATAAAATTATTGTCAAGAATTCAATTTTTTGTGAATAAGAAAATTCTACAAAGAAATTCAATTATTTTCATAAATAATAAAATTCTTTAAAGCAATTCAATTGTTTTCAATACAATTTTAATAAAATTTCTCGAAAGTTCAGAATTATTTTTAAATATATTATTTAAATTCAATTATTTACAAGAGTTTTAATAAAAATTCAATTATTTTCAACAAATTCTTATATAAAATTTTATTCTTCTGAGAAATTCAATTTCAATTATTTTCAATTAAAATTGTTTAAAAAATTAAATTATTTTTAAAAAAATTGATGAAATATTTCTTCTTTAAAAAAAAAATTAATTATAAAATTATTTAAAAGAAAAAAAATGGTAAAATGTACTTTTTTGTTTTTAATTTTCTGATATTAAAAAAAATTGTAAAAAATTCAATTTTAAACAATTTTTTTTTTCTAGAGGATTTTGATTTTGAACATCTTTTGTGGACTTATTCGGGAAATCGGGGAATTCACTGTTGGGTCTGCGATGAAAAAGCACGAAAATTAACTGTGCAAGAAAGAAAATCGATCGCCGATTTTTTGCAAGTCGTTAAACCTGGAGCATTCAATGTAAAGCGAGTGATTATAAACAAAGAGCCAACTTTCTCGATTAAGTAAAAATTTCTATTTTAATAATTAAATTTTGTGTTCGAAAAATATTTTTCCATTTTGTTTCCGATTTTTAATCGTATTTTTCTATTTTTTTTTTATTTTTACTTATTTTTCATTTATTAACTCATTTTTTTTAATTATTTACTTCTTTTTTATTTTTTATTTATTCACTAATTTTTTTACTTATTTACTAATTTTTCTATTTATTTTACCATTTGTTTTTCTTCAAAATAACATTTTTTCAACTATGGAATGAATCGAAAATTATTTTTTACCGTCTCAATGACTTTTTAGTAAGAAAATAAAATAAATTTCTATTTTAGAATTTCAACTAATTTTTCTTGTTCTTTTCTTTAGAAGAGCTTTAGAAATAATTGAACCGAATTTCATTCAAGTTTGCATTGAAGAGCAAAATGTTCTCGGCACGGAGGAAGGAATCGAAAATTTCTGCAATACATTTCTTGCAGTTTACGATGAGGAAACGAAGGGAATCGTAAAAGAAATTTTCCAACAATTCGAAACGTCCATAGAAAGATGGAATGCTTTCGAAGAATTTTTGAAGGTAAATTTTCAATTTTCTTTGTTGTTTTTTTCAACAAAAAAAAATATTTTTTTTTCTTTCGAAACTAAAAAGAATGTTATATTTTTAAAAAAGTTATATTTTTAAAAAAAAATCGTATTTTTGATCAAAAAATTGTATTTTTAATAAAAAAATATTTTTTTAATACAAAAATTACGTTTTTAATTAAAAAAATTATATTTTTGATACAAAAATTACGTTTAAATTAAAAAAATTGTATTTTTAATACAAAAATTACATTTTTAATTTAAAAAATTATGTTTTAATACAAAAATTATGTTTTTAATCAAAAAATTATATTTTTAATGCAAAAATTACGTTTCGAATTAAAAAAATTGATATTTTTAATAAAAAAAAATTTTTGTTTGCAGAAGAAAAATAATTGGCAGAGTAATTACGAGATTGAAGAAATAAAGCTTCAATTCGTCTATCCACGATTGGACGTTAATGTGACGACAGTTTTAACGCATCTACTGAGATGTCCATTTAGTCCTCACATTGGAACAAATAGAATTTGCGTTCCCTTCGATCCGAAGAAAGTCGACGATTTCGATCCAACGACATCGACAAATTTTCCCGGATTATTCGACGAATTACACAAAAATGAAAACGATAATGAGAATTTTAGTCAAATCAATAGTCAACACAACAAAAACAATAGTAGCGAAAAGAATTTGAAAAATTTGGAAAAATTTCGTCAATCACTTTTCATTTTTAATGAGTTCCTTAAAAATCTCGAAAAATACAAATTCTGTTCGTGAAAATTCGAAAAAAAATTCTCGTGTTGATTTTTTTAGTTTCTAAACTCGAGTTTTTTTTTTTTACTTAAATCTCGAAAATTGAAAAATTCATAAAATTCATAGAATTTCACTTTTTGTTTTTAATTCGAGTTTTTTTTTCTTAAATTTCGAAAAATAGAAATTTTGTTCATAAAATTCATAAAATTTCGCAAAAACTCTTTTTTTCAAAATCTCAAAGAATTGAAAATTGTGTTCTTAAAATTTCGCCAATCGCTTTTTTAACGAGTTTTTTTAAATCTCGAAAAAGTGGAAATTTTGTTTGAAAAAAATGAAAAATTAGAAATTCATAGAATTTCGCACAATCAGATTTTGTTTTTAACTCGAGTTTTTTTAAAAATTTTGAAAAAAATAAATCATGTTCAATATAAAAATATTTATTTCAGAAAAGAATAATTAAATTTAAAAAACCAAAAAAAAATTGTGAAACAATAAATTTTTACTGAAAATTCCTTTGATTTCAAATGATGTTCAATTAAATGTACAGTTAACTAATTAATATGTTAATTAAATAATGTGATTTTATAATTAAATCGTAAGAAAATTAAAGAAATTTATTACAATAATTTAAGAAAGTTGAAACAATAAAAAATTATTTTATTAATTTCTAATTTTATTCATTTCAAGTCCCGTTAATAATAAACTTAAGACTTAACTTTTCTTTAGAAAAAATTATAATAATTCAATTTTTTTCAATCAATTTAATTGACTGAAATTTAGTTCAGTTTTACATTAGGATATTTTTTCCAATCAATTTAATTGACTGAAATTAAATTAAATTTTACATTAATTGAGATATTCTTTTCAATCAATTTAATTGACTAAAATTAAGTTCAGTTTTATATTAACATATTTTTTGAGAATTATTTTTTAAACAGTTTTGTTTTAATATATAATTTAAAAAAAAAATTTCAAGATAATTGTTTAAATGTTTTAAAAAAAATTAAAATAAAATAGAAATTCAATTTATGAGAAAATGAAAAGAAGAAATAAATACGAAAAAAGAGAAAAGCAGTTTTTTTTAAGGCGATGGTCGCCTTTGTGTTAATGGAAATTGTGAGAGAGTTGATTCGTCCGATTCAATGTCAAATTGAACTTTTCTTGGCGATTTCGATTCAAGCGGAATTTCCATTTTATTCGTCGCTGATAATGGTTTTAAAATTGATTTTAGACTATCGATTTTAGTTTCTTCCATTAAATTCGCCTGCGAACATAATTTTCCACGGGACTTTTTTTATCAAATAAATTTACAGAGAAAAAATAAGAATCACAAAAGTGAAATAAAAAACAACTAAAAATAATTAATAATAATAAAAAAATTAAATATAAAAAAACAATCGCAAATTAAAATAAAAAACATTAATAAAAAAAATTAAATAAAGAAAAACAAGAATAATATTAATAATAATAGTAAAAATGAACAAAAAATAATACCAAAAAAAAGGGAAAAAATGAATAAAAAAAGAAAAGTTGGTAAAAAATAGGAAAAGTTGTGGAAAAAATGAAAGAAAAAATAAAAAAAGAAAAAAGTAAAAAAAATAATTAAAAATGTAAATAAATATTAAAAAAAATATAAATATAATATAAATAATGAATAAATTATTAATTACCTCCATTTCATCAAATTTGTACTCGTCTTTTTTCTTTTGATTCTGAGCTTTAATTTTTTTCACCTCCTCCTGCAATTTTTTCAATTTCTCTCGAAGCGCTCGTTCTTTCTTCATTTCCTTATCGTCACGTTTCTTTATTTCACGCTTCATCTAAATGACAAATTATTTAAATTTACTACTTCTATCTTTTATTTTCAAAAAATAAAATATCAATTTTCTAATTAAAGCGCATTTTTCTCTTTTGTTAAGAAATAAATAGAAATAAATTTTATTCATACAAAAGAAGCGTATAATTTCTTTCTGCGAAACATTTTTAATTAAAAAAAATAATAGAGGAAAAATATGTTTAAAAAAAAAAACCATTTCAACAAATGGAAAACAATTAAAACCAATTAAAAAATTAAAATCAATTAAAACAAATTAAAAACAATTCAAATTAATTAAAAACAATTAAAACAAATTAAAAACAATTTAAATTAATTAAAAATAATTAAAACAAATTAAAAACAATTAAAACAAATTAAAAATAATTTTAAAAAATCATAAAACAAATAAAAAACAATTAAAAAAAAGAAAACAAAATTTTAAAGAATCAATTGAAAAATTTTTTTGTTCTTTAAATTTAAAAAAAGAATTAAAAAATATTTTAATAATCAAAAAAAGATTTTAAATTTCTTTCATTTAAAAAAAAACTGAAAAATAAAGAAAGTTTTTTTTAACTTAAAAACAAATTTAAACAAGAATTTGAGAACATTTTTGTTTTTAGAGAAAAATTGAAAAAATTAAGTGTTTTTTAAATTAAAAACAAATTAAAACAAGAATTTTAGAAAATTTTTGTTACAAAAGAAAAATTTTAAAAAGTAAAGAAAGTTCTTTAATTTAAAAACAAATTAAAATAATTTATTTTAGAAAATTTTTGTTACAAAAGAATTTTTAAAATAAAGAAAGTTTTTTAATTTAAAAACAAATTAAAATAATTTATTTTAGAAAATTAGAATTTTAGAAAATTTTTGTTACAAAAAAGAAAGCTTTTTGAAATGAAAAACAAATTAAAACAAAAATTTGAGAAAAATTTTTTTATAAGAGAAAAATTAGAAAAAGTAAAGAAAGTTTTTTTTTAAATTTAAAACAAATTTAAACAAGAAAAATTGAAAAAATAAAGTGTTTTTTAAATAAAAATTAAATTAAAACAAAAAGAGAAAATTTTTGTTATAAAAAAAAGTAAAACAATTAAATTTTTTAAAATTAGAAACAAATTAAAACAAGAATTTAAAAAAAATTTTGTTACAAAAGAAAAATTGAAAAAATAAAGAAAGTTTTTTTTAAATTAAAAACAAATGAAAAGAAAAAGGGAAATTTTTTGTTAATAAGAGAAAAATGAAAAAGAAAATGTTTGCACACCTGAGCAATATTCTTAGCATTCCCTTGAATTTCCGTCTCGAGTGCAAGAGTCGAATCATTAAATTCCCTGGTTTCATTGACAATACTATTTTCAATGAATTTTAATTTTTCCTCTGTTGTTTCTTTCAATTCAGTTTCCTCGGCGATTAAATTTTTACGAACTTTCAATGCATCCTCAACGTGTTGCGCCACTTCTAAACTGTCTTTTTTCATATTTTCCAATAATCCAATTTTCTCCGTCTCCTGATAGTTTTCGTTCTTTAATTCCTCAATTTTACTCTCCAATTCATTCTTTTTCTTTTGTCCATTCTCCTGAAGCTGTAAATTTCCCTGCTTTTCTTGCATTTGCTTCGTAATTTTTTCTCTCATCTCCTTTATTTTCTGTTTATTCGAAAAATTAAAATAATTAGAAATTAATTTCTTTTTGCAATATAAGAAAAAGAAAAATTGTTTTTCCTTTTAAGAAAAAAAGAAGGAAACTATTTTTTTAAACACAAAACTTGTTTTTTTTCCTAACGAAAAAAAACTTTTTTCTTTAACACGAAAACTTTAAAAAAAAAAGAAAAAAAGAAATTATATTGAAAAAGAAAAATTTGTCCCAAAGAAAAAATAAAAAAAAATTTTAACAAGAAAATTTTAAAAAAGAAAACTTCGAAAGAGAAAAAATTGTCTCAAAGAAAAAAAAAGAAATGAAATTTTTTAGTCAATTGATTATTTACTTTTGAAGCAAAAAGGAAGAAAATAAAAATGTTTACCTCTCGCTTTTCCTCAATAATTCGTTTATCTTCTTCGATTTTATTTTTCCTCTCTTGTAAAAGATTTTCCGCTTCTTTCAAATCCTTTTGTTTCTGTAAATGTTCTTCCTCTGAAAATTGACGCAAATTATCCAATTCTTTAACTGATTCTTCGAGTTCAATAATTTTTTTATTATTATTTTCCTCATAATTCTTGAGAATCTCTTCAATTTTCGACTCTTCGATTTCTTTAAAACTAATTAAGGGCAAATCATTTGTTTTGCAAACTTCTTCGTAATTTTTCTCGCAATTTTCCAACTGGAACGAAAATTTAAATTTTCAACAGTTTATAATAATAACAATTTTGTCATTATTATTATTTTCATTATTAATAATAAAAATAATAAAAAAAAAATAATAAAATTAATTAAAATTATAATAAAAATAAGATAATTTTAATTTTCTTGCCTTTTCAACGGAAGTTTCTAGTAATTTTTCGAATTTTGCAAGTTCCGCCGTTTGTTCGGCTTGAATTCTTCTATAAAAATAAAATAATTAAATTAATTAAAATTTTTAAATATAAATTTATTTTTTATTATTTATTGATTTTATTATTTTAAATTAAATTAAATTAATTAATTTAGAATAAAACTTCCTGCAATAAATTGAGATATTTTACAAATTTTCTTTTAAAATTGAAAAATATTTGAAAATTTTTTATTTTAAAGAAAATTGAAGAGAAAATATTTTTAATTTAAATAACTTACTGTTCATCGTCCAATTTTGATTTCCTTTGATCTTCTAAAGTTTTCAAAAATTTCTCCAATTCCTTCATTTCCACTTCTCGTTTCTTTTTTTCCGCTATTTTTAAATTCAGATCTTCAATTTGCTTCTTAAGTCCATGCAGCTTCAGTAAATAGAAAAAAATGCAAAGAATAATTTTTTAATAGAAAAAAATTCAAAGAATAATTTTTTAATAGAAAAAAATTTAATAGAATAATTTTTTAAAAGAAATTTTTAATAGAAAACTTCCAAGTTTTGTTTGAAAATTATTTATATAAATAAATAATAAGAAATTATTATTTAATGAAATTTTTAACGATCAAATTTGACTCACGTTCTCATGATTTTCCTTCTCTTTCGAATTAATATCATCGAGATCACTTTTTTCCTTCCTCTTTCCTTTCAAAACGTTTTCGATCTCCAATTTTCTTTACGGAGGGAAAATAGAAAAAAAAAACAAACATTAATTAAATTTAAACCAGAAAAATTGTTTCTTTCTAAACGTTTTTGTTTAATTACTTGTCCTCTTCTTCTTTCAGTTCCACTTGAAAGTTCTCATATTCACTATTTTTACACCTTTTCTCAATCAATAAATTTTCAAGTTGAAAAATTTCATTTTCAATCGAATCCCTTCGAGAACGAATTTCACTCCAACTTTGTTCTGTAAATAAATAAATAAATAAATAAATGTTAAAAATTAATAAACAATCGAATATTTCTCATATTTTCAATTTTCTCTACATATTTCACTTTTTTTCTTTCACTTTAAAAAAATAATAACTTATTAATTTCACTTTTTCTTTGCTTTCGCTTTCAAAATAAAAAATAAATAATAATTTATATAAATTGACAAAAACAATGAATTTATTGAATGAATTATAATGTTTAAAATTTTATTCCTTTTAATTGAAAATAAGAAAAAGTTTTTATTTTTTTACTAAAAAGATGAAATAGATCAAAAATAGAAAAGCGAAAAACTTTGTTATTCAAGCGAAATTAAGTTTAAATTATGAATTTTAATTTTTACATTTAATTTCTTAATAAGAAAAAGAAAATTCAATTTTTATTCGAAATGTAGAAAAAAAAGGGAAAAACTTCTTTTTTTACTTTATTATCAAAGCGAAATTAAATTGAATGAATGAATGAATTAAAATAAATCAATAATTTTAATTTTTGAATTTTATTTTCTTCGTGTTAAAATAAGAAAAAGAAAATTAAATTTTTATCAAAAAGATTCAAAAAGAAAAAAAGGCCAATACCTTCTCCTCTATTGTCCGAGTGAAATTTATTTATTTTTACATCTTTCTCTTTGATTGCTGCCAATAATTCAAAAACTTGGTCCTGATGTTTAACAACAAGAGCAAATTTTTCTCCATGAAAATTGTATTGTTCGTTAATAACAGTCACGTCTTGTTTTAAATTTTCTATGTAGTCGTTCAACTTTGTGAATCTGAGAAAATCAAATTAATTATTTTAGTATTATAAACTCTATTTATTTTCAAAAATAAGAAAATTCTTCGCAAGAATTAAAATATTTTCGTATAAATAATAAAATTCTACAAAGGAATTCAATTATTTTCAATACAATTTTAATAAAAATTTCTCCAAAGAATACAATTATTTTTAAAAATATTATTTAAATTCAATTATTTTCAAGCGTTTTTAATAAAAATTCAATTATTTTTAACAAATTCTGATAAAATTCTTCGAAACTAATCATTTTTATAAATTGTGAAATTCTTGGCAAGAATTCAATTATTTTTTCTAATAATAAAAATCTTCTGAGAAATTCAATTATTTTCAGATACAATTTTAATAAAATTTCTATAGAAAAAATTCAATTATATTCAAGACAATTCTTATAAAATTAAATTATTTTTACGAAATTTAATTAAATTCTTCTTCTTCTTCAAAAAAAAAAAAAAATGTAATTATTTACAAAAACTCTAATAAAATTGTTTAAAAGAATTTAATTTTCTATGAATAATTTTAATATAATTTAATAGAAAAACTTATTAATTACAATTAATAATAAACACGATTATTTTTTAACGATTTATTTTTTAAATATGGATACTTGCTCGGTTTTGAAAAAATGTTGTTGCTTCTTGTAATCCTTGCATTTCATGAGCTCATCGAGACGTTTCTTCTCGTCCTCGTAAATTGTTTGCCAATGAAGATTCTCCGCTTTCATCAAATCAGTTCGATGCTTCATTTCATCCTCGGCAATTGACTCGTCGTCAATCTTGAAAATTTTATTCAATTTTACAGTAAAAAAAATTTTTGCGAGAATTTACTTTTTCTTTACTTAGAAAAAAAAGAATGTGAAGCAAAAATAAACGAATTATAAATTAAGTAAATAATCAATAAAGTTAAGTAATAAAATTATAAACAAATTGGAGAATATAAAAAATAAAATATAAATAATTCTGAGAAAATTCAAACTAAATAAAAAACTTTTCAATATTATTTGATAATTATATTAAATTTATTTTATTTATTTATTTATAGAAAATAGTAAAAGGATATTTTTGTAAATAAAATACTTTACATTGAAATAGAAGGCAAATAATTTTTATTTTATTTATTTATTCACAAAGTAGAAGTTATTATATAAAAATAAATGACAAAATAAAAATAAGTAAAAATAAATTTTGGAATGTAATTTAACACTCGATTTTTAATCCCTAGGGATTAAATGTATTATTAATCCCACGGGGTTTATACAAGAGTCTCTTCACAAAAAATAATAATAAATAAAATAAAAAATAATTGATTGTAAAAATATTTACCTTTTCCATCGGAAGCATAATTTGCGACGTTGAAAGAAATTCCGCTGACATATTTCTTGTGTATTCTACAAAATGTGAATGTTTTCCTTTTGTAATTTTTTTCCCTAAGAATAGAAAATGAACGATTTTTAATTTACCACGAATATTATTTTTAACGCTTCTAATGTAACACTAAATATTTTGCGAAAGTAAAAGAAGAAAAGACGGGAAACAAAACATGTGGAGTGATCGACAAAAACGAGAAAAACTCAATGGATTGTATAGAGAAATTTCACTCATTTACAATTATTACTGTCGATTTAGGAAACTAACAATCACGTGTGTACTTTAAACAAGTTATAATTTAATAATGTTTTTCTTTTGTTTTATGTTTTTGATTTCGAAAATTCTTCATAAACTTTCAGAATTCACAGTTTCAGACAATTCAGACGGCTTTCTGTTCAGAGTGAAGTGAGGATATATTCAGGGTGGGGAAATTGATACGATGCATATAGGCAGGGATGGGTGAGTGAAGAGTGAGAAAACTTAGGCTATGTTTACAATTTTCCGTTTTAACGCGACTTTTTGCGTTTTTGTACTTCTATCTTTCTTATTACATTCATTGCTCAAATAACTCAAGGTAAAGATAATTAAATATTAAAGATAATTAAAAATTAAAGATAAAAAATACACCCTTGTGTTTTGATGCTGTCCTTCCGGTTTTGAGATAATTTAAAAAAGTCGTTACATATCTACCAAAATTTAGTAACTTCATGACGTATATGAACGAACTTACGTCACGAACTAACAACAATTTGATAGATGTGTCACGACCTTTAAAAACGCCGTCAAACCGGAAGTACAACATCAAAGCATCAGGGTGTATAATCAATATCCAAAGCGTCAATTTAATTAATCATTTCAGAAATATTTAGACCTAAACACAATCATCAAAATTATTAAAAGCCATATGCAGAATAAATTTTTTTAAAAGTTAAACTCTGGTTAACACAATTGTGGAACCGGCCCTAAATGAGAGAAAGATGGATAGAAACATCGTTTGTCTCTTTCCAGAAAAGAAGAGAAAATATTTCTATTCTTCTCTCTCTAAGGTAAAAATTAAAACACATAATTTAGAAGTTTCATTCTGCGCATGCCTATAATTGCCAATACGAAATAGGAAAGAAAAGGACAGAAATATCGTCTGTCCTTTACTGTCTCATGAAAAGAGAACGTTAAGGGTATTGTCCACAATAGCACATTCGATAAAAATGATCAAACTAAATAAAATATGTTCAGGTATACAATTAAATATGCACAAAAAGGTTATAAATTACAATTCATGGCAAAAGTTATAATTAATTGAAAGTAAAACAGAAAAAAGCGTTAAAATCGAGGTTAAAATATAATTTTAATAATTATAATTGTCTGTATCAGAAAAATATAAGTAAGAGGCACGATGACCTCATAAGACAACAATTATTTATCAACGTAAGGTTGTCTCATGACTGTCACGCGCTTTTCTATCTCATTTCAAAAGCTACATATAATCTTATCTAAAAAATCAAAGTGTAACATATTTTTCATTTACTATTTGTTTTGCAAAATTGGTCAAAATAAAACAAACCGATCTCTCCCCCCCCCCTTTCTTTTTTCCTCAAAAAATATCATTTTTTGTTCGTTCAATTGTCTCACCGGACATTTAAAAACAAAACTTTGAGCTTTTTTGTGAAAAAAAAACCGGACGCGCTTCGAAGAAAAGTTGCAAAAATTTTTTAGGTTATGTTTGATATCTTTTTTTTTACCCTTTCTATTTAAATAAAGAATTCTTTTTTAATTCTGTAAAATAATAATTTTTATCTGCGAATATTTTAAGAATCAGAATTCAAACTTGCTTGAATTCCTTGAATTGTTTATTAAAACCTAACCTCAAAATGTTTGCCTCTTTTCTCTTTCTTCGCAGCGCGTCACAAATAAAAATAAAAAAAAAAAATATTATTCGTGAGAGAAATCTCACTTATCGTTGATTTCTAATAGTTTCAGAGTAGAAAATAATTGAAAAAATAAATAGCAAGTAATCAATCGTTATATCGGAAATTACTGTTTTTTCATGGGAAAGTGAATAATAACACAACAGGTGTTTATACAAAGGGGACAAAGAGGGGGAGAAAATGGAATATAATTGAAATGAAAATAAACAAAGGAATTTTGCAATTTCATTCCCGGAAAATTATTATTTAGGTTTTAGTATTAATATATGTATGTAGGTATATATATTTGTGTAAATCAATGGATCCTCATTTGCACTGCGCAAGACAAGTGTCATTCAGGATGTTGCGCTTTCTGATCTTCCCTCAGGAGCGTCTCACACGTCTCACAATATCAATCAATATTTCCTTTATCAAAAGTAGTATTTATGACATTTTTTTTCTCTCACCTGCATATTGGCAGAGTAAACACAACATTTTTATTGTAAAAATAGTAATTTTTGATGTAAAAATAGTAATTATTATTGTAAAAATAGTAATTTTTACTTTAAAGCCAGTAAGCAAAGTTTCTATTCAAAAATTTTATTTACTATCGCAATTTTTTATTTTTTAACGGTTTTTCTACAAATATTTTTTCTTAGAAAAGTCCAGTCGAGTCCAAAAGTCAAAGGAAACGTCCACTTCCTAAAAGTACAGTCATGTTAAAAAAATAATTGCAAATAATTATTATTAATATTTATGAAGGAAAATATAATAAATAACTACTAAAAGTATATAATTAAATAATAGTAAATAATGAATAATAAATAATAATTAATAATTAATAATGAATAAATTATAATAAAAATAAAATAATATATTATAATTAATATAATTAATTAATTATTAATAATAAAAAATTTTTCTTCTGGATTTCTTTTTCTAATTTTTTTTCCACTCGTTTTCTCAACTTTTTTCTATAATAAAAAAAATAAATTTTTATTTTTGTTTTCCGATTAAATTATCAGAAAACGATTTTCCAAAGCGCAAATTTGGAAATAATAATTTGTTTTTAATTAATTTTCTTTTCGATAAACAGAGGGGGATGAGCCCTGGGTTCTGGGAATTGTCGATCCAGTGTGTGAATACCCCTCTTTTGGAACAATTGCGGAGTCGCGAGGAGCTTACATATAGGTGAGAGGGCAGGATGCTGTAGATCCACGAACGAAGAAAATTATTTCTCGCAAACTAGTCGTCGATGGAAATTCGTGAAACATAGTCACACATACTTTTCGAGACAGAGAAGAGAATCGTTGAAAAATATACTATTGACTAAATTTTCTTTTTTCGAATATTAATCTCTAGTTTATTATAAAATAATATTAATAATCAACAAATATGAAGGACCACGAACCTGCGTCAATAAAAAAACCCACAAAATTAAGGAATCTTATCTATAAAACCGAGGCATTCGATTCACTTCATCCAAAAAGTGCAGTGGTGAGTTAAATAAATAATTTTTTAACACGAAAATAGTGAGTAAATTTTTTTTTTTTTTGATTTTTTAAATAATAATTTTTATCGAGTATTATTTATAGAAAATATTTTAATTTTTGCAAATTGATATTTATTTTTCTAATTTTTGTGTTTTAGTATGAAAATCAATTTTAATTACTAATAAAATAAACATTATTTTCTAATTTTAGCATTAATGCCAAAGAAATTTTTATTTTCGAATTTTAGCAACAATAGCAGAAAAAATTTTTCCTTAAGGGCATTTGAACCTTGATGACGTTACAGATTGTGCAAAGCATGTGTGACGTCATCAAGGTTCAAATGCCCTTAAATTTGAATTAGTAAAATTTACCAATAAATTAGTAGAAATTAATATTTTTTAGTCAAATTTACAAATTAAAATTAGTAATCAATTAAATTAGTAAATATTCTTATAAATTAGTAGACATTAATATTTTTTAGTCAAATTTACAAATTAAAATTAGTAAATTAATTAAATTAGTAAATTTTACCAATAAATCAGTACACATTACTATTTTTAGTCATATTTACTAATTGAAATTAGTAAATTAATTAAATTAATCAATTTTACTAATAAATTAGTAGAAATGACGATTTTTTAGTAAAATTTACTAATTAAAAATAGTAAATTAATTACATTAGTAAATTTTACTAATTAAAACTGGTAAATTAATTAAATTAATAAATTTTACTAATTAAAATTAGTAAATTAATAAACTTTGAAAATTTTACTAATAAATAAATAGAAATTACTATTTTTAGTAAAATTTACTAATTCAAAATCCAAATTTCAGTAACTGATTCAAATTAGTAAACATTTTTATTAATTCAAATTTAGAGAGTTATTTTCTTATTTTTAGTAGTAATGCTAAAATAATTTTTATTCGTTAATTTTAGTATTGATACCAAACATTTTTTTCTTCCCAGATTTACTAATTAAATAAAAGATGTTAAAAGTGTTGATCAGTCAATTCGTAATTAGTGAAAAGATGTTAAAAACTTTACTAATTAAATGTAGTAAAAAATTTACCAATTAAAATTAGTAAATTAATTAAATTAGTAAATTTTGCTAATGAATTAGTAGAAATTACAATTAATTAGTAAAATTTACTGCGTAATTTAAATTTAGGGATATTTTCTTATTTTTACTATCAATGCTAAAATAATGTTCATTTACTAATTTTTAGTACTATTAATATCAAAAATAATATTTTTATTCTCTAATTTTTAGTATTAACACTAAAATAATTTTCATTTTCTAAATTTGAATATTAATACCATATCCAATTATTATTGACAATAATAATATTATTAAAAATTTATTAATCATTATATAAATACTAACAAAAATATAATATTAAAATACGAAAATTAAAAAAAACTTTTACATACAATAATCAATTTAATCAATAAATATTTTTATTTTCCGAAAAATACCTGGTATATTGATTTTTTTTAAAGAATTCTCAAAATTGCATTCTTTGCAAAGTTTGAATGTTAAATAGAAGAGATATTTTCGAAATTGGGTCACTGTGTATAATTATTGTAAAGGTCGTCATTAAAGTCTATTCAAGAATTAGGATTTAAAATATTCCTATTGTTTTTAAACAACCCCCCGTGACAATTTTTTGTCTGCGGAATTAATTTCTATTTTTTTTTCTCAATTTTTACTGAAAAATAATTATTTTTATTTATAGTAAAGTGTATAATATTATTGTAAATTTATAATAATCTAAACGGACATTAATGTTTGAATTAAAAAAAAAAAAGAATATATACGATAATTTTCTACTTAAAGGTTAACGAGAAATTTCTTCGATTAAAAAATAAATGTTAACAAATTATTACGAAACAATCACTATTTATTTATTTTTACTTTTATTATATATCTTTTATTTTTTATTTATATGGTTTTCAATTATAGTCTGCTCTATGAATTTGAATTAATTAAAAATAACTAATTATTAATTAAAAATAATTAATTATTAATTAAAAATAACTAATTATTAATTAAAAATATAACTAATTATTAATTAAAAATAATTAAGTATTAATCAAAAATAACTAATTATTAGTTAAATTCACTTTTAGGTTATGTAAAAATAACAGAAATTTTTTGTAACGAGAGAGAAAAGGATAGAAATATCGTCTGTCTTTATCTAGAAAAGGACAAAGTATATCTTTATCCTTCTCTTTCTCATTCAACAATTACACTATGTCGTTTTTAAAAATTTCTTAAGCCTAATTCATAGTTCACAATTAGCTTTTTTAAAGGTCAATTCATCAATTCCCTTTCATAATAAGCTAATTGTAAACCGGCCTTAAAGTTAACTTCCTATATTTTACCAATTATTCGCACACCCTATTGTTTTATAACAATTAAAATTAAATTTCGTGGTTAATTCTTAGACTACAAGATAAGTGAGGTTCCAACTGATAATATTGTTAATGTAATTATAAATTAATTAGAGTTTTCTTTTTGCTTCTTTGCAGAAAACCCTATGTTCCAGTCATGTTTGTATGGGAAGCGTTATGGCACTTCCATTTCATGGAACTGAACCACGAAGCAAGGACGAAATATTAAATCACGCCAAAGACTTTTTGGAACAGTATTTTACATCCATCAGAAGGTAATTTTTATTTTTTTAAAAACTTATTTATTATCTAAAATAATTTACCTATTATTATAAATAACTTTTGATATATTTTTTATCTATAGATTAAGCAGCGATGCACATAAGTCAAGATGGGAGTGCGTGCAAAAAGAAGTAATGGCGCTCGGCACTTATCAGTTGACGGAAACGGAACTTGTTTTTGGCGCAAAATTAGCTTGGCGAAATGCCGCGCGATGCATTGGAAGAATTCAGTGGTCCAAGCTACAAGTAATTTTCAAGTTTCTTTATTCTAATAATAAAATAGTAGTAGACTTATGACGCCCTCTGAAGAAAGATACCTAAGGAGCAAAAAATTTTAAGGTTATGTTTGTCACTTTCCGAACGAAAAAGTTATCTTTCTTCAGTGCGTTGCGTCCCATTTTAATATTGAAACCGCGATAGAAAATCACCCGAGTTTTTTTTTTAAAAACTTTTGGATTATTAAATAAAAAGTAAAATTTTGGGTGATTGTCAATTTTTATCAAAAAATGATTGTTTATTTTTGAATTTGAAAAGGTATTCGATTGTCGTTACGTGACAACAACAAGTGGAATGTTCGAGGCACTTTGCAATCACATAAAATACAGCACAAATAAAGGAAACATTAGGTAAATGAATCCACGTTAAAAAATAAAGGCCAATGCAGAATTGGTTCGCGAGAGTCGTTTCCGAACGAGACCCATGAGATAGAAAAGGACACAAATATATATATATATATATATATATATATATATATATATATATATATATATATATATATATCTCTGTCCTTTTCTAACTCATGCTTCGCGTTCTCGAACGACTTTCGCAAAGCAGTTGTGCTTAGGCCTTGAAATATATAGAAATATAAATAAATATAAATATAGAAACTATTTAAATTATAATTTAAAAAAATATTTATTAATAAAAAAAATATACTTGAATAATTTTGAAGATCGGCGATAACAATTTTCCCACAACGAACCGATGGAAAACACGACTTTCGCGTGTGGAATCAACAATTAATAAGCTACGCGGCCTATAAATTGGAGGATGGAACGATTATTGGCGATCCAGTAAATCTCGAGTTCACTGAGGTAAAATTGTTATTTAAAACCACTTAAAACGCAATAGCTTCGGGAAAGTCGCGAATCTATTGTGCATGGGCCTTAAAATTCCTAGAAATCAAGGGGGAATCCCCGAGGAACGTGGGGTAGAAAAGGACACAAATACATCTCTATCCTTTTCTATCTCATGCATTTCGTTCGCGAATTCAGCTTAGGACTCTACTGAAAATTATTTCCTTTAGGAAAATCGCTAAAAATTGAATAAAATTAACAAAATACGTAATAATTATTGTTATCCCTATAGCTATGTCTGAAATTAGGATGGAAAGGCCCAAGGACGAAATTTGACGTGCTGCCATTGGTTCTATCGGCAAATGGACACGATCCCGAATGGTTTGATATTCCCGGCGAATTAATTCTTGAGGTCCCGCTTATTCATCCAACGTGAGTTAAATTTTTAAAAAAGGGAGGGGGGAGAATAAAACTTTTAACAAATTAGAATTTTTCTGTAAATTAGGATTTAAATAACTATTTATAAATAACTATTTCTGACAAAAATCTTAAAGAATGAAAATTACTTTGGGCCATTATTTTTTTTCAGATACGAATGGTTTGAAAAATTAGGACTCAAATGGTACGCGGTGCCAGCAGTTTCAGGAATGGTTTTCGATTGCGGAGGATTGGAATTTACAGCGGCGCCATTTAATGGCTGGTACATGAGCACGGAAATTGGGGCTCGCGATCTTTGCGACATGGGACGATACAATTTAACGGAGGTATTTATAAAAATTAAAATTCTTCTATTCAATTGTCAAAAGTTACAAATTTACAAATGTTACGCTCCGCAACAAAAGGTAAAAGAAAAGAAAAAAGTGGCACAAACATTAACTTAATATTTTCGGAAATTTAAGGCTAATTCACAATTGGTTCGCTGACGCAAAGAATGAGTTAGAAAAGGACAAACAATCAAAATCGAATCTTTTTATTGCAAAGTAAAAACAGGCAGACATAACCTAAAATTTTCGGATGTTAAAGGATTCTTTAGGCTTCTTTAGGTTTTTTTCATTGTCGCGGAGCGGTACAAATTTCGAATTCTAAGCAAGATTGTAAAGGAAAAAAAATTTTGAAAATGTAGGAAAATATTTAAAAAGTAAATGAAGAACAATAAGTTTTTTTCTAGACAATAGCAACGCATATGGGTTTGGACACACGAACACCAATATCTCTTTGGAAAGATAAAGCCATGATTGAAGCTAACGTTGCAGTTCTTCACAGTTTTCAGGTAGGAATAAATTCTTTGAAAATACAGGTAACTGCTTTATATGCTGTCCTTCCGGTTTGCTTACACTTTTTGAAATCCTTGTAATTTCTAGTTCTACCATTGTGTTATTAATTCGTGGCGAAAATATTTATCATTTTAGTCACGAACTAATAAGATTGTGATAGAAATGAGACGCGGTTTTGGAAAAAGTGTACGAACCGGAGGGACAGCATATAAGCAGTTGCCTGTAGTTGCAAAATTGTAAAGAGGCCTTAAGAGCTGTCTATACTTGTCCGTCAGATTACGCACAAAGATAGGGAAATCCCCGGACAAAATAAATGGGGAGAAAAGTCGCTACGGTTCATTAAACTAAACTGAACTAGAGTTTGGTCGAACTCTATTTCAGTTTAGTTTAATGAACACACGACGCTGATTTTTATCAACTTTACAATATTATTTTACGAAAAATTGTTTTCCAGATGAAAAATGTGACAATCGTCGATCATCACACCGCATCGGAATCTTTTATGAAACACTATGAAAATGAAATGAGATTGAGAAATGGATGCCCGGCGGATTGGGTCTGGATAGTTCCTCCAGTGTCCGGTTCGGCGACTCCTGTCTTCCACCAGGAGATGGCGCTGTATCATTTAAAGCCATCATACGATGCGCAGGTTTAATAACGCTTTTTCGATTTTCTTTTTTATTAATTAATTTTTAAATAGCGTCAAGGGGAGAAATTGACGAAAAATAAACAAAATTACAGGATCCCGCTTGGAAGACGCACATTTGGAAGAAGGGGAGAGACAAAAGATGTATTTCCAAGAAACCAAGAAGGAAATTTCACTTCAAACAAATTGCCAGGTACACTCTCATATAATAAACACATGGCCCAGAGCCGCTGGAATGGAGTTTTCGTCAAGTTTAATTAAAATATAAAAAATTTTTAAATTGAGAAAAATTCTTTTCAGGGCAGTAAAATTTACGTCGAAATTATTTGGTCGCGCACTTTCGAGACGAATAAAGGCTACGGTATTATTTGCCACTGAAACTGGGACATCGCAAATGTACGCGGAGAAACTTGGTGAACTTCTTGGTCACGCTTTTCACTCGCAGGTAGGGGATTAAAAATTTTCGCCGCTCGGATAAACTATTAAAATTATAGTAATTACAAAATTTACCTTTCTATTCCTGTGGTTTTTGAACTAATTTCTAAATTGTCACGCAGGTATTAAGCATGTCGGACTACGACATCAGCAATATTGAACACGAAGCTCTTCTCCTGGTGGTGACTTCCACTTTCGGAAACGGCGATCCTCCGGAGAATGGCGAGGTCTAACTAAAACTTCATTTTTATATCGTTTTTTTAAATTTCAATCATAATAAGTGACGCGCTTCGAAGAAGCAAAAAATTTGAGGTTATGTTTATAATCTTTTTTTCCTTTAAGGCCTAGGCACAATTGCTACGCGAATCCAAAGCATGAGTTAGAAAAGGACAGAGATATATTTGTGTCCTTCTCTATCTCATGCGCCTCGTTCGCGAAACTATTGTGCGTTGGTCTTTACCTTTTAATTGTAAGGTAAAAATGATACAAACATAACGTTCTTCTTCTTTCTTCAATGCAAACATAAACTTAAGATAGTTTGCTTCTTAGGTACCTTTCTACGGAGCAAGTCACAATAATTAGTAAATTTAACACGAAAAAAAAATTTTCAGGCATTCGCGCAAAATTTATACGCCATGAAGATGAACGAAACTTACACAAATAGCGACAAATTGAAGTAAGAATTATTTCAGTAAATATAAAGTTTACATTTGCGTCATCAGGTACAAAAGATATTTAATAAACAATATCAATTTTTAGCCTCACCACTTCAAAGTCGTTTATAAAGGCCAACAGTCAAACTGAGGTGGGGAATTTAAAAAAATTAGATCGTTTGGATTCACTAAGAGGCTCCACTACTGATTCGCAAGTTGATGATACTTTCGGCGCCCTCAGCAATGTTAGGTGAGTTATTCAATATTTGTGTTTTTGTCATTTACCCAGAGTTATAACTCTGTATTAACGATTGTCCAATCATCAATTAACATTCTGTTAAATCTAACCAATCATAATTAACTCGAGCTAATTTTAACTAATATTAAAACCGATTTAATGAAAACTATAATGTATTTATTTTCAGATTTGCAGTCTTTGCTCTAGGATCCTCCGCCTATCCGAATTTTTGCGCCTTCGGACGTTATGTGGATAATCTCCTGGGCGAATTGGGAGGAGAGCGACTGCTGCGATTGGCCCAGGGCGACGAAATGTGCGGACAGGAACAGGCTTTCAGAAAATGGGCCCACGACACTTTTGCGGTTAATATAAATTTCGCCGAATTTCAAATTTTCTTTTTCCCTTCTTCTAAAGGTGACATAGGTCACACCTTTGGAATTTTACATCTTTTTTCTTATTCTCTTCACCAATTATTCAATTTTTAATTAATCTTTTATTAAATTTCATTTTTAACCCTCTGCTGATGATAATAATCTATCGACACTCTATCATCATAGAACGTTAGTCCCATAGTCGCCACCAGGTTTTTTGACGATAACGGCCATTAGCATCAGCAGAGGGTTAATAAATTCTTTATTTTCTTAACTTACATTTTTAATTTATCTTCCACTTTTAATTTTATTCATTTTCTATTTTCAGATGGCATGCGATACATTACAAAAGTTTAGTTCATTTTCTATCTTTTATTTGCTTTTCCTATTTTTGTAATATTTTCCTTTTCATTTGTGAGACGCGTTCCGAAGAAAGAAAGAAGCAAAGAATTGTAGGTTATGTTTATTCTATATTTTTTCACTCCTAAAAATATTAGGAACATAACTTAACATTTTTTACTTAGGCGAATTTTCTTGGGTGCGCGTTGTGCGCGTCTATGTTTCTTGTTCTCTTTAATAAAAATTGTTGCAATTACTCTTTAATTTCAGGTGGCATGTGAAACATTTTGTCTCGACGATGACGAAACTCTACTGGAAGTTGCACTCTCCCTGGGTGCGGATGCGGTTTCCGCTTCTACGGTTCGATTTGTCGAAGCTGATCCCCAACCGTTAGCAAAAGGTTCGTATTCCATTTCCCCTTTGCCAGTTGACTGTTCGTTAACACAAGGCGTCAGAACAAAAAAAGTATTTGTAATTTACACAATCGAATTTTTGCAAAATGGCAAAATTATTCTTTACTGAAAACTACAACTGCCTTCTGGGCAAAAAAACTATGATCATTCCAAAAACGTTCTTGTAAAGCTTTTAAAACGTTTCATGTCTGCCGAATAAGGTTCTAGAATATTATTTAAACGTCCATGTTCGTAAAATGTTTTTGGAACACTTTTGGAACTTGGCGGACAATGAAACGTTCTGAAAACGTTTTTGGAACCAACGAACATTGTTTTTTTTTGCTCAGCGGATTTTTTGTAATAAGAAAATTGTCTCTTTCAGCATTGAGTAAATGCCACAATAGAAACGTCACTACCTGCAATATGCTTCGAAAGACGAACCTAAGCAGTATTCATTCAGGGTAATTTCCATACGTTTAATAATAAAATTACAAGAAAATTAACCCTCTGCTGATGCTAACGACCGTTATCGTCAAAAATCGTCATTTTGGACACCTGGTTTCCCATTAGAGGTTCAAAATGACGATGGAAGTTACGTTAATAGAGTGGGGATAACTTAGTAGCAGCAGAGGGTTAATGATTTAATTTCGCTATGGATTTTTAATTGAAGATTCGCTTCCTATGATAGGGGAAAGACGCTCCTCTTGGAATTGGACGATTTGGCGAGTATGGAAATAATCTACAAGCCCGGCGATCATTTGGGAGTGTTCGCCTGCAATCGACAGGAGCTCGTCGAAGGTATTTTGAAGCGTTTAGACTCGCCTTTTGAGGCGGACGTTCCGATTGAATTGCAAATGCAGAAGCAATCGCACACGCCGAATGGAATTGTGAAAAGTTGGCTGCCACACGATCGTTACTTACCCAATACATTGAGAACTTTGCTCACTCGATTCCTGGACATCACGACACCGCCGTCGCCGAATCTTCTTCGTTATTTCGCCTCAATTGCTACTAATTTGAAGGAGCAGGCTCGACTCAATCTCCTGGCAACGGTATTTTTTTTTTTGTTCTTGAAACTGTTGCTCGAGGAGGACTTCGAGGTCCTCCTCGAGCAACAGTTTCAAGAACAAAAGAAGGAGGATCGCTTTTTTCTGATGACGAATTTTGAAACACTGGAAAGAACTATTTTTTCGGTAGAGTTCCCTTATTGAAATAATGAAAATTTTCTTGAAACACTTTCAGGATTCGTCCGCCTATGAAGATTGGAGACACTGGAATTTTCCGAATCTTCTGGAAGCGTTGGAAGAATTTCCGTCGGTTAAACCCAACGCTCCGGTTCTTGTGCTTCATCTAACTCCGCTTCAGCCGAGATTTTACAGCATTTCCTCGTCGCCGATGGTCCACGAAGGGCAAATTCACCTAACCGTCGCTGTTGTTCAATACAAAACACAAGGTACCGAAAAGTTCTCTCTTATTTTTAGGGTATTTTTGAGTATGTTTCATTCACTTTCCAATTTGTAAATTTTAGGTGGTTCAGGTCCAGTACATTACGGAGTAGCGTCTAATTATTTAAGCGAAATTTCCGACGGCGAACCGTTGTACGTCTTCGTACGCAGGTAAGAATTGTTTCTTTTCTTCTTCAAACCGAAAAGTCATTTGTTTATTTATAAACAGGCAAAGTTGTACTTTTCGTTATTTCAGTTAATTAAATTATTAAATCAGTTTCGTCTTGACTATCAATTGAGAAACTTCGCTAATAACACCCGAAATATCAACACCTAAGAAACTTTTTCAATTGAAGAGAAAAGTGTTATAATTCGAAGATTAGAAGCAGGAGAGTCTAATTCATCCCTTGCCTTAACGGCTGCAAATTTACTAAGTACATTCGTCCATTGTAGTTACGATGACTACGAAATTAAAAAGTGCCATGTCTCGACTTCACAATATTATTCGCAGTTATAATGAACTAAAAGTATATGAAAAACAAACGAAAATTACAGATTTTTTAAGTTCTTGATTTAATTCGTACAAAATGCGATCTATTTTTTCGCTTACAACAACGTTCGGTTAGTGCGAACTGCGACGAACATTTTAAAAATGCAATGCATTTCTGATGACAAATCCCAAAACTCTGGTAACTTTCTTCATTGTTTAAAAAAATAATTTCTTTCCTTTTTGGGACAGTGCGCCCAACTTTTACATGCCTGTCGATACAAAAGCGCCGATGATTCTTGTGGGTCCCGGAACTGGAATCGCGCCGTTTAGAGGATTTTGGCATCATCGATTGGCTCAGATGAAAATACAAGACACTGGTGTGTATTGAAGTCAAAATTTGCCCTTTAAACCCTGGAGAAATTTTACTATTTTGATCATTTATTTTCACAGACGATTTCGGAAAGATATGGCTCTTCTTCGGATGTAGGAAAAATGATCTTGATCTCTACAGGCAGGAGAAGAAGGAAATGTTAGAATCCGGAGTACTTGACAAAGTGTTTCTCGCTCTGTCCCGAGAAGATGGGGAGAAGAAGGTTTTTTCGATTTCTGTCCTCTTGCTTTTAATTACTTCCAAAATTACTGTAGTACTTTATAATAATAATAATAATAATAATAATAATAATAATAATAATAATAATAATAATAATAATAATAATAATAATAATAATAATAATAAAGTACTACAGTAATTTTGTTATAACTTTAACGTTTTTGGTAATGAATATTAATTCCTTTTTCGCAGACCTATGTTCAGGATTGTATTCAAGCGGAGGCGTCACAAATTTACGATATGTTGGTTCATCGTCGGGGGCACTTTTACGTTTGTGGCGATTGCACAATGGCCGAAGACGTCTATCAGACTCTGAAGCAAATTATCCAAACGCACGGTCAAATGATGGACAAGGAAGTGGAAACCTACATGCTTTCCTTGAGGGTGAGTATTTAAGACCAACGCAGAATAGCTTCGCGAAAATCGTTCCCTAACGAGCTGCATGAGATAGAAAAGGACACAAATGTATCTCTGTCGTTTATTTAATTTAAAAACGAAAATACACTTGATAAGAGACTATTTGTAGTCTATACAAGTAGAGTTTCAATTATAACGCAAATAATAAAAGATGTATCAAAGGTATCAAACAAAATTCAAAAAAACATTCACACAATTAAATTCCAGACGGCTGATAACAATAATAATCCTTAAAATTTAAAATTTCACGAAGCAATTGAAAAAATTTTTGTTTACTTACCAGGACGAAAACAGATATCATGAGGACATCTTCGGCATAACACTGCGCACTGCGGAAATTCACAATAAATCGAGGGAAACGGCGAGAATTCGAATGGCCTCCGAGCCTTAAATTTCTCCTAACTGAAGAAAAAAAAACAATTTTCAAGGCCTTTCGCACGACAAAACAATAATAAAATAATCAAAACGAAATATTTCTTTTGAGTGCATATCGAAACGAATCCATCATTAACCAGATTAATAATAAAAATGCTAAAGTAAAATCTGAAAAACTTTTTTCCTGTCAAAGAAAATAATCAGTGTTGTATATTGTATATTCATGAAATTTCCATTTCGAATATTAATATTAATAAAAAAAATAATGTAATTATAATAATAATAACAATATTATAATTATAATAATAGTAACAACAATAATATTATAATTACAATATTAATAATAATAATAATATTATAATTATAATAACAATAATAATATTATAATTATAATAACATTAATAATATTATAATTACAATATTAATAATAATAATAATATTAATATTATAATTATAATAATGATAATTATAATATAATAATAATTCGTATTAATTAACTAATTTTGGCAATTAGTGACACTAATTTCTCAATTAGCTAATTAATTTCAATTTAAATTTTAATATATCTCCAAGGAAACATAACTCGAATTAAAGGGTGAAAAAAATTAAAATCAAATATTTCTCGCAATTAAAGAAAATTCCTCCTCTCAATGATTCTACGTTTTAAAAAATTTCTATATTATTATAGTAATATATATATATAAAAAAATCTGTATTTCGCGTTATTATTGAAAATTTCGTACTAAATAAATGACCATAATGAATAAATTTGTTTTCTTCGATTGTATTTTATAAATACATTCTTTACAATGTGTTCTAAAAAATATATAATTATAACGAAACGTCTGTTTCGTATAACAAATAGTAAATTGAAATCAAAAACAAAGAAATTGATTAACTGATAAATTTTTAGAAAAAGAATTCGATTTGTAAATATTGTAGTTTCTTGTAAGTATTGCAAATGACTCGTCGACTATGAGAAGAAAAAAGAACAATTACTATTTTTCGAGTCTTTTTCGTTTCCTATTTACTTTTTTTTTCTCTCTGTTTAACTTTGAAGAGCAGTTGTATTGAGACCAGGTGCTGGTTTCTGGATAACGTTGCCCAACAATTTTTTTATCTCCGCAATTGCTTTTCCGGGATTCAAGCCCTGGAAGTTTTTTATTATTTTATTTATTTATTAATTTATTATTATTTTTATTTATTTCAGTGAAATTTGACAAAACTTGCTTTTTTCGATTTTGAAAATTATTTTTAAGAATTTTATTAAGAATAAATTGACCTCGGATTATTGTAAATTTAATTTTTTTCGGACTATTTTCAAAAAATAAAAGTTTTTCGACTTATTTGAAAAAATGCGACTATTTCGATTTTTTCACGTATTGACAAAAAAAATACTATTTTCACTATAACTACTTATTTTCGTTTTTAGTGTAAAAAAAAACTAAGGTCGCATTTTTTTAACTCTTAATTCTCTTACATCGTTTTTTAAAAATTCTACTTTTTGCCGAATTTGGATAATTTTTTTTTGGAAAATATTGGAAAATCGTTAAAACGAAAATTTATTTTGATTTTTAAATGAAAACATACCTTGGGACAAGTTCGGGTACAATTCATAATTGTATGGCATCGAAATACGGAGAAGGGATCCCTCAGTTTTTCTAAACGTTTGTCGGATTGGGTGTCACGGGAATCGATAATCCATCTGTAAGCCTAAAACAATAATAAAATTTAATTAAAATTAGCAATTGAAATTTATTTCATTTAATAACAAAATTTAATTAAAAGTTAAAGTTAAAGTTTTCAAGACTAATAAAAATTTATGTTAATAAATAATAAAAGAATTCGACTAAAACTGAACGAAATTTTTTTTATTAATTAATAAAAGAATTTAATTCAGAGTTAACAAAAATTTATTTAATTAATAAAATTAATAAAGGAATGTAACAAATATTTAAAAAAAAATTAATTTTCGAAATACAATTCTTTAAAAATACGATTATACTTCAAAACAATTTTTAAAAGTAATAAAATTAAATTCTTCCAATTATAAAATTTATTTCAATGAAATTTCGAATAAAATTGTTCAAAAATTTAATAATTTTGAAAGGAAAAAAAAATATTTTTTTTTTAATAAACATTTAAATATTATACTTTTACGGCAATTAACATGTTAAAAAGATTTTAATTTCCTTTTTAATTATTTTTCAAAAATTTAGCTGCAATTCTTTTTTTTAAACAATTTTTATTAAAATTCAACGATAATTGTTAATTATTTAATATAGAAAAATTTTTTGTAAAACTTTTCGTAAAAAAAAATTTTTTTTTTTTTGTAAAACTTTCTAAATTTTTAGTTACGATTTTTCAAAAAATACAATAATAGGAATTCAAAAATAATTTTTTGTGCTGAGAAAATTTTTTAAATAAATATTTAATCATTATTTTTTCATAGGAATTAAAATTCTTCAAAACATTAAAATTCAAACTATTTTGAAATTAAACTAAAATTCTTCTTTAAATTAATTATTTTTAATAATTTTTGAAAAAATTTCTTTGAAAAAGTAGGAAACATTCAAAAACTTTCAAAGATTATAATTTGAAACTTTTTCAAAATTCAATTACATAATTCTAAAAAAAATAATTGATTACCTGACAAGAATTTTATTATATATGAAAATAATTTAATTCTTGGGAAGAAATTTATTAAAATTTCTAAAAATAATTGAATTCCTGACAAGAATTTTATTATTTATGAAAATAATTGAATTCTTGGGAAGAAATTCATTAAAGTTTTTAAAAATATATAATATAAATTAAATTCTTTCGACGAATTTTAATAAAAATTTTTAAGAATAATTACATTTTTCGAGAAATTTCATTTTAAATTGTATTGAAAATAATTGAAATTCTACAATGAGTTTTATTATTTATAAAAATAATTGAAAACCTATATATAGAATTTTATTATTTATGAAAATAATTGAATAGAATTTCTGTGAAATTTTTATTAATTCATTATTTTTCCTTCATAAATATTTGAATATTGATTTTTTTTATATTTTTCGGAATTTCTGAATAAAATTTTTTTTGAGTTTAAATTTAAGAATCTAATATTCATGACTAATAAAAACGAGAGGGAAAAATTACCTGCATTAGAACGGCAGGACCTAGATATTTGTCTCCATTCCACCAATAAGATGGACAGGAAGTACTGCAACATGCGCACAATATGCATTCATATAATCCATCCTAAAAAAACGCAAAATGTTATTTTTCTTTTTTTATTCATTACGAATTAGAATTATTTATTCATTACAAGAAAGTAAATTGCCGTATAGAGTTTTTTTACAACAATTGTTGATTTTTGCTGCATTTTTTTCGTTTTTTAAATTTATTCTTTTAAATTTTGCAAAATGTTTCACTTTTTCATATCAATGGCGAAAAAAATAGCGTATGCGGCTTGCACGCAGCAATTTTTATTTTAGGTTCGAATGATTTTAATACTCGGTGTCTGTGCGATTTTTGGGAAAAATTTTGTTGATTTAGTGATAACTAACCAATTTCTGACGATCGTCCGTACTTTGAAGGTATTGTTGCGTCGATTCTTTCTTTGCATCGGAACGTTGTAGCCAAGGTTCAATATTGCGATACTGATTGTAAAAATTCGTCATATCCGGCACTAAATCCTTAACGATGTACATGTGCGGCAATGGATAAATCTTACTCGCACTGTTCAAGTCCGACTCAATTTTGCTGTTACAAAAAATTACAATTTTCAAATTAGATACAATTTAAATATATAATAATATTTTAAATGTTTTAAATCAATTATTTTTCATTGTATTCTCTTTATTTTCATTTTTTTATTTATTTTTTCATTTTATTCTTTTTATTTTCATTTTTTTTATTTATTTTTTTATTTTATTCTCTTTATTTTCATTTTTTTTTTAAATTTATTTTTAAATTTTTGTTTTTATAAAGAAAAATATTAATTTTGTAACCTGATACATGCGAGAGTATTCGATCCTCCAATATTCATGGCGCAAGATCCGCAAATTCCTTCACGGCACGATCGTCGAAACGTTAGGGTTGGATCAATTTCGTTCTTTATTTTAATCAACGCGTCCAAAACCATCGGACCACATCTGTGAAATTCAAAAAAAAAATATATTATTTAAATATATTCCTTAAAAAAAAAAAAAAAATTATTCCTATTTAATCCTGAATTTTTTTAGTTTAGAAAAATTTAATAATTTTCTTGACTTAAGAGCTAAAAAAAAAGTGAACTTACGTATTTAAATCAACCTTATACTCTTTCATGTAAGGTTTTTCATCAGGCTTGTCAGGATTCCAGCGATAAATTGAAAATGTCTTCAATCTCGCCTCTGCGCTCTGTCCCGCTGACACGTGCAATGCTCGAACCTAAATTTTTTTTAATTGTTTGATTATAATTATTTTTAATTTTTATTTTTTCCAAAAGAAAATATTAATTAATATTATTTATATTTTTAAACATTGTTAATAGTTAAATTAATAATTAATATTAAATATTATTTAAATATAATATTATAATTAATATTATTATTAATAATAATAATATTATTATAATTAATATTTTTAGTATTAATAAATATCTTTATCGTCCTTCGATATTTAATAATTGAAAATCTGATTATTATTGTCATTTTGTGATCTTATTTTCAGTTAATATTTTTAGAAAATAAAATCAAAATTTGGTCCGAATTATGAAAAAAAATGAGGAAAAACTAAAAATTAAAAAAAAAATTGAAAAGAAACGAGAAAATACCAAACAAAATAAAGAACTAAACCAATAATAGTAATAAATTGAAAAAGAATCGAGTTTCAAGAAAATAAAAAACTCGAAAAGACAAATTTTAACTCGTAAAAGAAAAAAATGAGAAACATTTCGAAAATTTAGAGAATAATTAACAACTAAAAATAAAAATATTATGTAATTAAAATTGCGACTGTTTATGTCATATATTTTTCAAAATTGCACAAAATAACGAAACAAAATCGAGGTTATGCCCCAACATTATATTATTATAATGTGGAAAAAAGACACATTGTTAAAATTCCAGCAAACAAAAACAAATACAAACAATAGCATAAATAATAAGTATAATGAATGGAAAGAAAATCTTTTAAGTAATAATTCCCCTTTTTTACTATAAAAAGAAATTTAAATTATTTCCAATGACAGCCATATTGAAAAATTTAATTGTCAAAATGCAATTAATAATAAAACAAAAAATCAACTTGACAATGAATTTAAATACTCACTTGTTTTAATGCATTTCTGCACGTTTGCGGGACAATGTTCGCCATCTTTGCGTAACACTATTCACTTCTTTCTTTTTTTTAAAAACTAAAAACGACAATATTTTCTTGTTATTTAATTATGTAACGAATTAAAAATTGTAAAAAAAATTTCTTTTCAACACTCGAATCAGCTGTGAGATGTGAATCGATTAGATTCGATTAATCGAAACCGCGCCATCTGGCGGGAATTTCGAAAAACAGATTCAGCGCCGGGAAAATTTGAATTCTAAAAAAAGAATAGAAAAAGTTTTTTATTTCTTGAATAAATAATAATAATAGAGAAAAAAATGTTTATATAAACAAATAATATCGTAAATATAATAAGTAGAAAATTATCTACAAATAGAGATTTTTTATAAAGTTATTAGAAAAAAAATTGACAGGGAATTCGAAAGAATTCAATTATTTTCTATTTTAAATCAATTTACCAGAAAAGGCACAAAAACTAACTAATTATTAATTAATTGAAGAAGAAAAAATTTACGTTTTTTTTAAATTTATCGACAAGTTGCGAAAGAAAAGATTAAAAATTGTTATTTTTAAAAAAATCGTCTGCTAGTCAGTCATCACAATTCGCTTTAAATATATCATCAATTTTGTAAATACGACAAAAAATGTTTTTCGTTTCTTGAAAATGTTTCGATTTTTAACAAAAAACAAGTGCTGAAGATGATAATTAAAACATACAGGTATGCTATAATAAGAATTCTCTTTTTTTCCATTGTTTTCGGGGGTAAAATTGTTACCAACAAATTTGAGGTTATGTTCAAGGACATTTTTTTCCCATGCGTAATATTTTTACTTGTTTTTACTATTTTCCCTATTTTCTCATAGTTAATTATTCAATTTTACTTTCTTTTTAACATTACATTAGAAAAAAATAAGTAATAATTAATTAATAAATAATATTTCTTTATTCAAAAAATCCATCACAAAATTTTCGAATTACTGATTTCAAATTTTTTAATTAAATTAATTAATTAATTTTTCTTAGGTTAATTTTTAATTAATTCTGATTTTTATCAACAAAATACATTTATTTTGTTTTCTAAATGTTTTAAAATTAATATTCGTCTATTTTTCTGTTGCAAAAGAACTTAAATAATTTAATTATTCGAAGTCTTCAAATCTAATCGCAAAAATAATTAAATTCATGATTTACGTAGTTTTTAAGTTAAAAATTAAAAATTAATCGAAATTTAGTTAATTAATTTCAAAATTGATATTTAACAGATGTTTTTTCACAATTAAACGAATTACTGGAAATGGAAGTTCTCGAGGAATATCCACTTTCGATAAAAGCAGAACGAAAGAATACGAAAGTCGAAAATTAATTGGGTAATTAATTATTTATTAAAAAATGTTTCTTTAAGCGATGGTAAAAATTTATTTATAAAAGTACAAAGATATTTAAATAAATTAATTTAGTTATTAAATGAAATGAAATGAAATGAAATTAATTTAATTTAATTAAAATAAATACAATTAAATTGAATTAATTAAATTAAGTTACATTAATTAAATTAAGTTAAATTAATTTAATTAAAATATAAATAAATTAAATTAATTTAATTAAAATAAATAAAATTAAATTGAATTAATTAAAAATTAATTTTTTAATTATCTTTTTTCAGATTTTCAATGGAACAAATGTACAATGTGGTCGCCGACGTGGAGAATTACAAGAATTTCGTGCCATTTTGCAAAACGTCAACGATAATTGAGCGAACGAAAGATTATAAGAAGGCAAAGCTGGTCATTGGTTTTCCGCCAATTAATGAGAGTTATCTATCGAAAGTGACGACAATTCATCCACGTTTAGTGAAGGCCGAATGCACTGATGGTAAATTATTCGATCATCTCAATACTCTTTGGATATTTAGTCCAGGATTGAAAAATAATCCACAAACGTGTCTCGTTGATATTTCCATTTCATTTGAATTTCGTTCGATTTTTTATTCGCACGTGGCGAATTTATTTTTCAACGAAGTCGTACGACAAATGGAAAATGCCTTTGTCCAAGAGGCGAAGAGAAAATACGGTCGGCCCTGCATTAAAACAGTTCGCCTCGAACGGTGATGAAAAAAAGGTTTTTTTTTTAATTTTTTCCTTTTGAATTTCTTTTATGACAATTTTTTTTCTTTGAGGAAAATTACAATTATTTCTCTGAATTTTTTTCAATTTTCCCCTTTTTAATTTCTTTTATGACAACTTTTTTTTATGAAAATTACAATCATTGTTTTCTTAATTTTTTGATTTTTTTTTTACTTTTTTCAATTTTCTCTTTCAGTAATTTAAAAAAATTACATAAAAGGAAAAATTACTAAAAGAAAAATTATAATAATTTTTCTTTTAGTATTTTTTTCATTCCTGAAAGAGAAAATTGAAAACATTTTTTTTTTTATTAATTTTTTTCCTACAGTAACAAAAACTTTTTTTTAAACTAACATATTTTGTCGGTTTGTTTCAATTTTTAATTTTTCTGATATTTTTCATTTTTCTTTTCCTTTTGTATTTATTTATTTATTTATTATTTTCTCCAAGACAGATTTGTAAAATTTGTAAATAATTGTTAATTATTTTTAGTGATAAGTGACTGTGAAAACGACACTTTTATTGCTATGCACAAGAAATAAATTTTATTAAATAAATATTTTACGAACCAATTGCAGACGAAATTAATTTACAAACATTTATTAAGAAAAGTCATAATAATAACAATTATAATAATTTAAGCAAAATTTTACGATTTATTTATTAATTATGAAAATAATTTAATTCTCATAAATATTTAATTATCAAAATTTTTCAAAGTAATTAAATTTCTGACAAGAATTTTATTCGAATTCTTTCAAATAATTAAATTCTTGTAAAAGTTTTATAAATTTTTATCATTAAAAATTAGGAATTGTTAGTTGTAAATTATTAATAAATAATAATAATAATAATAATAATAATAATATTAATAATAATAATTAAATATTAAATTTGTATTAATCGTTAATTTTTAATAATGGTTGTTAATAATTATGTTTATAATTATTTATTTTATTTCATTTTTAGCAAAAAAAAATCAATTTTATTTTAAAAACAGAAGAACATTAAAAAAAATGAAAATCTGTTTAAAAAATATAAATTTATTTCTTTCTCTTTTTAAACTTGAGATTTAATGCTAAAAAATAAAAAATATTCTTTATTTTTTCTAAAAAAAATTGACATTAATTCAATTTTTAAATAAAAAAGTTATGATACGACGAGTGAAGCCTTTATTTCTTGCTTCAAATTTTTATGAAATTAATAAAGATTTACGATTCAGAGGTAAACAAAATAAAAATTCATAAACATTTTATTATAATTTATTATATTTTAATTTCAAAACAACTTTTTTATTATTCTTATTATTATTATTGTAATTATATTTCAATTTCAATTGATTCCCTACAATCAAAATTAAAATTAAAATTAATTAAATTTATTTATTATCAAGTGAAAATTTTCTTTTTTCTTCTTTTGACAGCAAAATCACGACAAAAATGTAATTCACTTGATAGTGTAAAAATAAGAAGAAAGCAAAAAAGGGTAAAATTATTATTTATTTTTATTATTATTATTATTATTATTATTATTATTATTATTATTGAATCCCATTTTTTAAATATTTGATTCACTGATATTTTTTTCGCTTTAACAAAAATTTTTTTTTTGAAGGCCTTGTTTGGAAAAAAGTATTTTGAAAAAAGATTAATGACTCGATCTAGAAATAAATTGGAAAAAAAACTTGATACAATTTTTAGAGGTAAAAAAATAAATATACAGTAATAAATAAATAATCACTATAATAATAATTAAATATCAAATTATATAAAATGCAAAGTGGTTTCTAAAGTAATTTTTTTTTGTTTGTTAATCATTTAAAATTAATTCATTTATTAAAAATTAAGATTCATTTTAAAACAAAAATTTTAATAAATTAACGAACTAGAAATTAAATTTAAATTAAAAATTAAAATTAAATTACATTTTTTATTTTGAATTTATTTTATCATAAAATTTTTCTCGTAGAATTACATTAAAAAAAAATAACAATTATTTCGTTTAAGTAGAAAATTTAAGTGACACTCAGACTAATTATTCCGATGATGTGTGGAATAATAGATTAATTAATTATTTCGATAATAAATTTCTCGAGGTATGTAAAAAGTAAATTAGTAAAAAAAAAAGAATTTTTTCTTCTTTAAATTAAAAATTTACATTATAAAATTAAAAAAATTATAATTATAAATGAAAATTGAACATTTTTTAGGATGAATTGCTATTGAAATCGAATTTAAATGTCACAATGCAAATTGATGAGATAAAAAATAATAACGAATTTTTACTGTCAATTGGAAAAGGAACGGCATTACTTTTATATTTACATTTTTTGCTCTCATATTTTCTGTCATTTTCAATCAGTGAACAATATGAGGAATTATTTGAATGTTGTGAAATTCCAACAGTTGGAGATTAAAATTTTACTTCCGGGTGAATGAATTGTTTTAAAAATTTATTATTATTTAAAGAATGTTAATATTTTCCGCAATTACTGTTTATTTCCATTTTCATTCAGATTTTTAATATTTTAATATTTAATAATTTACTACTTTATTATTATTGCCTATTATTTTTATTTTTATTATTATTCTATTTTTATTATTTATCTGCTATTTTATTATTAATATTTTAAATTATTAGTATTTAAAATCTTTACTATTTACTATTTTGTTTTTATTATTCAATTTATATTATTTATTTATTATTAATATTTCAAAATAATTCTCTGGTTTAGAATAAATTAATTACAATAGTAATAATTTTCTCAGTAAGTTTTGATTTTCTGTTCAATAAATTTTTATTTTATTATTTGTTACTTAATTTATTTAATTATTATGAACGTGGGTTTAATATTTTATTTTTATTATTTTGTTATTCATTTTTTACTATTTCGTTTTTATTTATTTATTTATTCAATTTATTCAATTTATTCAATTTTCAATTTAATTTTAGGAAAATTTTTTTTTTATCCTTTTTTATTATTTATTTGCTATTTTATTTATTAGTTCAAAATAATTCTCTGGTTTAGAATAAATTAATTATAAATTATAATAATACTTTTTTTTAGTAATTTTTAGTTTTTTGTTCATTAAACTAATATTATTTGTTCGAAATAAAATTTGGGAGAATTTTCTATCCTCTTATTTTATTTTCGTGGCCTTTCTTTTGATTAATATTTAACAATATTACAATTGTTACCAATTTTTTTTTCTTTCATCATTAAATTGGCTTTAGCGAAACTCTATAACCATTTTTTGACCGAATGGAAATATCAGTTTTGAGTTTAATTTCCTCCATTTTACATTGCGATGAGATTTTGTAAAAGAGAAGAAAATTGGAAATTATTGTTTTTAAACTCATCATTGCGTAACGTTGACCTAAAAAAAAAGAAAAATTTAGTTTTTTTTTAAATAAAAATTCTACTTTTTAATAATAAAAATTCTATTTCTTTAAAATAAAAATTCTATTTTTTTTTAGAAAATTTTTTTTTTGAAAAATATTTTTAAAAAGATAAAATAAAATAAAAATGAGTCACCAATGCATCCCATTGGACCGGCACTGAAGGGAATAAATGAATAAGAATGACGCTCTGCAGCTTGCACTGGATCAAATCTCTCTGGATTGAATATTTCCGGTTCAGAAAAATACTCCGCATTTCTTTGCGTTAAAAATGGCACTAAAATTATTTGACAACTTTCTGGTATTGTACACGAATCTGCAAAAAGAAAGAGGAAAAATAATTACAGTTAATGATTTTAAAACTAGAAATTTCTTTTTTCGTATAATTAGAAAATTAGTGAATAAAAATCATTTTTACATTTTTAAGTCTCAAATTGATTTTAAAACCGAAAAAGGAAGTTTTAATCGAATTAAATTAAGAAAATATTACATTTTTTTCAAAAATAATTCAAAAATAGTTATAATTGAAAAATTGGTAAATAAAAACAATTTTTTTCATTTTCAAGTCTCAAATCGATTTTAAAACCAAAAAAAAGGAATTTTAATCGATTTAAATTTTTTTTCATTTTAAAGCCTCGAATCGAATTTAAAATCGAAAAAATACGTTTTCGTCGATTTAAATTAAGAAAAAAATTTTTTTTTTCAAAAATAATTCGAAAAGGCTCATAATTGAAAAATTGGTAGATAAAAACAATTTTTTTTCAATTTCAAATCTCGAATCGATTTTAAAACCGAAAAAAGGAATTTTAATCGATTTAAATAAAAAAAAATATCACATTTTTTCAAAAAAAATTCGAAAAGGCTGAAAATAGAAAAATTGGTGAATATAAATGTCTTTTTTTATTTTAAAGTCTCGAATCGACTTTAAAATCGAAAAAATACGTTTTAGTCGATTTAAATTTTAAAAAAAAGGATTTTTTCAAAAATAATTCGAAAAGACTCGTAAAAATAATTATTCGAGGCACTGAATGTTAATTTCCTTTTTTTACCCAATTTTATTTCGTCCATCGCTGTTCGTGCCATTAACGGCGCAATGGGAAACAATCGAAGAGTCTCTTTAATAATTTTATCAACAATTTTCAATTGCGAGAGTTTATCTCCATCAATCGAATTATTCTTTTGAAGAATTTTTGTCACTTCATTTCTCGCTTTTTCCTGAATTTCCGGATGAATTCCCAGCATTAAAATTGCAAAACTTGAAATTACCGCTAAAGTGTCTTGAGCCTGGAATAAATTTTAAAAGTTTTAAATAGAATTAAAAGTAAAGTTTTAAATAGAATTAAAAATAAAATTTTAAATACAATTAAAAATAAAGTTTTAAATAGAATTAAAAATAAAGTTTCAAATAAAAATACTAAATTTATTTTTAAGTATAGAAACAAAAGAATAAAAAATGAAAAATTTACCGCTAAATAAATTGTTATCATTTCATCTTTCAGTTCCTCGTCGGTCATTCCATTGTCCGATGTCTCCAAAATATTCAAAATTCGATCTAAAATTGAATTTCTATTCTCTCCACGTAATCGTCTCTTTTTTACTATTTTTATGCACTTGAAATAACAATTTGAAAAAAATTATATTTAAAATAATTGAATTTCATTTTTATTTGTGAATAATTCAGACAAAAATTCAGAATTTTATTTAAGTTGTCGACTATTTACTTTGTAATTTCAGAATAAGGAGATACGTAAAATACTTCTTGTTACAATATAATTAAATTAATAAAATAAAAATAAAAATTTCTATTTTAAAAAAAAATTAATAAAATAAAAATAAAGATTTCTATTGTAAAGAAAATTAATAAAATAAAAATTTCTATTTTAAAAAAAATTAATAAAATAAAAATTGAAATTTTCTATTTTAAAAAAAATTAATAAAATAAAAGTATAAATTTTTATTTAAAAAAAATTAATAAAAATAAATAATAAAATAAATAATAAATAAATAAATTTCTTCTATAATGCAGTTAAAATAAATATTTCATGTAAAAATTGAAATTTACTTGTTTTACAAAATTGCCCAAAACTTCACGTCCTTTCGAATGTATTTTGTAGTTTTCCGTCAATTTGAAAATCCAGTCAGGATAGAGCCAAACTTTCATCACTCGATCGTGAACCACTCGGTACATTCTAAAATTTAAAAAGCGATAAATAATTATAGAAAATAAAATTTTTTCATATTTTAATTTTATTCCATATTTTTTTTTCTCACTCGGCAGAATAGTGTAAAAATTCCTTATTAGAATCAACTAATGAATCGATGTCATCACGTCCCATTATAGTTTCTAAAATGTAAAACAGAAAATTTGTTGCCTAAAAATTTTAAATCCTATAATTAAAAAATAAAATTGAAAATATTAATTTTTTTCGTTTACTTTTAATATTTTTAATTTTATTACTTTAAAAATATTTATTAATTTATTAATTAAAAATATTAAAAATATTAATGATTTTGTTTGCTTTTAATATTTTAAATTTCATTTTAATTATCAATTATTTAATTAATTTATTTGAATTTTAAGTTATTGTTTATAAAATTAAAAATTTTTAATTAAAATAATACTAAAAAGCTGTCTTTGGAAAAATTAAAAATAAATCGAAAAAGAAGGAAAAAAATTTGATTTTTATAATTTTTGGAATTTTTTTTATAAATTATATTTATTATATAAATGGAAAATAAATAATTTACCACAAACAATGTTGGCAGTGCAAAGTTCTATTGGTCCGAGAATATCAATTTCTTTTCCATCGGCCAATGATTTTAATTCTCTCATTAAAATTTTACTGTGTCGATCAAAGACACTTGAAAATTCGTCGAGAACTTTTTGCGTCAATATGTGGGCAACAATTTTTCGATGTGATTTCCATATTGGTCCTAGAAAAAAAAATTATTTTTTAGATTACTTTTTCTATTAATTTTTTTTATTTATTTTTATTATTTTATTTTTTTATTTATTTACATTTTTGATACTATTTTTATTTTATTGCTTTACTTTTTAATTATAAAAAATTATATTTACCCGAACCACTGATGAGGCCTTCTCCAATGAACGGTTTCAAAAATTGATAAGAAAATCCCTTTTTATTCGCTTTCGGACTATTTAAAATTATCTATATATAAAAAAATTATTATTTTCTTAATTATTATATAGAGTATTTTTTTATAATTTTTTTTTTAAATTAAATTTTTAATTTTTAATTCAAATTTTTAATTTTTATAATTAAGAAAATTCGGTCGATTTTTATTATAATTTTTATAATAAAAAATTTAACTAAAAAAAAATTTATAAAATTTATTTTTAACCAATGTTTTTAAATTGGATTCGAAAAAAATGCTTGTAGAATTTTTAAGTGACAAAATGCAATCGAAATAATAAAATAAAAAATATATTCTCAAAAGTCGTTGTGTGCCTTCATTCAACGATATAAGAAACGAGTCCTGAATAACAAATTTAAACCATAAAGGAAATTTATTTTTGGACTTCCAGCTTATATAATCGTTATATATTATAAAATAGATAAAAAAGAATTTATTTAAAATAATAAGAAAAAAAAACCAAAAAAATTTTATTTATTACTTTATTTTTTTTTTAATAATAATTAATACCTATTTTTTAAATTATTCTCACCTCTAGATCTCGTGGTTTTGTGATAATTACACACAACATTGGACCTAGCCACAATCTTATTGGTGTTAAATTAACATAAGGTTTAACAATTTTTACCGCACGTTCCAATAATTCTGTTCAAAAACAAATTTATGTCAATAATAAAATATTAAATTATTTTTTATTATTATTATATTAAAATTATATTAAAATATAATAGAAAATACAATTATATTAAAATTACATTTTTTTATTATTATATTATTCTATTTTTTTCGTTTTATTTGTTTAGAAACAAATTTTTAAGTCGTTCACAAACTACGTTTCCTTATTTTGGATAAATTCCCACCCCCCTCCTTAGTTTTTGACCTTTTTTACATAAAAAATAAAATATAGGCGATGGTCGTAGTCGTTAAGGCGCGTGAAGTGATGAGTGGAACTTTTAGGGTCAGTGGTTCGATCCCCAGCGTCCAGAGATCAAATAAAATATTTTCCCCCAATTCCCTTCTGTGTAACGTACTTTGTGAACGCACCCTAATTAAATTTCATCTATTATTTTATTTATTTGAAATTCTATAAATAAATTAATTTTTGCTTTATTATTAATTATTTTATTTATCATTTAGTATTTCTTTATTATTAATTAATTATTTAGTATTTCTTTATTATTAATTATTTATTATTCGTTTACCTTCCGGTTTGCAGGCGAAATTAAAAGCATTTCCAATTAATGGATAGGCGAAAGGACCCGGTAATGTAACGGCTAACTTGACAAGTCGAATCCATTTTGTTTGAAATAAATAAATAATAAAAAAAGACGTTACGATTAGAATAAAAATATCTAAAAGGAAAAATAATCATTTCTTACTTTTTGTAATTTTTTTTTTTTTTGATAATTCGTTTTTAATATAGTACAAATATTTAATTTATTAATTTTGTTTAGAATTTTATTACCGGAGAAGCCGAGGAGAATTTCCAAAAACATTGTGTTTTAAAAATAGCTTAATGTTTAGTACACTGAATACTTTTCGTAACTGCAACGAATTTGTATTTGGCAGTCGCATTTTAATTTTATTTACTACTCTCACTTCGTTTTTGTATTTAAAATTTTTGTCACGAATAAAAAGGGGGGAATTCCTTATTTATTATGTACGTTTATTGGGTTTATTGTTTAACGACAATGTAAGTTTCCAAAACCGACTGCCCAACCTTGCTACTTGAAATTTCCGGAAACGGAAAATTTCCAAGGTTGGGTAGTTAACATCACCAAAAACTTAAAGGCCTATGCACAATTGCTTCATTTCTATTATTTATAATTTTAAATATTTCAAATTAAGGAACTTTAGTTGCAAATATTGTCATTGATTTGTCAATAAGTTGTTATTATATGTACATAAAGAACAATTTTAAACAATTTAAAGTTGTATTTTGGTTAAAAATTAGACAATAAAAAAGGTATGTACATGGTATGTAATAACGATTTGGAAAACATAACCTACAAATTGACAAAAATTTCTAAACTTCTAACCCTTTTAACTGATTGCAAGAAATTGAAAATTTTGAAACAGATTAAAAAAAGTGTAGGAATATTGAATAATTTACAGGTGATAAGGTCTCGCAATAATAAATATACTTTTTTTTCTATACTAAAATATACAAATACTTTTTATTTATAATATTATTACGAATACTTTAAAAGAAATGTAGATGAGCTGAGTTTGTCGGAATGTTAATTATTGTGCAATTTTTTTTGTGTATTATTTCATCATCATCTTCATCATCATTATAAATTGATTACGATATTTATATATCCAGAGATTCCAGAGTCTAATCAAGTCTTATTGTATATTATTCAAATATTACAATTTTATTTTATTTATATTTTATATGCACTTGCATTGCGGCTAATACATTTTTTTGGTTGTAGCCTAATGAAAAATTTTCCTATTGGACAATTTTATTATCTAATTGATATAAATTTCTTGTTTTTTTTTTTATTTATTTTATTTCTGCTGATCGAAAGGTTATTACAGTCTAAATTCTTTCTTATTAATATAATTATTGTGAAAATTTTGTTATGAATGCCCCTTTAAAATTTGTTGCACTAAAAATTAAAAGCCACTAAAAATTTTAGGTTATGTTTAACAATTCCTATAATTTTTGAACTCTTACAAAAACTGTAATTAGGATAATTTAAATGACAAAGTTACGTAAACATTCATAACAAAATTCCCAGTTGTAAATGTTATACAATATTTATAAAAAAAAAATGTATTACGAGGCACAATTTTCAAATCTGTCGATGTCGTATCGCCGGCTTTTTTTTCATTTTTTTTCTTGACTTGAAAATTTAAATATCGCTGTCATTCTTGTCAATAACAATATTGTTGAACAATAATTGTTAATAATCAACGTATTGTTTAAAGGACTGTCCAAAATAGATTTTTTTTATTGAGAAAAGGTAATAATGAGTTAGAAAAGGAAGGACGTATCTCATTCTTTCTGTTTTTGAAACAAAAAGACAGTATGGACAGACCTTAATAAACGATTAAAGGTACCGTCCCATGACGGCGTAAAAGCGTCGGCGTAAAGCAGAAATCGTGCGATAGAAAGAGATGAACAGATATCACGTTCTCACTCACTCACATGGTTTACGCTTTACGCCGACGCTTTCACGCCATCATGGGACGGTACCTTAATAATTGACGTTTATACGGACTCTTTATTTTAAGAATTTCTTTATTAATACGTTTTTGTCTATTATTACGTTTCGTTGTGCGAGTATCATTTTAAGGCATATTATTAATAATTTTGGCACTTTGATTATTTTATTTATAATAAAAAAAAATTGCACTATTTAGGATATTTGTTTCTCTGTAAATTTTAGCCATTTTTTCTTAGCACATACGTTTTATAAAGTATTTTCATTAATTTTAATACTTTTATCTACATTAGCGTCACATTTGTTTTATGCCACATTCTCTGCGGGCTAAATTTTTGAGGTTAATGGCTAAAGTTTGTATACGTGTATATTTATATATATTTATATTGTCCATTGAGGCGGGGGACGCTTTCGACATTTTTATGAGGATAGCTTCAACAGATCACTTTAACGAACGTAAAGTAATGGAAGACTCACAAGTAAATAAAAAATTGATCTTTATTTTTACGTTTTGATTGTTTTTTTAAATGAGTTATGGCAGTGTTCGCAGTTTTCTTTCAAAAATTAGTTATTTGACACGCTATAGAGATAGGCAATTCGAGGTTATGTTCCGTTATGCTCTATTTCGATTCTTGGAAAATTTAAGGTCAGTGCACAATAATTTCAAACCTTGAGGTAGAAAAGGACAGAGATATATTTGTGTTCTTTTCTATCTCATGCATCTCGTTTCCGTATGTTCCTTGATTCTTTTTTCCATACTACGTTTTAATTCACCGATGTAAGTGGCAGAAGAATTATTACAATTTATTAAATTTGCAAACAATACCGGTTTGGTTCCATTTTTGTAAGTTCCATCCTTTCCTAGTTTACGTATTTCCCGTATTTCTTTTATACAAAAAGGAAACATAACCTAAAATTTTTGTCCTTTTCTCTAGAGTGGGTCAGAATTCTTTAAACAACCGGAAGTATATTTGTTCTTGTGCAGAATTATTTTGTGATAAATACAATATTAAGAGTTCGCTGAAATAAAGTTTGTAATTTTTTTTTTGCATCAAATGCTACGAAATAAATTTAGTTTTCTCTTATCTAGATAATATTGACTCGAATTATATTCTGTTAGTCTAGGGACAATTTTTTTTGCTATTAAAATAAATAAATCGAAATATTTTCTTTACGGCATAAAAATTTAAAAAAAAAATTAAAATCATAAATTTTTTTTGACCTTTTAGACAAATATATTCAATTCTGACTAGGGGGTTGGCAATTTTTTTTAAAATTCTATCCACATATATGTAATTGAAACGCATTTTGTAAAATAATTGTAGTGAAATTAACACTTTACACTTCACAGAAACTTAAAAATATGCTAAAATGTATGTTTTTGAGGTTAGGAACGTTTGTTTACCCTTATTTTATACATAGAGATAATAGTGGTAAACAGACGTACCTAACCTCAAAAACATACATTTTAGCATATTTTTAAGTTTCTGTCAAGTGTAAAGTGTTAATTTCACTACAATTATTTTACAGAATGCGTTTCAATTACATATATGTAGATAGAAAGTGTTTAAAATCCATTAAATTTGCAAAACATTGAAAAGAAAATGAAAAAATTTTTTCTCCCATAAGAATTGCATTGCGTCGTCTGTTTGTTTTCCCTCCAGCTATCTGACGTCACACCTGAAATCGACTCTGACGTCACAACTGAAAAAGCCTAATACCTGATGATTGTGATAAAAAAAGTCATTTAAGAAGAAAAAGAAGAAGATCTAAATGACACCAAAGTCCGTATGAACAGTGACATCACAATTATTTTGCTTCTCGGTTGCGGCCATATTGACCTCAACGAGTGTATCGACGCTGTTTATTGGACAGCCTTTCAATATTTTCTGCGCGGCTAAACTCTTAAATTGTACTTGCATATCACTAAGACTAGGATAACTGTATAAATCACCGCGGCATTTCTCTAAATTCGGCTCCGAACCCTGCGGTGCAATTGTCTCGAGATTCTCAATAAATACGTTATTAAACGAACCGCCAATTCCATCGAATGATTTCGTTGGCGACGGTGGATTGGACGCGATATTATTCTTCGAGCCTGGACGCAATAAATTTTTATAACTCAACGCGTCTTTTGATAATGACAATTTCTTCGAATTATTCATAGCGTCGTTTGTATTTTTAGTCGAGTGCAAAGCTGTTGTCGTAGTCGTCGACGTCGTCTCATGATTCGAGTTTATATTATTCGAAGAACCGTCGATACGATGTTGGCTATTATTCAACCGATTTGTTAGTTTTAGTTTATTAAGAGTTTCCGCTTCCTTAGGTTTATTCTCCTTATCGCTTTCCATGAAGGTCGGTTTTAGAGCATAGAGGGATGTGGGCCGTTCGACTAACTTGATCGATTGTCGCCAGTCGTCCGAGTTTCTTTTGGAGAATTTTTCTTCTTCTTTCTGTGTTTCGATTTCCTTCTCCTCTTTAGTCTCTTTCTCCGAATTCGACTTCGTTTGGGTGTTCTCAAAAGTGACGACTGATCTGATGGGGGAATTATTTTGATGAACGTAGATCTTCGTGCCTGGCGAACCGGAAATTGTTGTTGAACTGATGGCATTCGACGCTAGGGTGACGCTGCTTTGAACGGTTCTTGATTCTTGGGGCGATGTGACGGGACTTAGGTTTGTGGAGACTTGGAGAGTGATCGAATTTTGGGTTTCTTGCAAGGGTGTCAAGGTGCCTTGTTGTTGCTGCTGTTGTTGAATGAGCTTGAGCGGTGAGGAACTTGTGAAACTTGAAACCTTTAATGGTGAGGCGGAAATTTTTCCATTTGAGTTTGATTTACTGCCAGACTGACTTGAATGAGTTGTTGAGGAACTTTTCTGAATAATCTATTCAAGAGAATGGGAATTAGAATTGCGAGCAAGAAATGTCTCCACTTGAGAACGCAAAGGTCTCTAGGTGGCGAAACCGAACGTTTGGTTCGCTACCTAGAGACCTTTGCGTTCTCAAGTGGAAACCACCAATTTTAGTGTTGATAACTCACCTTATGCTGTGGCGAAGAATTAAGTGATTTAGAACTCGAACTACTGAAATCCTGACTCGGTCGTCGTGGTCTCATGGACTTTATTCCCAAAGCTCCGATATTCGCCGATTTCGCTCTCACCGAACCGAAGTTACTCCCAATTCTATTAGGCGACGAATTATTAGAAACTTTGACATTTTCGCTCTTGTTTTCCGTTTGGGGTTCAATCTTCTGCTGCTGGTTATTAGATGTCGAGGCGCATCGACTCAGACTCGAACACTTCGATCTCGGGAGAGTTGAACATGGCGATCGGTGACGTCGCGAACTTCTAGGGGTCGAGTTTGCTAGCAAACTGGAGGAATCGCCACTCGGTTGTCGGCGATGTCGTCGTGGAAGTGTTGCCGAACGGACCGAACTCGAGTCGTCCCATACTTGAAAACTGGCCTGCGACTGGTCTTCCAGTATCTAAAGAGCAAAGAATTTAGAAACTTTCTTCTACTAGGAACTAGTAGTCTTCTTTAGGACTACTTTAAGGGAAATTTTCGACTTACAGAAGGACTGGCAGTTCGTGTTTGGGTTGCGACGCTATGCAAATGAACGACCCGGGGATTGAACCATTCTGTCGGGGGATATTGTGCACTGAACGTTCCCATAAGTGGAGTTTTTCTTCTGGTGCTTCGTCGAAAAAGGCGGGAGAGTAGACCGATTTTTTCTGTAATGGCGAAATCTCAGTATATTACAAAGTAGAACAGGATTAATGAATTCAGAGTCTCTTGCATCTCAAAGGGTCTACAATTTTGGCTCAAGGAACTTACTTGTTGGACTGTGGGCTGTACTGTCAGTGCTGGCGTATTCGGCACTCGATGAAGTATCACTTTGATCCGGCCTTCGGGGAAGAGATCGCGAACTTCCACTCCGATGGAGACGTCTGGCCGAACCCCACAGTCGGAGTGAGTGGCGCCTCTCCAGACGTCCGGGCACCGATCGACATCTGGCGAAGAGGACTTTGTCGTTCGGATTGCCTGGGGAGAAAACATCCCTTTACTTCCTTCGTCAAGTAGCAAAATCCTTTTATTACTAAGTCGCATGGAAGACTATAGATAAGAGTATGAAACAAAATCAAAAACACTTGCCACCACAGATCACGTCGGCCAAGTTGGTCTGCACTGCTTGATGCGTGACGTCGCCATCCCTAAGAGTCAGCATTTCGCCATGAACCAACGCCATTGCCTCATCATTGCTCATCAGCATTTGGTTCGTCGTCGACATTTCCCTAGAGTTTCGCCTAAAGTTCCCACTGTCCCGCCTGAGTCTCTTGGTTTCCGGAGTGACAACAAAATAACCCTGCGACGTATGATAGATCTTCCTCTCCTGCATTAATTTCGCCAGTGCGTCGTAGACGAGTTCCCGATTCGGTCGCTGCATCGTCGGGAAGGCATTTTTCAACGCCGATCTCAAAGTGTCGAGAGTCGCCGCCTGACGCTGTGTCGTTAATTCTAATATCGCCCAGCAAAGAGCTTCAGGTAGTGGTGTGAATTGTCCCTGAGCAACCGGAGCCACTAGACAATCGTCAATGTCTCCTGAAACGAAACAAAAAATAAACAACCTTTACAGTACATTACATTACATTGCATTACATTACATTACATTCTTTACAAATTACAATAATACTAAAATTATTTCGAGGGACATGACTATCTCGAACTGTTCGTGTCCCGAAAAAGTAATTCGTACCATCCGTAAATTTCTGTCCTAAGGCGAAAATTATCGAAATTCGTGAAAATCTTTCTGTACAAAACAAAATTTGACATTCGTTTTGATTATATAAACAGGTATATGAAAGTATAGTTTGTAGAAATTTTTTTTTCTTTCTCTTCTTCTTCTTCTGATTTTCAAACAGGAATATCCAGACAACCACAGAAATCGTTGACCGAAACCAGAGTGACATTCAAGAAGGCATGCAAGTTACCTTTCTAAATCTAAACTTCAACAAATATTATCAAGTGTCTCAAGTTTCGCTGGTGTTTTTTCTTCTTCTAGAGACTTTATATAAACAAATTTTGAAAAGAGAACTTTTTCGCCAAGAAAACCGTAAAAAGTATAATACGTACGAAGGAGGCTCGATTCGAATTCGCGACACGTACATTTAGTTCGACCTTCAAAGTAATCCATACTTGCTTTTTGGGCGTGGATCAGCAGTATGCTACAAATTTAAAGACGGATTTTTTTCGATTATTTCGAATATCAAATTTTGATTTTTGGTTTGGATCCTCTGTTAACTATTACTAACTAACTAATGAACGATTTCATTCTTAATTCTGCAGTGATTTTTATTTTTTTCGATGTATTTTAATTTTTAACGTATCTAATCTTGATTTTTGTATTTTAATTCTTCTTGTGATTCCTTGTGGTTCAAAATTCCGGGGATAACCCAAAACACACCCCGCAAAGTTATACGAAAATGGATCCAACTTCGGTCAACGAAAACTTGTAGGATTCGGCTTATATTTGCCAAATTGACAATTGACAAACCTATCAGTTGTAAAAGAGGAAAAACAATTAGTGGAGAAGAAATATTTGTTGGTTTTATTAATTTCGAGTGAAAAATTAGAATTGGAAAATAGAAAACAGGATAGACGATTTTTATCCGATTCTTAATAAGACTGGGTATTAAAATGTGACCAGTCACATTTTTTTCTCCAAGAGAATTTTACCTGCGACCATCCTAGCAGCCTTGTTCTACAGTACACCTGAGTTATTATTAGCTCAAACCAGTGCAAACCACGCGAGAATTTTACCTTGCTGCAATGCCTACGCACATAATATATGTGCAATTCCACTTACAATATTATTAAAGAACGAAATTCCGTTTTCACAACTCGTAAATGTTCTCCCACCTTTATCGACAATCGAACCCAAAAATCATGTACAAAAAATCAAAATAAATCGAATATTTATTAATTACTATTTACAATTCAATTTTAATAAAAATTTCGATTATTCGTAAATTCTTCAATTAAATATACATTAGAAAATAACTTTAAAAAATTTTAATTAAACCTTTCGAAAAAAATTAATTTCACAAGTAGTTAAAATTTTAATTTGAAACCTTTTCAGAATTCAATTATTTCTAAAAATTCCTGCTATAATGCTTTTAATATTCAATTATTATCTAAAATTTAATTTTAAATCAATTTTTATTAAAAAAATTCAACCAGAATTCAATTATTTAAATACAAAAAAAATAACTTTTTGAATAATTAAATGTTTCTTTAAATTAATTCTCATAAAGAATTATATCAACAAATTTTAAAATAATTTAATTCTTTTGACGAATTTAAATAAAACTTTTAAAAATAATTATACATTTTTTGAGGAATTCGATTTGAATTGTATTAAAAATAATAAAAATTGTGCCATGAATTTTATTATTTTTGAAAATAATTTAATTTTTCAGGAGAAATTTATAAATAACTTAAAAATAATTGAATTCTATAAGAGAAATTTATAAAAAAAAATTCAAAATAATTGAATTCTTTAGATGATGTTTCTCAAAAAATTTAAAAATAATTGAATTCTTTAAGAAAAAGTTTTAAAAAATTCGAAAATAATTGAATTCCTTTGAAATTTTTATTTTTTATGAAATAATTGCATTTTTTGGGAGAAATTTATAAACAAATTGATAATAATTGAATTCTTTAGGAGAAATTTATAAAAAATTTGAAAATAATTGAATTATTCAGGAGAAATTTATAAAAAATTTAAAAATAATTGAATTCTTTAAGAGAAATTTATAAACAATTTAAAAATAATTCAATTGTTCAGGCGAAATTTATAAAAAATTTAAAAATAATTGAATTCTTTAAGAGAAATTTATAAACAATTTAAAAATAATTCAATTGTTCAGGCGAAATTTATAAAAAATTTAAAAATAATTGAATTCTTTAAGAGAAATTTATAAAAAAAGTTTTAAATAATTGAATTCTTTAAGAGAAATTTATAGAAAATTAGAAAATAATTGAATTCCTTTAAAATTTTTATTTTTTATGAAATAATTGAATTTTTCAGGAGAAATTTATAAAAAATTTAAAAATAATTGAATTTTTTAAGAGAAATTTTTAAAAAAAGTTTTAAATAATTGAATTCTTTAAGAGAAATTTATAGAAAATTAGAAAATAATTGAATTCCTTTAAAATTTTTTTTTTATGAAATAATTGAATTTTTCAGGAGAAATTTATAAAAAATTTTAAAATAATTGAATTTAAAAATTTAAAAAAAAAAAAAAATTTTTTTTTTTTGAATTTAAAAATTTTTTAATTGAAATTTATAAAAAAATTTAAAATAATTGAATTCCTGTGAAATTTCTATTATTTATGAAAATAATTAAATGTTTGCATAGAATTTTATTAAATTATTTTTTAAATAATAGAATTCTTTTGTAAGATTTTATTATAAAATAAATATTGAAAATCATTGAATTGAGGAAAATTTTTGGAAAATAGTTGAAATTTTGCCACGAATTTTATTAAAATTTCCGAAAATAATTGAAAATTTCTTAGAAGAATTTTATTGTGTTTAAAAATAATCGAAATTTTTACGAGAATTTTCAAAAAACTTTTGATCAGAATGGAATTTCTGCGAAGAATTTTATTACTTTTGAAAATATTTAAATTTCTGCAATTTGTAACTTTTCTAAAATTCAATTGTTTTTAATTTTAATTAAAATTTTTAACTAAAATTCTTTTATAAATCAATTATTTTCAATAATTAATTAAATATTTAAAAATTTAACTAATTTTTTGAAGAATTCGAGTTAATAAAATTTTTCAGAAATTTAAGTTTCTTACGAAGAATATTATTAATTTTTTTAAATAATTGAATTCTATCGAAGAATTTTATAAAAATCATTTTAAATAATTGATTTTTTTCGAAAAATTTTATGAAAATTGTATTTTAAAAATATGTAATTAAATTCCTGTGTGAAAATTTTATTATTCATAAAAATAATTAAATTGCTGAAAAGAATTTTATTTATTTACGAAAATAATTGAATTCCTGAAAAAATTTTGATTCATGAAAATAATTGAATTGCGAAAAAATTTATAAAAAATCAGCAAGTAATCGAATTATTCTTGCAATGAATTTTATCAAAAAATTTGATAATTTAATTTCTTTTATTATTTGTAAAAATAATTGAATTTTCGGGAAGAATTTTATTAAAATTTTCCATAATCTTAAATTATTTTAACGAATTTTTTTTTTTTTTTTTTTTTTGAGTTTCTTTAAAATAATATTTTTTAAAAATAATTTTAATTAAAAATTATTATTATTGAATTTTATAATGAATAATTTCTTTCAAGTTTTTACAATAATCGTGCTTTTTAATAATTAAAATTAAACATTTAATTCTTGAATTTTATTCAAAGAAACTAATTGGATTCTTTCGAAAGATTTTATTAACAATTTTTATTAAAAATTGAAATCTTTCATGAATAATGTTCAATAAAACATTTTTGCAAAAATAATTGAATGCCTTTGAAGAATTTTGTTATATTTCTCTAATTGAACTTTTTCAATAATTTTTATTGAAATTTTTGAAAATAATTGAATTTTGGAGAAGTATTTTATTAGTTATAGAGATAATTAAAATTTTAGTGAGAGTTTAAAATAATTTTTGAACATGATTGAATTTCCACAAAGAATTTTATTATTGAAAATAATAAAAAAATAATTTTTTTTTTTTTTTGAAAATAATTGAATTTTTGCAATTATTTGTAATTTTTTAAAAATTCACCAAATTGTATTGTTGAATTTACGAACTTTTTTTGCATTTTCAGCCAAATTACGAACTTTACGGACCTTTTTTTTTAAATTTTTTTTTTTTTTTTTTTTTTTTTTTTAACTGATTTTTACGGACTTTAAAGAAATTTACAGACTTTTATGGAATTTACGGACCTAGTTCGAGTCCTACTAATAGAAAATTTAATTAATTGTTATCTCTTTAAAAAGTCGGATTTTTTTCATCTTAAGTGCAGTGTTTTTAAAAACAAAAAAATCATTAATGCAACTATAGTAGAAGTAGTAATAGTATTAGTAGAAGTAGTAATAGTAGAAGTAGTAATAGTAGAAGTAGTAATAGTAGAAGTAGTAATAGTAGAAGTAGTAGTAGTATTAGTAAAAGTGGTATTAATATTGGTAGAAGTATTATTATTATTATTATTTGTATAAATAATAAATTTTGTGGTGAATTATTATATTGACATGACAAAATGGATAATGCGAAAGATGAATTTGGAAAGTGTCGGGAGACTTTCACTCGATTTCATCCAATTCAGGGGCTAGAGAAGCGGATGAGAGACTGGAATCAGCTCAACTGATCTTCTCACAGGAGAGAACTTTACTCTTAGTCTTGCGATGTGTTTTCCACCTGAGAGTGGAATAGCCAACAACCTCTCTCCCCATCCTCCCACTGCCCGCAATGGTCGTGAAAATTCTTGATTCTCGTCAAGATATATTGCAATTTAAAAAAGACTTCCTCTCAAGAAAGTAAACGTTTGTCGTCGTAGTCGTCGTAGTCGTTGGCGTATTATATTGTATAGCAACACATTTATTGCCTGCCTGCTTGCCTGCCTGCCTGGTGCCTGCCGTACATATATACACATTCGTGACTCTTTTTTGATGACAATGACCTAGCTTTCGCAATTTATATTATACACATTTACAGTATGTGTGTTCACTTGAACAAAAGTTTTCTCAAATACCATAATAATGCTCTCCCGCATGGGAAACAACAAATCTTATGTTCTGCTTATCGAAAATTGCACTGTTTTTATTCTTCTTTTACTATTTTTAATCTTTTAGTAGGTATCTTTATTTTAGTTCCTGTACTGTCTTTATTCCTTTTGTATTTTTATTCCTTTACTAATTTCTACTCATTTACTGTTTTTATTCCTTTACTCTTCTTATTCCTTTTTTGTTTCTATTCCTTTAGTATTTTTATTCCTTTAATAAAACTAAACCGAAAGTTTTGGAAGCAGGTTTGTTTTTTTTTGTTTCATACTAAACTTTGTTACTAAACAGGTTTCGAACCAAAATGTTTGGTTGTTACTAAACAGCTTTCGAACCAAAAAGTTTGGTTGTTACTAAACAGTGTTTGAATTAAAAAGTTTGGTTGTTACTAAATAGTTTTTCAACTAAAAGGTTTGGTTGTTACTAAACAGCTTTCGAACCAAAAAGTTAGTCTGATACTGAACAAAACGAAATTTTTTTGTTTGCTTCTAATTCTTTATTTTTGAAAGCATTTTTTTAAGAAAGAAGGAAAAGCAAATTATATCTACTGGCTCGAAGTGCATCCCCAAAAGAATTCATGCAGAAGATTCGATCGGTTATTGAGAACTGATGCTGCTACTGCTGCATGGTTAGAAAAACTAAAATCAATAACTTCGGAAGGGGAAAAGGAAAACTTATCTTCTCCCCATGCCAAGTTTTCGGGAAAATTCTGAGTAATTGCTTCAATATATTTTCGAAAACCAAAGAACCATTCAGGTATTTCCATAATCGAACTTAGTTATAGAAGTAACATTTGGAAGGGTACCAAAATTAAAGTCGAACTATTCTTTATCTGCATTTTTCGCATAAAAATTCTTTAACCGAAGTTTTCTGCTTCAACATTTTTTTAACCATCATTAAAGTCTGCATTTTTGTGCCTAAAAATTCTTTAACCAACATTATTATTTGCACTGTTCTGTTTCAAAATCCTTTGACCAACATTAAAGTATGTTCTTTTCTGCTTCAAAATTCTTTAACCCAAATTAACATCTGCACTGTTCTGCTTCAAAATTTGTTAACCATCATTAAAGTCTGCACTGTTCTGCCTAAAAATTCGTCAATCAACATTAAAATATATTCCTTTCTGATTCAAAATTCTTTGACCTAAATTAAAGTCTATATGCACTGTTCTGTTTAAAAATTCGTCAACCAAAACTAACATCTGCACTTTTCTGCTTAAAAATTCGTCAACCAAAACTAACATCTGTACTTTTCTGCTTACAAATTCTTTGACCCAAATTAACATCTGCACTGTTCTGCTTAAAAATTCTTTGACCCAAATTAACATCTGCACTTTTCTGCTTAAAAATTCTTTGACCCAAATTAACATCTGCACTTTTCTGCTTAAAAATTCTTTGACCCAAATTAACATCTACACTTTTCTGCCTAAAAATTCCTTAACCAAAATCAAAGTCGAACTATTCTTTGTCTGTATTTTCAGCTGAAAAAATTCTTCAACCCAAACTTCACCATTTAGCAGCATTTAAATTTTCATCGAAACATAAATTTCCAAGTATTTCTGTATACAGTATTGGAATTTCTTTTTTTTTACAGTATAAGTAGGATACGTATAACTCACCGAGGCAGGTGATTGTGTGATCGGCAGGTGGCCTGAGGACGTTCCTGGACCATGCTGCTCTCAAGACTTCCAGAGCACAGGGTGGTCCTCCAACCATGAGCACTCCCGGAGACACATGACCTTTGTATCGAAGCTGACGAGTGGCATCCACCAATGCAATATTCCACCAGCACTTGGAATTCGCTTCCAAGAAACTCTGCGCAGACAGAAATAGAAAATTTAATTGCCGTACGTTGCATAACAAAACTCGACTGCAATCATACAAACATACAACATTTGTAAATATGAATATTTTCTCTTAATTCTCTTCGGTTTTCTCTTAATTCTCTTTCGATTTTCTCTTAATGTCTTTAATGTCAAAGTCGAAGCACTTTTTTCCCTTCAAGTTCTAGGTAGAAAATTAACAAACCCCCAATCATCGTTGCATCGGTAATGAAAGTATTTTGTTGGGACACTTGAAGTGGATCATCTGCAGAGTTGTTTTTACGAAATCTTGTGTGACAATTTCGCTAACGGATTAGGTATTGAATTCATTATGGTCAACCAGGGTATTTGTGGACTAAAGACTATGTCCATTAGTGGACTATTAGGACTATTATTAGTGGACTAAAGACTGTCCGTTAAGTGGTATTCAGTGGTATTAGTGGACTAAGGATTAAGGTATTAATGGACTAAGGATTAAGTCTAGGGATTAAGACTAGGGATTAAGTCCATTAATTAATCCATTAATTAGTCCATTAATTAGTCCATTAAGGTATTAAGTCCATTAGGGGTTAAGGACTGTATTTGGTATTTGTCGACAAAGGACTAAGTCCACTAAGGTATTTATAGACTAAGGATTAATTCCACTAGGGATTAAACCCCTTAAGGAATTAGTGGACTTAATTTTATTAGGGATTAGTCCCTTAAGGAATTAGTGGACTTAATTTTATTAGGGATTAGTCCCTTAAGGAATTAATGGACTAAGAACTGAATCCGTTAATAAAATCCCTTATTAAAAGCACTAAGAGCCAAGTCCACTAAGACATTAGCCACTTATCGAAAAGTGGATCAAAAAGAGCCGAAGGTATTAAGCAACAAAAAATTTGACCTTTTTGTGAAAAATCCAATGAAAAACGATAAATTTTCGTGAGATTGTTTACATGTTGTTATTTATCCAGTGCATTTGAATATATTTAATAATTAATTGATAGCCGTTGACTTTCCCTTGAACCCATTTATGCTAATTTCTGCGTAGAATGATACAAGGTAATATAATAAAATCATAATAAAAGGAATGGCCTCCACCTACGATCACCGAGCGATCGACCTGAACCTACTAGTTTGCAGTTTGTTGCGCACTTTCACTTTGCTATCACTTGCATGCAGTGACATTCAGAATGTCATAAAATTAAAAAGCTTCACTATCTTCCCAAAAGAGGCAATATATTAATCTTATCCTTACAGTGTCCTAGGTAACTATTTGCCAAAAGATAAAAAAATCAATTGACTTCTTATTTATAAATTTTTTTTAATAAAAAAAAACTGCTAACTGGCCCCCCAAAAGTTTAAAAGTATGGTACAAGTTAGCAATGTTTAATGTTACGAATTTTTACCTTTCTTTCGAAATCAGTCATGCAATGAATCATTTTTTTCAATCCGGAATTGTGTTTGTTTTACAAATACGGAAAAAAAACAACAAGTGCAAATCTGTTTAAAGTTTATTTAAAAGTTTCGTTTATGTAAATAATACCTTGGTTGATATTAAGATTAAAATAAAAAAAAATAATAGTGTTTTCTTTCAGGTTTCACACTCATTGAAAAAACATATTCGTGTCAGGAAGAAAATGCAGATAAAAAGAAAACATAAACATGGTATAAATTATAAAAAGTATTCATTGAGAAGTACTTTTATTTAGCCATGAATGAAAACGGAAGTTTCAAGACTGAATAAAATGTTTGTTAATCAGTTTTCAGTTATTTATATATACGTTTCTTACTTGAAATAGATTGTAGCCTTTGTCGTACATCCACATTTCATCGGCAGGATGGTCGCTGCTCCTCTGGCCGGAATTCACAATTTGGGGTGAATTTCCTCTTGTTAATTGAATCGCCAATGCTCTCTGCAGCAATAAAATACAGCGGGTAGATCCTGACCCACCGTCTCCCGATAAGGAGGCCATTTTACTGTTTTTCTATTAACGCTTAAGACGACTAGATGGGACCATTCCTGAAACATTTCAATAAATCTTGTCTTATGCACTTATCACCCTTTGGAAAAAAAAACTTAGTCAGGGTTGGGAGAAATCTAATTTTCTTCTATAACTTAAATTTTTTTCTGATTTCCAGACAAAATTTTTGATTTTTTCCCTAAAATTCAACAACTTAAGTATATTATTAAAAAGGGCCATCCATAAATTGAATGTTTTTTAAAATTGAATTCTTTCGACGAATTAAAAAAAATTTTTTGAAGAATAATTTTTCGATTAATTCAATTATTAAAATTTTCAAAAATAATTGAAATTCTGAAATGAATTTTATTATTTATAAATATAATTGAATAGTTGCTAAAAATTTTAATTTAAATTTTCAAAAATAATTGAATTCCTGCGAAGAATTATAATATTTTTATGAAAATAATTGAATTTTTGCGAAGAATTTCATTATTTTTGAAAGTAATAGATTTTTTCGAAAAAATGTACCTACGTCAATTTTTTTTTTAAATAATTGAATTCCTTGGAAATTTTTATTATTTATGAAAATAATTGAATATTTGCGTAGAATATTATCAAAAATTTTTTTAAAATAATAATTGAATTCCTTTATTTAGAAAATTTAATTAAAATAATAGACATTGAGAATAATAAAATTCAGAACAATTTTTGAAAATAATTGAAATTTTGATAAGAATTTAAATAAAATTTTTGAAAATAATTGAAATTTTGACAAGAATTTGAATAAAATTTTTGAAAATAATTGAATTTCAGCGAATAATTCTGTTATTTGTAAAGATGGTAAACTGTAATCTTAACAAAAATTTTATAACAAAATTTCGAAAATAATTGAATTTTCCCGCAAGAAATTGATTACTTTTGAAAATAATTTTGCATTTTGCAAAATATTTTATTAAAATTCCTGAAAACAATTGAATTTTGCGAAGAGTTTTATTAAAATTCCAAAAAACAAGTAAATTTCTGACAAGAATTTTAATATTTATCAAAATAATTGAATTCTTTCGAAGAATTTCGTTCAAATTTTTGAATTCAATTATTATTTAAAATTTCAACAAAAATCCATTTTTATAAAAAAATTCTACAAGAATTCAATTATTTAAATACAAAAATGATTGAATAATAAAAGGTTTTTTAAAATTCAATTATAATAAAGAATTATTTTATTACCAAATTTTTAAATAATTGAATTCTTTCGACGAATTTTAATAAAATTTTTAAAAATAATTACATTTCTTGAGGAATTTGATTAAAATTGTATTCAAAATAATTGAAATTGTGCGATGAGTTTTATAATATTCATAAAAATAATTGAATTCCTTTGAAAAATTTTATTATTTATGCAAATCATTGAATCCCTATAAAAAATTTGATTATTTATGAAAATAATTGAATTATTCAGGAGAAATTTATAAAAAATTTAAAAATAATTGATTTTTTGGGTTGAAATTTTTATTATTTATGAAAATAATTGAATCCCTAGAATAAAATTTATTATTTATGAAATTAATAGAATTCTTTAGGAGAAATTTATGAAATATTTTGAAAACATTTCAATTCTTTAGGAAAAAGTATTAAAAAAATTGAAAATAATTAAATTCTTTATAAAAAATTTATAAAAAATTTGAAAATATTTCAATTCTTTAAAAAAAAAGTATTAAAAAATTTGAAAATAATTAAATTCCTTGAAATTTTTATTTTTTATAAAATCATAGAATTTTTTGGGAGAAATTAAAAGAAAATTTGAAAATAATTGAATTCTTTAGAAGACATTTATAAAAAATTTAAAAATAATTGAATTCTTTATGAGAAATTTATAAAAAATTTGAAAATAATTGAATTTCTTTGAAATTTTTATTTTTTATGAAATAATTGAATTTTATAGGAGAAAGTTATAAAAAAATTTGAAATTAATTGAATTCTTTAAGAAAAAGTATTAAAAAATTTGAAAATAATTGAATTCCTTTGAAATTTTTATTTTTTATGAAATAATTGAATTTTTGGGAGTAATTTATAGGAAATTTGAAAATAATTAAATTCTTGAGGAGAAATTTGAAAATAATTGAATTCTTTAGAAGAAATTTATAAAAAATTTAAAAATAATTGAATTCTTTAGGAGAAATTTATAAAAAATTTGAAAATAATTGAATTCCTTTGAAATTTTTATTTTTTATGAAATAATTTGAATTTTTTAGGAGTATAAAAAAAATTTGAAAATAATTGAATTCTTTTGGAAAATTTTATTAAAATAAATATTGAAAATCATCGAATTGAGAGGAAAATTTTTGAAAATAATTGAAAAACACTCAAGAATTTTATTAAAATCTTTGAAAATAATTGAATTTCAAAGAAGAATTTTGTCATTTTCAAAGATAATTGAAGTTTTGACGAGAATTGAAAAAAAATTTTTCTAACAGAAAATACAGAATTGAATTTTTGCGAAGTATTTTAATACTTTTGAAAATAATTTAAATCATTTACTAATTTGTCCAAAATTCAATTTTTTTCAGTGTTTTTAATTCTTCTAATCCATTATTTCTAATAGTTAATTAAATATTAAAAAATTTAACTAATTCCAGAAGAATTCGAAATTCCTAATTTTACTTATAAAAATTTTGTTTTTTTTTCAGTACTTTTAGTAAGAATTTCTGACTTTTTCCTGATTTTCCTGACTAATTCTACTTTTCCGGACTTTATCCTGACCTTTCTGACTTCCCTGACCTGTGGCAACCCTACAAGTGTAATCTTGATTCGAATTTTAATTTTGAAATCTGGAGTTCGAAACTTTTCTTTTAAAAAATATTGAAATGGGTAGTTTTAGTAGAAAATAATCCCAACTGGTGGTTTTAACCAAAAAAAGCAAATAAATCCAAAGTAGATTCGAAATTTAGTGATTTTGAGGACAGTGGGACAAGTGGCGAACGTAATTTGAAAATTGGGTCAAATCCTATCCTAGGATCCGATCCTCCTAGTTACCTACGATCCTAGGAACCAACAGACAGTGATAATACGATACTGTCTAGTAGTGTTCTATTAACATGACTAATATCTTACTTTTAGTACAGAATTACAGATTATAGCATTTCAATGTTAGCAATTCGCTATATCAAGTAAAACGAGTAAACTGAGTAAAATAACGTGTTTTCTGACTATTACTATGCATTTGACAAATTGTCGAGCCTAGTGCAACATATAATGAAGACCATGAATACAAAAGTTCACAATGACTGCGAAACAAAGTATATTATAGATATCCTAGAAAAAAAAGAGTGCTCCCTAAGTATAGTACTCACATCATACACACATGTGTACTTTTCCTTAAAAATATATATATATTATTCCGCACTTTGTCTTATGGGCGAAAGTATACCGGATGTATATAAACTTTCGTTTACAAGCTATATAAATTATACAAAGGCAAAATTATTTGCACTCGTCTTCCATTAGGCTATACAAAGATTTATTTTTTTTTTCCTAGAAAGGTAAACCGAAAAAGGGAATAAATGAAATTAAAGACTTTCTTTTAAAAACACGCAATCTTCTTCTAATTACTGCGCATTGTCTGCGATACCAGATCTTGCATACACTTTAGAATCCCGATTATTTTCTATAGTTATGCATCGCAATACTTTTGATTCGATTTTTTTGGCTCAAAAAGAAAAATTAAATAATATCAAACAAAATCGAGTACTTCGCGATAATTAATTTATTTAATTCTTTCTTATCCTATTGCTTTAAATTTTCATAAATAATAAAACTCAATGTTGAATTTCAATTATTTTTAATACAAGCTTTAATATGAAACTCCTCGAAAAATGCAATTATTCTTAAAAATTAAAAAAAAAAAATTAAATAAACTTCTTCACAAGAATTCAATTATATTAATAAATATTGAAATTCTTCTATTTTTTAAAATAATTAAAAAAAATTTTTAATAAAATTCTCCACGAGAATTCAATTATTTTCTCAAATAATAAAAATTTTGACGGAAAAGTCAATTATTTAGTACAAAAAAAATAAAATAGAATTCAATTATTTTCATAAATAATAAAAATTTTGACGAAAAATTCAATTATTTAGTAAAAAAAAAATAAAATAAAATTCCTCTCAAAAATTCAATTATTTTCATAAATAATAAAATTCTTCTCAGAAATTCAATTATTTTTTTTTATAAAATTGAAAAATTCTTTCTTCAACTCCTTTTCACAATTATTCATTTATTTTTCCAAATAATACAATTTTTCCTGAGAATTCAATTATTTAAAAAAAAAATTTTTTTAATAAAATTGTTCACAAGCATTCAATTATTTTTCTTAAATAATAAAATTTTTGACGAGAATTCAATATTATTGAAAAAAAATTATCTAAAATTCTTTGCAAGAATTCAATTTTTTTTCAAAATAATTTTACTAAAATTCTTCACTAAAATCCAATTATGTGTTAAAAAAGTTTACAAAAATTCAAAATTTCAATTATATTTATGAATAATAAAATTTTTCTCCGAAATTCAATTATTTTCAAAAATTTTAATAATATTTTTGAAAATAATTGAATTTTTTCGAGAAAAATTTTATGAAAATTATATTGAAAATAATTTAATTCCTCCGAAACATTTTATTATTATTTTATGCAAATAATTGAATTCCTAAAAAGCATTTTAATATTTATGAAAATAATTAAAATTCTTGCGAACGATTTTATTTAGAATTTCTTAAAATAATTGAATTTCCAAGAAGAAATTTTTTACTTGTAAAAAAATAATTGAATTCTTGTGATGAATATTGTTATATTTATAAAATAATTGAATTTTGCAAAGAATTTTATTAAAATGCCTCAAAATAATTGAATTTTTGGGAATAATTTTATTGTTTATGAAAATAATTGAATTTTTGCGAAAAATTTTATTAAAATGTTTAAAATTAATTAAAAATAATAATATTAATAATAATAATAATTATTATTATTATTATTATTATTATTATTATTATATTTAAAAATA